TATAAGATTGTCTCTTTGTTGCTTTGTATGTCCCTCCCCCACAGTATAACCCCTGCTTTCACTATATTTGATGTCAGTATAACTTGTGGAGGAGATGGGGAAAAACAAGTTGTTTAAGGAGACAGGTGGACCTGTTGCAACAATGAGAAGTACAAGGTCATTGGTGCGGGGGGGGGGGGGGGGGGGGGGGGGGGGGAGAATTGGGTGGTGGGTGGTAGGGGGGAGGTAGGGAAGGGATGTGAAGGGTAAACAAAGGAGGAAAGGAGGAGGCTGCAATGCTTGATAAGAAATGTACGCATTATCCTGCCCATGTAATTGTAACCCCTCTGTACAGTATGTTCACAAAAAAAATTTAAATTAAATTTTTAAAAAAAGGGTATATCTTCTAAAAGAAACAAAAATGGTCTTGGGTTCAATGGTTCTATTATTATTAAAAAATATATAAAATATACTGTCAAACAGGAGTGATTTTTCTCTTCTAAACACAATGGAAATATGTGGAGATATACTTCATCGTAACAATTCAGAGGAGAGTTGCTACAGGGACCTGTGGGTACAATTCAGAAATTCTATTAAATACCCTAGAATACACAGGATATCTCTCATCACTAACAAAGAATTCTCTGGACCAAAGTTCCAATAGAGCTGACTGAGGTTGAGAAACTTTAAGAATATTCTACAATCCTTTCATGAGGAATATGTAAAATCCTGAACTTTATATTTGTATGTATGAAGTGCAAAACCAAACATTTTCATTAAAATCCCAGTGGCAAAAAAAAAAAAACCAGAAATTCAGAAAGCATGACTCTCATAAAGTCAGTCTCAGATTTGATTGCATTCTTTTAGTCTATTTCTTTGCTTTATAATATACTTTCCATTTTTAGCCATTGTTTTTCAAAATACAAATGATATCCATGTGTTTTGGTTGATAGTTGCCCTGAGATACAAATTCAGATATTCTTGTCCCCAGGAGAAATGCAGGAAAGTAAAATTGCTTAAACAAATTCCAAGTGGGTCTGAATGTTTTTATTAGAAAAAGATGCCTGCTAGCAAAAGGCACTTTGAGAGTAAGAAGGAAAAGAGAGCAGATTAACTATGACATATTCATCCCTTCCAGCAACCAAGAAAAAAAGTAATTCTTTTAGGACCAGGATCCCCAGTCTGACATCCTTGGATCCTGAGGCCCTATGAAAATAAGAAGAATCTGAAACCTATTTGCAACATTTAGAAAATCCTGTACTAATAATGGAGCATTTCTCTACAATAAAATATATTAGGCTTTCTAACATGAAAAAGTCTAGACACTTTTTATTATATTGAAGCTAATAACACTTTGATCATTTGGAAAAAATAATACCAAGAGTCCTTTATGTATAAACAAAACATAGAAACCTGAGCACTAGAGATAGGGGGGAGAGAATAAAGGGTGAACTAATTCAGCAGTGATACACTAGACACCATGTTGTAAATTAACTATACAACTTTGGCGGGGAGGAGGAAGAAATGTACTCATGCCATATGCTATAATCCTAGCTATTCACGAGGCTGAGATTGGAGGATCATGGTTTGAAGCCAGCCCAGGCAGAAAAGTCCCTGTGAGACTCTTCTCTCCCATTAATCACTCAAAAAACAGAAGTGGTGCTGTGGTAGCATTGAGCACAAAGAGCTTCAGGGAGAATATTGGAACCCTGTGTTCAAGCCCCACAACCAACAATAACAACAAGAAAAGCAATGTACTCATTACCTTATTTATGTAACTGTAACCCCTCTGACATCACCTTTACAATAAAATTTTAAAAAAAACATGCTGCACTAGTAATTAAAATTAGTAAATATGGAAAAGCAAAGATAGACTAGAATAATCTACCATCTCTTCATTTCCAGTGTGCTTCTTGTAGTGCTTGGCTCAGTGGTTAGTATAAAAGTTCATATAAGTTTATTCCATTAACATTAAAATAGAGTTGAACCATCTCAAACCCAAGAGACAAAGGACCAACCCTCTCAGTCTTATTCTCCTTTGCTGGTTACTCTTTCAACCTAGAAATGTTGCTGGGATGCCTCAGGTCTGCGATGTGGAACACATTCTCCTTTCTCATTCGTTCTAGGGCAATCTCCTGCCTCTCCATAGTCTCAAACATTATCTATATGTCCAAACCCCACATTAATAGATCTAGCCTAGATTTCTTTCTAATCCAGACCACTGGAACCAAGTGTTTACTGTGTTGTATATTTATTTGACCATATCAAACTCAGCATGCTCCAAATGAAAATGCCAGTGTTCCTTAATCCAGTACACAGCATCAGTAATTTATTCTCTCCCTTCTGGAATAGCATGGAGAAGCATGGAGAAGTCCACTTTCTACTGTGGACTGAATCATATAGGTTTGTGCGTTGAAGCCCTAACTTCCCTAACATTTACTCAGAATGTTAATGTGTTTAGAGATGAGACCTTTGAAGAGGCAAGAAAGATTAAATATTTGAGGCCATTAAGGATGACCCCTAATTGAACATGAGTGGTATCTTTAAAACTAAAGGGGTTTAGGGCACCTACACACGTCAGGAATGCACCTATGCACAGAGAACAACAGCTCACCTCTAGTGTGTGTGTGTGTGTGTGTGTGTGTGTGTGTGTGTGTGTGTGCGCGCGCACACACATACTGGTACTGAGGCTTGAACACAGGACCTCATGCCCTCAGTTGGTTTTTATGCTCAAGTACTGTCTCACTTGAGCCATATCTCCATTTCCACAGACTCATCTTTTCTAAGTCCTGATAACACTGCCCTGTCCTTTCATAGCACTCATCACAAGTGAAATAAACAATTATCTGTATAACCAGGTTGTGAATGACTCTCTGATATATAAGTTCCCTGAAGATCACTATCACATCTTATATGCCCAAGAGTGAACACAGTGCATGGCGTGTTTTTATTGAACTAATGAAGAATGACTAAAGAACATGATTACTTTCAAGAAATACAGTTAAGGACCAAAAAGTAGACAGTTTACTTCTCCATATGATTGCTCTAAATCCAAATCTGCAATGATTCTGTTTCTAAAAAAGGTCTCATTCTGAAGCTCCTAAGGGACATAAATTTGGGGAGAACCAATCAATAACACACAGAGACTTTGTTTCATTATGATCCTATCCCAGAACTAGATTAATATTAGATATATCATTTACTCTCAACAAATATTACTGAAATACAGGATTGCATGAACAAAAGAATGAAAGAAGTACAAAAGCACTCACTGAGTTTGCTGAGGAATGTAGGTACTGAGGTAGAATGAGAGTCACCTTTAACATTTGCCCCACTAACAGATGCTGTCATTCAATTAAAACATGGCTGTTTGCAATGAAGATTATAGTGTCAATATGTTAGGTCTAATATTGCAAATTAGTGAATTGAAATTAGTACATAGACTAAATATTTGAAGTTACTGACTTGAAACCAGAACATAAAATGGTGAGTCCAGAAAGGTCATGTAAGCTGTCCAAGTTTACAAGGGAAGAACAAGTTCTACTCAGCAAGATTAAAGGAACTGCAAAAGTTAAAAATAAAGTGGCTTCTATGATTACACCACATGAGTCCTACATGTTCCAAGTCCTAGTCCTAACAGTTTCAGGTAATTTGTTATAGAATCATAATTGGTTTCCTTTTGTGAAGCTTTCTCTGTCTTCTGCCTTTCCTACTCATGTTCATCCCAGTTCTCAAGGCCCTGTAAAATAGAGTCCTTTAAGAATCCCCTTAGATTTGGAAGAAATAGTTGTATTGTCAAAGTTTATAGAATTCAGAAACTATATAGACCATGATAATGACAATTTGCCAAATAGAGTCTCTTAAGAATCCCCTTAGATTTGGAAGAAATAGTTGTATTGTCAAAGTATATAGAATTCACAAACTATATAGACCATGAAAATGACAATTTGCTTTGGAAAGGTTAAAATGTGTTTGTGACTTTAGGTATCCTTATCCCACAATGCTGTGAAATTTGTGAAGTTTACATAATCACTTAATCTCAATAAAAATTATATTTAAAAATCTCCTTAGCTCTGTGTTCACACAGCGAATGGAAATCTGTGAAAGTCATGCCTGCCTTGTATTATTTCCTTGGAAGAGTATTCATAAAAAATATTCATGAAGTCTAATAAAGTATCACTGTTGGGATGGGAAGGTGGCTCATTGGTAGAGCGCTTACCTTGTATGCCTGAGGCCCTGAGTTAGACTCCTCAGCACCACATAAGCAAAAAGAAAAAAGCTGGAAGTGGTGCTGTGGCTCAAGCGGTAGAGCACTAGCCTTGAGCTGAAGAGCTGAGGGGCAGCGCCCAGTCCCAGAGTTCAGGCCCCACGACCAGAAAAAAAAAAAAAGTATCACTGTTTTCCTAGCTTAAGACTGAAATTGGGATATGTCTTACAACTGGTGTATTTAGAAAATATAGACTATCAGTATTGTTTTCTTTTTCAGTGGCACCCAAAATAGTAGTTTGAAATAGATGCTATCTTACATGTTGTTAAATATAGACTCTAAGTCATGTTTTATGGTCTATGTTTTATTCTTCCCTGGTGTAAGTTTCATACTCTGTTCTTCTGACCACATTAAAATTAAATGCAAGTAATCTGAGAATGGTTGTAAACGCCTTACTTCCAAATTGTGGATTTTATTCTATGTGAAAATATTCCAGCAACTGCAAAACTTGGGCCAGCCTGAGCCACCAGTGGTTGTATTTCATTTAATAACTGCTAGCTAATAGGAATAACCGACACTATACAAACTATTCTGATCACTCCAAGAGATGAAGCGCCTACGTTGGATCTCTCCAACGTAGAATAGCAATGTGTCTCACCCAGCCATCCCTCAACCTTGCAGGTACAGGTTGAGAAGGTCCCGGATGTAAGGGACGCCTTCCCACCCCTCTGGCCACTTCAGAGCATGCGCAGGGGGCGCACGCAGGCGCAGTGCGGCGCGATCTGCACATGCCCAATACGCCGGAGCCGCGCTTCTGGCCGGGTGCCGGCTGAGGAGCCACGGTCCGGCATGAGGGGCTGGGGTCTGGCTGCCCCCTCCTTGCCGCTGCAGCTCCATGGGATGCCTGCGGAGCCTCACTGGGCTCTGCCTGGCCGGGCTCCTGCCCCGCGCGGCGGGGTTGCCCCGGAGGACCCTGTGTGCCCTGGCCTTGGGTTTGACCCCTGCGGCTCGCCCTGCTGCCATCTGTGGCCGCGCCAGCCACCTGCTCGGAAGGAGCCGGGCCTGGCCGCTGCGCGGGCCCCGCCGGCCCGGCTGCACAGGTACGACCCCCCGCGGGCCCGGGGACGCCGGCCGGGCCCCCGCGGCCTCCCGGCGCGTCCTCGGGTGACCCCGGGTGTGTGGACGACCCGCCCCGGGCGGCGGGGGACGCGGCGTGCTGCCCGCTCGGAGCGGGCTCGTGCCCGGAGCCCTGGGCATTGCCGGCCCCCGACCTCCACGGCCTCTGCCCTCTCCCCGCCACGGCCTCCCGCCGCCAATCGTGTGACCTCAGTGGCGGCCGTTTGTTGTGTGCACGTGGTACTTCGGGGGTCGCCCGACTCAAGCTCCCTTGGGTGTTTCAAACCCGGAGTTCCGTCCCCAGGCTTGCGGATGTCTAAGCCGCCAAAAGGAAAATGTTTTTAAATTTCGCTAACCTGTGTTCCGTGTCTTTCTGGCGGACACGTTTGTACCGCTGTACCCTTTGCACAAGTGAGGGGGTTGGGGAATTTAAGACCACGTGGTGAGTCGTCAGGCTCGGGCTGTTCAAACGCTTGTGTAAGCAAACCGCCTGAAAGGGGGGATTCTCGCTGGGCGCTGACGACCCACACCTGTAATCCTAGCTAATCAGGAGGCTGAGAGGTCCGGATTCTGATGCAGACCCACACCTGTAATCCTAGCTAATCAGGAGGCTGAGAGGTCCGGATTCTGATGCAGACCCACACCTGTAATCCTAGCTAATCAGGAAGCTGAGAGGTCCGGATTCTGATGCAGACCCACACCTGTAATCCTAGCTAATCAGGAGGCTGAGAGGTCCGGATTCTGATGCGAAGCCTGGCAGGAATGCCCGTGACACTCTCCCAGTCAACCAGCAAAAGGTCCGAAATGGCTCAAATGGTAGACCACCAGCCTTGAGCAACAAAGCTAAGGGATCGCACCCACTACCAACACACAATAAAATAATCAAGCCTTTAGGTGGCTCCTTTCCTCACCAAACGGTGAAATATTAAAATTTCCACAAATTTGAGTGCAAATGTTGTTCTGAAGCAAAAGATGTTAAGGGGTATTACTGGAACATGCTGAAAAGTGCTTTATTCAATTCTGGCATATAAATGAAAGGGGAAAGCAGTGGTTGGAATCCAACATACATCGTACACACATACACACACATATATATCTGAATCTGAACATGTATATATGTATGTATACCCTGCCAAATATTAACACAATTACCTAACAGATGTTTCTTCAGGAAAAAGGTTTTTTTTAAACTTAGTCTGAATTAGCACTTCTCTGATGTGATTGTTTAACTTATAGACAAAGACTTACAGGCAGGTGCAAAAAATCCTCTTTTGCAACCCAGAACTCATTGTTCAATATGAATTTTGAAATATGTAAGAAGGAATATGACCATTTCTAAAATAGTTTGAAGTGGTGGGGGAATTGATATGCATTAAGTTGGCTCTGAGAATAAAGTTGATCATTTAAAAGCATAAAAAAATATTCTGAAAGCTTATTCAGGGTTATTTCTTAGCTCTATGTGAATATCAATTGTATGATTTTGGGGAATTTGTAATTCTTCAGGTGAAGTGCATCGGTTTAGAACATCTGATGTCTCTCAAGCCACATTAGCCAGTGTAGCCCAGGTATTTACCGTGGTGAGTATATAGAATACCTGATAACTTACAGAAAGTACCTGCCTTGCTTATTTGTTGGCATACTACCACGCTATTATTTTTGTTTTGTACTTAAAGTCGTGTTGTACTTAGCCAGTGACCTGAATGCCTGCTAGATTTTCTTAACAGTGCTCTTGAAACTTTGCCAACTACCAACCTCTTAGTACTAGAACTTGTCATTCAAATCATACCTCAAAGCTGGAACCCTCAAAATTTCTCATATATCTGCTTAGAATTTATTAAAGGTTATTTATAGTTAGAGAAGGATTTGAATCTGTGCTTTGTAAAACATGCAGAAGTATCTTGAAGGAAGCACAGTCTAGTACTTAAGAGTACTGCTTTGAAGGGGTAACTGTTTAAAAAGAAATACACTCATTACCTTACTTATGTAACTGTAATCCCCCTGTTCATCACCTTTACAATAAATAAAAAAAGAAAAATTATTTTTAAAATACTTGCTTTGAAAGCTGGAGGAGGATGAATGAATTAATAATAGATTGAGACTCTTGGAAAGCAAAATGAGGGTGGCCTGAGTGAAAGTTATGTAGGAACTGTTTGTGCTGCTGCAGCTTTTTTGACAAGCTTTTCTAGAAGTTTGATTTTTAAAATGAGCACTTGATCTGAGCCAGACTTCCTAAATTTAAATCTCATTTCTACCTTTTGCTATTAACTAGATGGACTTAGACAAATTTCGATTGCATGTTACCTTAGTTTTCTCATTTTTTTTTTTTGGGGGGGTCCGGTCGTGGGGCCTGAACTCTGGGCCTGGGCACTGTCCCTCAGCTCTACCACTTGAACCACAGAGCCACTTCCGGCTTTTTTCTTTTTGCTTATGTGGTGCTGAGGAATCGAACCCAGGGCCTCGAGCATGCAAGGCAAGCGCTCTACCACTGAGCTACCCTCCCAGCCCCAGTTTTCTCATTTTTAAACTAAGAATAAGCCTACTTTATAAAACTGTTGTGAGGATTAAAGTAACTTGTGTATTTAAAATCATATGATGTGTTAATAAGTCTAATCATAATGGCTAGCATGTGTAAAATATGTTGTTCATATTTGCCCTCCTTTACCCTCTTCTTTCATCAACTGATTTTATTTGAAATGAGTTTAGAAAGCAAATTGATTACAAAGTAAACCTTTGGGAAAGCCAATCTGTATGTTTTAAGAAAGTATTCCATTGAAGAAAAATTGTACACAATAAATTTAGTATGCTGTAGGAAGTAGGTGTATCATGAATATCTTTTATTTGAAAAAGAAACAAAGGTTCAGTAAAATACTAGCGTGATTTTCTCTAAAATTTGTCCTGGCATGTGACTGAAGAGTTTTATCATTTGTCTTCAGTGGGTACATGTTTATGGTGTAATCCCAAGGATAGAAGAGCCTGTATTACACAAATGTAAAGCTTCCTTTAATAAAACTTCCCTTTAACATGGGTGTTTTATGCTGCTTATATATTCATATTGATCCTGGTTCATGACAAGCTGAAATATATGCTGTAGGTTTCTATTGTGTTCTTACTAACACAGCATTCAGATGTTTCCAAAGTAATAGCTCAAGACCTGGTTTACCTACAACTACAGCTTAGAGTATGTTTTTCTAGGGAAAAAAAAGTATGTATTTCATAGTAAATAATACAGGCCACTACATGGATTTTATAAAATATTATTTTATTTTTTTAAATATTCAGATAACTCTGAAAAGTTACTTCTACTTTGTAAGAAAAGGGTATAATGTATGTGTCGTATCCTCTCTCCAAACAATTTGAATAGGCCTTTTCTGTACATCTTTATTGATTCTGCCATTGCCTAATGGAGAGGCTTCTTAGCCTCAAGGGGCTCACTTAGATTGATGGATGATGAGCCATGCCATATTTAGTTCCATGCTGAGAGAGCTGACACCGAAGAAATGCAACAAAGCAGAATAAAGTGTGTCCTCTCGAAAGAAGTCTTTTCAGCTATAGTGGAGCTTCATTGGCTTGCTAACTGAAATCTCAGGGACAAAGAGATGAGATTCTCAGAGGAAGGAGTTTGATACACCTTGGCTCAGAGTCACCATAGCACTTCATGCCAGTATCTCTTATAAACATCCTGTAGATACGGGTTCCAGGGCCTCTGTGAGGAACATGGCTAGCTACAATACCAACCACTCTCAGAAAAGGGCTGAGCTGTGGCTTCCCCCTGACATGTGTGATTTCTCACTTAGTCTGTTGTAATTTCTTCTTAGTCTATTGTTACCTGTTCCCTCTTTGTCGGATTTCTAGAGGAATTAAGATAAAGCTAACTCAAGGTCAGGTTTATCCTAACAAAGAAAAAGGGGAGGTTTGTTTTTTTTCAGCTCTTACAACTATATTTAACATAAAGTCACTCATGGCTTATTTCAGTATTTTAAGGGTATTAATCAATGACTTTATTTTTTTTTTATACTTAGACAAAATTTGACACAGAAGGAAATGTTTCTTCTTTTGGTAAGTATCTTTTTTTCTGAGTCACTTTTTAAACCAGTTACCGAGTCTGGTGAAAATTTGGGAACTGTAGTGTTTCAAGGAGAATATTCTTTCTGTGTACAGGTGTGTAGGAGTCTTTACTCAGCATTTGTCCATCAGTCCTAAGTAAAGCTGGTAATTCCTGGACAAGGCATATTTTCCCAGAATTATTTCCCTCTGAAAGGAGCGATACTGACTCCAAGATAGTATTGAAGGAGTATTTTGGAAAGTAGAGCTAGAGCACAGAAACACTTTTTCCAGTTGGCTCTATCCTGTCAGTCTCCCTTATACTCTCTTCCTGTTTGTTCCAAAACATGTTAAGGTAGAATCCCATGATACCTCTGACACTGCAGTAGGAAGAAACAGTATACTGGATGGCAGTCACATGAAGCTCTGCCACTAACTGCACTCTGTGAATAGCAACTTATGAAAATTAAACAAAGATGCTGGGTTAAATGGGAGACTAATCCCCAGAACCACTGAATGAGAAGGAAGGAGGAGAATGAGAGGGAAGGAGAGGGAGGAAAGCAGGTATTGCCTGTGTGACTTCAGATTTTAAGATCATAATGTGTTTTTTGTTCAATATCTCCTTCAAAAGATTTTTCTACTTGTAGCCCTGTTACAGGTGTGGTTTGTTGCTACAAGTACAGACCCTCCTATAATCGATCTATCTTAAACTTCTCAGGTAATAAGCAATTTTCAGGTAGGAAAGTTTGGTGTGAGAACCAACTTAATTCTGTCATTTTTTGCTTGGGGAAGAACAAACTTGTTCATAAATGTTTCATGCTGAATATGATCTTATAATTAAAATATATAGTTGTACAAAATTCATATTGGAGACAAATAATCAGTGTCTCAAGGTAGAAATTGCTTACTGTACCTTAATAGTGTATGGTTATGATTTTTTTATATTGCTTCTAAGTAACCCCTCCTCCAAAAATGTTAAGAAGTATAGAAAAAGAAGAGAAGGGAATAATTAAAGTTAGCCTGAGTGTGCTTTTTAAAGTAAAACTGGGTATGGGAATAATAGAACTGCCCAATTTATAGTTTAGCCCATTCTTCTTTTAATAGAAAAGAAGAAAACAGAATTATACCAGGAGTTAGGTCTTCAAGCCAGAGATTTGAGGTTTCAGCATGTGATGAGCATTACCACCAGAAACAACAGGATCATCATGAGAATGGAGGTAAAGGACTTCATGTTCATCTACATCTCTCCACCACAGCCTTACAATGTTATTTCTAGTCATCCTGGTCAATAGTTAGGTTGAAAGTTATTTCAGAATAAAAATGGGCCATTTTATAATCTAATACATTAGCAGAACTCTTTACATGGATTATATTGAGTAGATTTAACACTGCTTCCGATTTTATGTTGGAAAAAGTCTGACTGTGGTCTTCATTCTCATTGTTTGAAGTAGTCTGCCTTCTGAAGCTGTAAGAGAATCTTGATTTGTAGTAGATACATTTTGCTTGTCTTCAGTTATGTGTGATTATAGTATAACCTTAGCTAATAATGTTTTCTGGTTTTTCAGATAGCCTGGGGCCATCAAATTTTGAAACCTTAGATTTTTTTTTAAATAAACTATTACTAAGTGGTGTTCACTATATAGTCTCAACTTTTTGTTTAAATTTTTTTTTCATAATTGTTGAAAATAATATAAAAAAAACCATTCCTACTTTCTATATTGCTAGCACAGTAGGTGATAGGCTACCTCTATTCTTTCAACATAGGAGATACGATCTCTCTTTAGAGAGATTTCTCATTTCACACTATTCTAAATTAGAAGAGCCCTAAGGCTAGGTCTGTAAAATTTCTAACTAGCTTAATAAATGGTGATATTTTAAAAAGGAATCTTGAAAAAAAAATCTTTATCTTTCCCTGTATTTTTTTTTTTTTTGGTCGGTCCTGGGGCTTGAACTCTGGGCCTGAGCACTGTCCCTCAGTTCTTCAGCTCAAGGCTAATGCTCTACCACTTGAGCCACAGCGCCACTTCCGGTTTTCTGGTGGTTTATTGGAGATAAGAGTCTCACGGACTTTCCTGCCCAGGCTGGCTTTGAACCGCAATCCTCAGATCTCAGCCTCCTGAGTAGCTAGGATTACAGGTGCGAGCCACCGGCGCCCAGCTTTCCCTGTGTTTCTTATGATTACCCTGGAAGTCTTAATGTATGATTTGTATAATTCCATTTCTCTTGAAAGTAAATTAGAGGTATCAAAACACTTATATTCTAGAATTCCTTCTTTTAAAAAAAATATGATTTGGTTTAGTTCTAACACAAAATCAGAAAAATGTTAAACCCAGTTATATGCATTCTATTGTTTTCTGTAGCTCTAACTTGGATACTGTGGATATACATATGTAAATATGTGTCTATATCGATGGATACACAAATTGATATACGTTTTGTTGTTCTTTTCACAGTATTTGAAAGCTGTGGTAACTCCGGAGTGTCTTCTGATACTAGATTATCGGAATTTAAACTTGGAGCAATGGCTATTCCGAGAGCTCCCGTCGCAGCTGGCTGGAGAGGGTCAGCTTGTCACATACCCTTTACCTTTTGAGTTCCGAGCTATAGAAGCACTCCTACAGTATTGGGTAAGCCTATCTTTACTTAGTTTCTTAACTTTGTTGGGTTTTAAATGTTATTGAGGTTGAAATAAGTAGATATTAATTCAGTGATGTTCTTCACCCAGTCAGAAACATTTTTAAGGGTCCTGATGGAGATAGTACTAATTCCTAAATTTCAAGATTCTATCAAAGAGAACTACTGTATGCAGAGCATAATCACTTAATGAAACACATTTAAAGGTGGCTACATTTTATATGATTAAAATAGCCATAATTGCTTGTGATACTTGAAAATACTTAACATCCTAAATATATGTTAAATCAAATTTCAAATACATTGCTTTTTTCTTTCTAAACTATGTATATCATGTGCTTACACATAGAGATATATTATTTAATCATTTTTCTGTTTGTTGTGAAACCTTTGAAGTAGCTAAGTAATGCCTCAGTTTGAGATCTAGACTGACTTGGAAACCATACTTAATTCTTCTAATGACCTCCCCCCCTCCCATTAAATTGATAGTAATGGATGTCTTGAGATATTGTCACACCCAAAACAAGAGTGGTTCACTACATTCCTGGACTCTACCACTCTCTCATTCTCTTTTCTGCCCTCAGTAGTGTTTAAGAGCTAACTGCAGACAAGAATTAGTGCAAGGGGAAGTGGCGCTGTGGCTCAAGTGGTAGAGCACTAGCCTTGAGCCGGAGAGCTAAGGGACAGTGTCCAGGCCCAGAGTTCAAGCCCCACAACCAACAACAACAACAACAAAAAAGAACTGGTGCAAGGAACATACTAGCCAGAGGGGGGAAGGAAAAGAGGGTAAAAAAGACATGAGATGGGTGTGGTTTGGTTGAGCCTGGTGCCCTTCTCTTTTGCCTGCATTGTTCTAATGTTGGAAGAGATGATTGCACAACAGTACCAGGTGCAAACAGTTGTCAGTGGCAGGCTGCACAGGTGCTCAGGAGCTCATGATGTGTTAACCAATACAGAGCTCTTTGTCTCTTAGAGCTCTGCCATGAGAAAACAGATTATACATTATAAGAAATACACATTTTTTATCAGGAGAAATTTCTTCTGAAAGAATAGTGCACAGAAAGTGAGGCCAGCCATGCACCCCGAGGGATATCTTTTCAAAGGGAGCTCCCCAAACCACCTGAGGGACTGAGACATGCCAGCAGCAGCTACGCTTCACAGACATTTGGACTGTGATCTTCAAGCTGCCTACCCAACAGTACCTGAATCCAGAGCTCACTAGGCACAGGATTTGCTATCTCATTTGGAACGTTAGACTGTCCAGCTCTTTCCACTCAAGGTCTTCTGAACCTGAAAGCAGTTCTTCAAGGTTATCTGCAAATAGGTATCCTGAACTCAAGACTCAAGTCAGAACATTTAAAATCCCATTTAAATTCTAGTTTTCAGAGCATTGTTCACAAGAATCTTGAACTGTATTCTTTTTACAAAGAACATAAATATTATATTCTGAAGGTAAATTTTGTTTTAACCATGGAATAGCAGATTTGATTTTAGAAATGAATCACTCTTTTCTTTCATGGTAATTGTCTATAGGGATAACTCTTTCCTGCATTACTTCCCTTTCAACCAAATCTGAGCCTGCTGATAACATTGAGCATAGTTCTCTTAGCGCGGGAGATGTAGTTTTTAATCATTCACAAATGATTCCATCATTGACCATGTTCTGAAAGTTCTAGCTATGACAAATACCTGTATTTAATTGGAGGATTCGCTGACCCTAAGCATTCTAAAAAGGTTGTTTTAATTCTTATGAAAGGTCATGTTGTTGTCTAGATCAATACTCTTCAAGAGAAACTTAGCATTTTGCAGCCACTCATCCTTGAGACACTAGACGCTTTAGTGGATCCCAAGCATTCTTCTGTAGACAGAAGCAAATTACACATCCTACTACAGAATGGCAAAAGGTAAATATGAGTGTTATAAAGACAAATTTCTTAAATTTCTGTTTTACTAATCTTATTAGTGAAGTGTTTAGCATAAATTCATATATAAATGTATGTATCACAATAAAAAAGTATGTACCTGAAAAAAAAAATATATGTACCTGTACATACTGATGTACATGTGAGTCCTCACGACACCATCTCCAAAATAACCAGCAAAAAGCAGCCCAGCTGGAGGTGTGGCTTAAGTAGTAAAGCACTAGTCAAACAAGCAAGCAGAGCTTTGCAGAAGCCCTAAGTTCAGTCCCTAGTAGTGGCAAAAGAAAAAAAAATGCAAAGGTGTTGATGTTGTGGCCCATATTTGAGACCCATGGCTCACTCAGTCCTTACCTAGTACAGAAGAAACAGTGAATAATATGGGGGAAGAGGTATAACTCAATGGTAGAACACTTGATTACTATATAGCTGGGTCCTAGATTTGATCCCAAGCATCACAAAAAGTAAACTTAAAAAATAAAATAAAGGTTTATGGTTGATATTATCTTGGCTTATTGTGAATAAAAATAAATTCCCAATCCAAATATCCTAAATTCAAAACGATTCCACGTTTCTGAGATATATATGCTAAAATTTATATTTGTAGGCTGATGCTCTACTATTTGAGCCATGCCTCCAGCTGAAACTATTTCTACATCACTGATTAATTTTGCCAGTTAATTTAGTTTTGGTTTGGAATTTGTTCCAAATTTGTATGAAAACTATCAAAATGTTTTTTGTTGGTTATTGTTCCTCTTTGAGTGATTAGAGGATTTACTTGATAGGATACCCAAAAAAGGCACTCTTCTTAGCATGAAATGTTACTATCAGTTTATGGCACTGTATTTCTGTATGACTCTTCTTACAGTCTGTCAGAATTAGAAACAGATATTAAAATTTTCAAAGAGTCAATTTTGGAGATCTTGGATGATGAGGAGTTGCTAGAAGAGCTTTGTCTGACCAAGTGGAGTGACCCACACGTCTTGTAAGTAAACTCCCCCTTATTTATTTCCTCTGGGACTTCCATGTTTTTTCATAGGAAATTTTTCAAGAATAGAGAATATAGGCATTTCTTCCTCAATCACTTTTTCTCACCTCTGATTCAATTTAATAAATAGATGTTGAATGTGCACTGGATCCCAACCTTGGTGGGCTGAGATGAATATAAAAATAGTTATCTTCATTTTCACAGGGCAAACCACCAAACTGGCACACACCTCTACTGAAATAATTTATCCCAGTAGAATGAAGAGTTGGGGAGGGACAAGGCAGGGTAAACCAAGACAAGACATCAGCATAAATTCTGTAAATTTGGTCTAATATAAAAATGCACACAAACTTTTTTTTAGTCTCCTATAAATTTAGAAATATTACTCTTCTGCTTGCTCAAGTTAGTTTCTTTTTAAATACTCAAAATAGTTTTGTCCTTGCAGAGCAGTATCAGAAATTAAAACAGATCCATGGTCTGTAGAGATTTTTTTTAAAGCCTTTTTTAGAAATTGGTTATTTATATTCTAATAAGGAAATAAAGATAAAGGGCTATAGAATGTTTGGTAGGTAGCATTTAGATATAATAGAAACTTATTTCACTGATTTATATTTGCTTTGTTTAGGCTGATCTATCTTTTACGTGTTTTGTGACAGAAGTTTTACAGAATGCATCATTCCTCTTTTTGTGTCCACACCTGCACACAGATGCTTGCTTGCTCATACATGGCGAGCTACACCTCCAATTGGTCATTTTGCTGGTTGATTGGAGATGGAGTCTTACAGACTTTTCTACCTAGACTGGCTTTGAACTTCAATTCTCTAATCTCAGCCTCCTAAATAGCTTATAAGACTACAAGTGTACGTCATCAGAGCCCAGCTTTATCCTCTTTCTTGATAGGGATTGTGGATTTAAGAACAAAATAATTGTGTATTAATACAATTCAAAAACATTTTCTTGAGCCAGCCATGGTAGCACATGCCTATTATTTTCCTGGCATTTGGAGGCTGAAGCAAGTGAACCTCAAGTCCAAGGCCAGCCTGAACCTCATAATGAAAACTTGTCTCAAAAAAATTTTTTTCATATGTAAAAATTGCATTATAGATTCATCTTGGAAAGGAAATGCTCTTTTTGTTCATTTCCAATTTTGGTTTTATTTTGCTTGGTAGTAGTTCGAGATTTAGCTCATCAAAATTCATTTTGATTTTTCCTTGAACAGGTAGAACATGTTTTCATGAGTCTTAGACTGGGGCTATGGGATACAGTGGAGCTAACTAGCATATGAAAGGATGGAGCCTTAGTCCTCAAGATACCTGTGTAGTGTTTAGGAACCGCTGACATGGCCTCCCACAGACTGAACTGTTAGAAGAGTAGAAAAGGCAAAGGCTAGGTTTTTTCCACTGGTGGCTGAAGTTTGAGTCACTAAAGACGTGATACACCTAATGGGAAGGTGTTAACTATGTTTAATTAACTCTTTGAATTGAAGTGAAAAGAGCAGTACTGGGATTGACCATGCAGAAGAAATGGAATTGCTCCTCGAAAACTACTACCGATTGGCTGAAGATCTTTCTAATGAAGCTCGTGAACTTAGGGTACTAATTGATGACTCGCAGAGTATTATCTTCATCAATCTAGATAGGTAAGAAAGCACTATAAAACACCTGTTTTCCCTACAAAATACATATATATATATATATTTTTTTTTTTTTTTTTTTTTTGTCCGGTTGTGGGGCCTGAACTCTGGGCCTGGGCACTGTCCCTCAGCTCTTCAGCTAGCGCTCTACCACTTGAGCCACAGCACCACTTCCGGCTTTTTTCTTTTTGCTTATGTGGTGCTGAGGAATCGAACCCAGGGCCTCATGCATGCAAGGCAAGCGCTCTACCACTGAGCCACTTTCCTAGCCCATCCCTACAAAATATTTTAAAGTAAGAGTTTTTTTTAAAAAGGTCATTTTGGAAGGACTTAGGCCACCATCACCATTTATAACTACTACACAGGTTTGTTCATTTGTGTTTTGAAGGTATAGAGCTAATACAAGTGGTCTTTATTAGATTACTAAAGTACATAGTTGGTAAGTCACCTGCTCTGAGTTGGTGTTCTCCTTTCCAGTCACCGGAATGTGATGATGAGGTTAAATCTACAGCTGACCATGGGAACCTTCTCTCTTTCTCTCTTTGGACTAATGGGAGTTGCTTTTGGAATGAATTTGGAATCTTCTCTTGAAGAGGTAAAAATGTATTATTCAATAACTTGGGGTTTTTTTGTTTTGTTTTAAATGATTTTCCGGTCCATTTAATTTGCTAGTGCTGGGTATTGAACTCGGCACTCTACCACTTGTGGCAGACCCCCAGTTATTTTGCTTTGTTTTCAGATAGGGTTTCATGTTTTGGGGGTTTTTTGGTTCCCCCCATGTCCCTGGACTGACACCACTATACCTGAAAAAGATCAGTTTTTTAATGGATTTAAATGTAAACACATTCTCATAGTTAGTGAAATAAATATGAAGTGTAACTTACTTAGAATTGGCAATATTAGTTCTTATGTGTCTGTCATTGTAACTGGAAGTTTGATACTTTATTTGGCTCAATATTGCAACTCTGTGCCAGTAGATTATATCATCCCTACTTTATAGATGAGAAAACAGAAACTTAGAAAAGTTAAGGAATTTGTCCCAGGACACATCTAGAAAATAAGCATTAAGATTTCAACCCAAAGACTGTACTTTCCACTAGCTCTCCTGCCTTTTTGTGTTAATAGAACACTAAACTCCCATAGTCTTTCCTAATTCTAGCCTTGTGTTTTCAGAGAACAACTTACTATAATATTTCGACCAGTGATCTAAAAGTATGGTTGATACTCTCATGACTGATTTTGTGTTCTAATTAGTTTACCAAGTCCACTGTCTTTTTTGGGGGCCATCACCCTAGTCTAATCCATATCATCTCTCTCGAGGACCATTATATACTTCTAAAAACTGGTTCAAAAGATGTAAATCTGGCCAGCCACCAGTGACTCACACCTATAATCCTAGCTACCCAGGAGGTTGACATCCCTTTGTGATCCTGTGGATCACAGTTCAAAGCCAGCACAGGCAGGAAAGTCTGTAACCTTTATCTCTGATTAACCACTAAAAAAGCAGAAGTGGAGCTATGGCTCAAATGCTAGCCAACCTTTAGTGAAAAAAGCTAAGACGTCTGATCCTTAAGTTCAAGCCCCAGAACCCACGCGTACATACACACACACAAAAGATATAAATCTGATTGTCACTCTTGTACATACAAATATTCAGTGGTCATTATTTTATTTTTGGTGGTACTGGAGTTGGAACTCAGAGCCTCCTACAGACATTCTACCACTTGAGCCATACCCTCAGTACTGTTTGCTTCTTATGGTAGAATCTCACATTTTTGCTTAAGCTTGACCTCAGATTGTGATTCTCCTACCTCTGTCTCCTACATACCTGGAATTTTCACGGTAAGTCACTAGCCTCGCTATCTTTTGAGATAGGATCTTGATAACTTTTTACCTGATTTGGCTAGATGGCGTCAACTGCAATCTTCCCATCTATTCTAGTCTATTCTATGTAGCTAAGCTTACAGGTGTGAGCCACCAAGCCCAGCATTCACACGTCCTTTGATTAACCTTCAGATAAAAATCTAGATCCTGTATCTGTGGGGCTTTTCCTGATCTCCTGCATCTTCAGCCACTCTGGTCAGGTGATCCATCCTTGCTTCTTCTCACACTTGCTGCCTCCACACCTCCTCTCAACTTTCTACCTTTGTCTGGTTAATCCACCCCACTTCTCAGATCTTTTGAATTAAGCATCATTCTTATGTACATAGGTAAACATCTGAAATGCTCAAGAATCTAGAATTTTTTGAGCACCAATATTCCAGAGGCAGGAAATTTCATTCCTAACCTCATGTGACAGGTCTGTCAAAATGCAGTCTCACTAGAAATATTGTATGAAATATATTTTGTTTAGACACCCAAAAGTAATGTCATTTTGTATAATCAAATATTCCAGAGTCTGAAATACCTCTGATCCTAAGAATTTTGGAGAAAGTTTATGGAGTATGGGTTGAATACCCTAACTCCATTTTATACTTTGCTACTTGGGAGGCTGAGGCAGGAGAATCTCCTACACCCATGAATTCAAGGCTAGCTTAGGCAATACAGCCAAACTCTGGCTTAAATAAATCACTTTATGATAGTTTGGTTACATGCAATCCTAGTTGTCACGAGGTGTGAATAGTCAGTAGTGAGCAAACTAACAAGGTTGCCTACTTAGCTCTAAGCACCCTACCCTTTTGTCATGAACTCTGCCATCTGTTTTAGGACCATCGAGTGTTCTGGCTGATTACAGGAATTATGTTTATGGGAAGTGGCCTCATCTGGAGGCGTTTGCTTTCATTCCTTGGAAGACAACTAGAAGCCCCATTGCCTCATAAGGTATGAAGGTTGTGGCTGACAGTAGTATTGTGGAGGACTGTAATCATGGCTCTGAAGTCAGGTAGCCTGGGCTTAGGCAGTCACAGATTTTTGTGAGCCTGTACAAGTTATTTCTCTAAACCTTCCTCAGTTTCCCCATCTCCCTCTGTTTCCCTATCTATCAGTTCAGTCAGCACTATCTACGGCACAGGATTGTTTGAGAGAATTAAATAAGTTCTGTATAGCACAGTGGCTGGTTAGAAATTTATTTTTAAAAAACTAACAAGCATTATACAATAAGACAGATTATACATTTAGACAGATGGTGCAAGCTTTTATCATAATCAAATATGGGCAAATGTGTTGTTGAAAGGGCATAATGTTTGTCTTTGTATTAGATGCCACCATGGAGTAAGTAGTGACAGATGGCTTCTAGTTCTTCATATCATTTTACCTGTGGATTATTTCTTGCTTCATCTAGATGGCCTCTATACCTAAAAAGGCCCTTCTGGCAGATAGAAGGATGGATGTGAAGAGCAGCCTGAGACCAGATGGACTTGGATCGAACAGGACTGTCCTAACAAACCGCTAACATCCACCTGGGGGGTAGTCTATATTTTTTTATACTTCTGATAATTTATTTTCTTTTATAGAGTCATATGCTCAAAAAAAAAGATTCATATGTAAAATGTCTGATTATAAAAAATAGAGCATTCTTAATAATAGAACTCGATTGCATTTCCAGAATATTAAGCAAGGTGCTTTCTTTGTAAAAGGCCAAAATTCTATTTCCTAGAAACTTAAATACTGTTTTATAGGCATGCTATGAAACAGACTAATTTCAGGGTGACCGTTAGATAGACTTTATATCTTAATTTATACAAATATTCATATTAAGTGCAGTTTTCTGCCAAATGAAGCCAAGGAACTGGAAGAAGCCACGGTCATTGAGATCAGGTAACCACAATTCTTAAGTACAGGGAATTAGGTTCATCCAGGCTCATAGTACTAGAAAGCTGGCATATGCCAGGCGCCACTGGCTCATGCCTGTAATCCTAGCTACTCAGGAGGCTGAGATCTGAGGATCACAGTTCAAAGCCAGCCAGAGCAGGAAAGTCTATGAGACTCTTATCTTCAATAAACCACTAGAAAACCAGAAGTGGCACTATGGCTCAAGCAGTAGAGCACTTACCTTGAGCTAAAGAGCGCAGGGACAGCGCCCAAGCCCAGAGTTGAAGCTCCACTACTAACAACAAAATAAAAAAAGCTGGCGTAACGTGTTAATCTTAAACTCTAGAAGTTTGTGCTCTAAAATTAATCCTTGAAATGATCTTATTTTCTTGTATATCAGCATTTATATGGACTCCAGTAAATCAATATTTCACACCTACTACCCTGTTTTCTTTGTTTGGCTATAAGAGCCTTTTGAAGTAAAGTTGAAAGGAAGTATTTCTATGCTGTTACTGTTTTCTTACTGCTTTATTGCCTAATTTTTAGAGTTTGCTTTCTTTTTTTTAAGACAATCTCCCTGAAACCATATATGACCTAGCTAATCTCATGCCCACCCCCTCAAAAGTTAATGGGGGGCTGGGAAGGTGGCTCAGTGGTAGGTAGAGTGCATACATGAGGCCCTGGGTTAGATTCCTCAGCACCATTTAAGCAGAAAAAAGCCAGAAGTGGTGCTATGGCCCAAGTGGTAGAGCGCTAGCCTTGAGCTGAAGAGCTGAGGGACAGTGCCCAGGCCCAGAGTTCAGGTCCACAACAACAACAAAAAAAAGGGTAGGCATCTAAATCAAGAAGGCAAAAGTGTTGGTCTTATAACTTTTAATTTTCATAATAAGAGGCTTGAATTGCCAGGCACTAGTGGCTGACGTCTATAATTCTAGCTTCTCAATAGGCTGAGATCTGAGGACCATGGTTCAAAGCCAGCCTGGGCAGGAAAGTCTGTGAGACTCATCTCCAGTTTGATCACCAGAAAACCAGAAGTGGCTCTGTGGCTCAAAGTGGCAGAGTGCTAGCCTTGAGTGAAAAAGTGCAGGGACAACACCCAGACCCTGCGTTCCAGCCCCATGACCCTGGCCCAGCCCAAAAGAGGCTTGAATTGAAAACAAATAGCTATTATTTTCCTAATCAGAGGCCTGAATTTTAAACATAGGATAGCAGCACTCAAAAATACTACCTACTTAACATCTTACTAGCCTTCATGTATTTTTCTGGACTTTCCTTACATTGTGTAGAAAATAGTGTGCATGGAAGATTTTTGAATGGCAAAAGCAGCTCTTATTCTCAAATGCAGTAGCAAAAGGATAAATAAAAGCCTGCTCTGATGTTGTTAGGGTATCTGATTACCCTATTATGGTAAACTTCCCTTGGAAGTTTAGGGATCTTTTTACTAAGTAGTTTGGTGATAGAAGTAACATGCCTTCCATTCCCTATGTGATTATAGGAAGCCATGGGAGGGAAGCTGGAAAGTAGTGTCACGAGACATGCTAGGTTATTGTTTGGAGCCTGAGTGAGCACTGTGCACCATTCTGTGGGTAGGAACACACCTTGTGGTATAGATGCCAAATGTGAATAGTTCAGTACCTCTAGCATCATGAGTCCTTTTGATGATTTTTAAGAATACTTTGGTAATTCTTGAATTTCACAGGACACTCTTCTTCAGCACAACTAAAAGCATTCTGTTAGTTTTGGTCTTACCACTGTAAAATAGGTAATAAGTATTACTTAACTGGAATATGGAATCCTAGAGGGTAAAATTTGATTGAAGGTCAGATGTAGGATCAAAAATTAGCCAGGCACCGGGTGGCTCACACCTGTAATCTAGCTACTCAGGAGGCTGAGATCTGAGAATCGCAGTTCAAAGCTAGCCCAGGCAGGAAAGTGCCTGAGACTCTTGACTCCAATAAACAACCAGGAAACCAGAAGTAGCCCTGTGGCTCAAGTAGTAGAGTGCTAGCCTTGAGCTGAAGAGCTGAGGGGCAATGCCCAGGCCGAGAGTTCAAGCCCCATGATTGACAAAAAAAAAATAGTCATGCCCCAGCAAAAAAGGGAAAATAGGTTAACTACCTCATACATCTCATAAAAGGAAGCTACTAATACTTTTTTAAAGGTAGTTAGATCATGTACATATAATTTTTAAATGTCATTTGGCTCTGTTTTGGTTATTTCAGAACGATCATATAATTCTCGTAAGAGGGTTTGAAATACTGAACTGAGCTGGGCACCGGTGGCTCACACCTGTAATCCTAGCTACTCAGGAGGCTGAGATCTGAGGATCACAGTTTAAAGCCAGCACGGGCAGGAAAGTCCATGAGACCCTTATCTCCAATAAACCATCAGAAAACTGAAGTGGTGCTGTGGCTCAAGTGGTAGACCGCTAGCCTTGAGCTGAATAGTTAAGGGACAGATCCAAGGTCCAGAGTTCAAGCCCCACAATTGACAACAAAAAAAAAAAAAATACTGAACTGATTAACACATTAACAACTGAGTTAGGTAACTGGGTAGTCACATTCCCTGTTAAGAGCATGAAGAAGAAAGCATCTTTCCTTTTGGAAGGTTTCTGTAGGCAAAACAGACATCATTTTAGAGTACTATTTAACTCTTGATTTATTCTTGATATATTTTTTGTAAACAGACTGTAAAATAGTCTAAGAAATTTCATATTAAAAAGATAGTTATTTTGGTGAGTGAGTTATTCCAATAGTGTGCACAGATTTTTATTTTGAATGGCAATACTAAAGTCACATTTTGAATTTAGGATTTCCTTTTTTTAGTAATAGCCACAGAGGTCATCTAATAGATTGGGAATAAGGACTTCAGAGACCTGAGGTCTGCTGCCTAGCTCACTACACATCATTTTTATCTCGTAAGTCTGTGATTAAAAAGGTGTAAAACATTGACATCTTGGAAGTTGTTGGATATACAGATAGTAGAAAGATAAATGTCTTAATATCTTGAAATAAAGGTATCTCGGCTACTCTTGAAGAAACTTAGATTGATGTGAATGAGAAAACCCTTTTTTTTGCAGGTCAGTAAACATTTCAGAGTTCATGCTTAGAACTATATTTAATTTAGTGGAATAAATTCAGTCTACCTACCAGGATAATACATTAGACTTTTACTATGTATTTTTGTTCTCTATGCCAGGTTCTTATACATTTGCCATGCAAGTTGACTTAAAACAGTAGGAATATATTCTACTTCATTTTTGACAATGTATGAGTATGACAATAGTATGAGTAAATGTACAGTAAGTTTGAAAATGTGCTTCCATGTAAATTTTTATAACTTTTTAACCTTTACCTGCTCTCTGGTTTGTTCAGTCATTGAGGTCAATAATGATCCTATCATTTTAGCAAAGCGTAAACACACACTTGATCTAGCTCAGTGGTAGAGTGCTAGCCTAGCACATGCAGGGTTCCTAGTGCCACATTAAAAAAAAATCATAACAAAGCACCGACACATTATATAGCAATGACAAGGTAGCCAGGCAGCTAGAAAACCTCTAAGAAAACTAAGATAGTCCTGGAAGTGGTCCAGATGGGTCTAAGTATGGCCCTTTTTTCCTGTCACTTTCCTCACCATACACTCTCAACCACAGTAGCTTTTCTTTAGTTTCTACTTTTTACCAATCTGTCTCCAGAGAAGATGAGAAAGAGACTTTCATCATGCTTTTCATATTGGTTCTCTAGTTTATCAATTAGAGAAGAAGCTCTCTCTTCTGACACTAAACTAGTTACTTTCTACATAAATAATGCCAGAAAATTTTAAAACAGCCCAAGGACAAGTGATGCCAAAGCCTTTTCCCTTACTCATTTTGTCCCTCATAGAACCCTGGCCCAGGCCACTCCTCTCCTCCCTACTTCTGTTGGCACAGCTTGTGGCAATGTAGCTCAACGAAGTTCCCTGGAGAGATGACTTAACACTAGCAGAGTCCTGAGGTTCATCGCTTGTTAGAACAGCTATCTCTACATAAGCATGTGAGAGCACAGAAAGGTAGCTGAGTTTTAGTTATATTTGTCTATTATATAACATGTGGAAAATGCAATAGTCCTCATTAAAAGAACCAAAGCACAAGTGATTTGAGAGTGGGAGGTGGTCTCACCCCCTTATCTTCCTCTGTACTATTTCCCCTCCTCCCTCAATTCTTCTGTGTGTACTATGAATGTGACAAAATACCTGAGATAATAAAGTTAACAGAGGAAATGTTTATTTTGCCTTACAGTTTCAGTTCATAGTCATTTAGCAGTTCATCATGGTAGAAGCCATGGCAGAGAAAAGCTGCTTGCTTTATGACAGTCAGGAAGCAAAAAGAAAGGAAAGCCTGGAGTCCTAATGTAACTTCCTCCAACCGGGCCTCACCCATAAGTTTCCACCACCTCCCAACAACTGTTAGCTGGGGACCAAGCTTTCAACATATTAGCTCTGGGAGACATTTACAATCAGCCACCATAACAAAAAGGGGTTGTTTGTGGTTAGCTTTTTTTGTTTTCTTTAAGGAACTACATAAGATTGTCTAAGACATAACCACAGGAAACCTTTCCAGGTCTCAGGGAGACACACATAGGTGTTCAAGTGGAAAGAACAAAGGTTTAGATGCAGAAGCAAACAAGTGAAATTTGGAAGAGGAATGAATACATACATTTAGTGCAGTCATGCACATTGCCATATTTGCAGACATTTTGGCTGTTAGAGCATGTCTCTTCCACAAGTCAGCCACTGGATATGCCAGCTTGCCCACCAGAGTAGTCTCCCTGAAGAGGACTCCATGAGAGAGGGAGGGAATAGGAAAATGGAGTGTCTTCAGTTTGGGCTGAGGCTATAGACATGAAGTGTCCCTGAGAGCCGTGCTCCCAAAGAACTCCTTCCAGCAGCAATGACAACTTGGTTCTGTAAGAGATACAGCAGAATTTATGATTCATTCATGCTCCTCCCATAGACCAAACATCATGCTCTGCCCTGGAAATTAAAAAAAATAATAAACTAAGATACTGGTCAGAGCACAGCTTGAACTTAAATGCTTTTCTCTGTTTAGATGTCTGTAAAATAAATAATAAATAAACCCCACAGTTGAGGAAGCACACCCTGATCCCCTCTTGCCCATAAAAAATAAAGGAAAACTATGGAAGTGCATTCTAGAATCCTGCCTGTGGTGCAGTGTAAACACCTGTTGAGGTATTTGCACATTGTTCTGCTGCTTGAAATGTTATGACTCATCTTTCAGGACTGCCTTTGAAACCTAAGTTGTTAATTACACAGTGGGCAAAATCTCCAATGTGTGGTGGGTTTTGATTTTTAGAAACTGTCAAGAGTTGTTCTGGACCCAGACCCAGCCTGGTGAATGAGATCTTGTGATCAAATTGGCTGATGGTATTTGATAGATCAGGATATACTTTTGGTTGGGACATACTTTAGTGGTTTTTACTGATTCAATTTTGAACACTACTGACAAAATCTAGAAATAATCGCTAAAATGTATTAAGCCTTTATTTGTCAGATTATTGGCTTAGCCCTTTTCTTGTATTACCTCTTATTACCTGAGTGTTAGTTTAAGGGAAAATTACTCAATCTCAGGGAAAGGCTACCCTCTGATAATTCTCAGGTTGTCCGTGGCCACTGTTTAAACGTAATTTCTGATTTATCCTTATACTCCTAATGTGTTAGTGCTCCCCCAGTCTCAGGTAGGTGAAGAATCCAATACCAAGTGATCTCTTAACATTAATTTGGAATGTATTACTTTTAGATGATCTATATATCACCATTCCTTAATCAGTATTAATTATGGATGTATTTTTTAAACTAATGCATAAATTCTCAAGTGTCCCATTTTTTGGAAAACCCACAAAATTTCAAATTCAAAAAAGCAGATTTGGGCTGGGAATGTGACTTAGTGGTAGAGTGATTGTCTAGCATGCATGAAGCCCTGGGTTCAGTTCCTCAGTACCACATAAACAGAAAAAGCTGAAAGTGGTGGTGTGGCTCAATTGGTAGAACTTTAGCCTTGAGCACAGAGAGGTTCAAGGACAGTGCCCAGGCCCTGAATTCAAGCTCTAGGACTGGCAAAAACAAAAAACAGGTTTATGATATAAAGTATTCTTTTGAAAATCCTTCCATAAGCTATTAATCCATATTTGTGTGTAGTCGGTAATCCTGAATTGTTGCCATCAGGCTTGCCTGTAACACAGGAACTGTTGGCCACTAGAGGGCAGTTTCACCAGGATTCTTAAAAGCAGGAGCATCTCCTAAGCCTTATAGACTTGGTTATATCTACCACTCCAAAATTTAAGAGGGCTTCCCCAGACTTCATCACACTGTTGAGACTTAATACTCATGGTACTCTTTAGCATTCAATCCTACACCAATTTGCATTTTATTTCATTTAGGTGTATATAAGTCTTATTTTTCAAGAGCAGGCCTGTTAATATTTCATGGCCTAGCACAGTTCTTCTATAGAATATCATATTGTTAAAGTGAATGAGTGGAATTAATGGTATTATGACATAAAGTAAAGCTTTCTATAACTATTATATTTTTAAATATATGTGCCCTAGATCTAGCATCCTGCTTCTAAGATTTTAACCTAAAAGGATATTTGTACAGTTATAAAAATAGGTGCAAAAATGCTCTCTACAACATTGTCTGTAATGGTCACCAAAATGGAAATAGCCCAAATACCTTTGTGAAGACAAATTTAAGAACTGAAATATGGCACATGTATTGTGTAACGCTGTGTACTTGTCTGGGTTGTGGCAAAATACAGCACATGAAAAAAAAAGTATTTCTGTAGTCATACAAAAATGATCAAAGTCTGGAAGAAAACAGCAACATATTTAAAACTATTACCCTGTAAGGCAAGGTCAGCAAACATTTTCTGTGAAGAGCCAGATAATAACTTTGAGGCTTTGTGAGACACAAGTCTCTGAAACTGCCATTGTAGCATGGCAACAACCTTAGACAGCCCAGGAGGGGGTGACTATGCTGCATTCCAATAAGACTTAAGGGACAGGGATCTACCTCAGTGATAGAGCACTTGTCCAGCATGTGGAAAAGAAAACTACAACTTCTAAGCACTGATATTTAACTGCATATAAATTTCTTGTTACAAAGTACTTTTCAACTGTTGAAATATGTCTTGACCATGTTTAGTTCATGACTACAAAAAGTCAAATGTTGGCCCATAGGCTATATTTTACCAACCCTTGCTATTAAGGATAAAACAATAATATAGAAGAAAACTTTGCACCTTCAAAAATAGTGTAGGAAGTGGCACTGTGGCTCAAGTGGCAGAGTGCTAGCCTTGAGCTGAAAAGCTAAGGGCCAGCACCCAGGCCAAGTTCGAGATCCACGATAGACCAAAAAAAAAAAAAAAAGTGGGATTTGTGTGTGCATGTTACTTTCTTTTGTGCATGTATTCCTTTTTCAAATAAAATCTAAAACTTTAAAGATGAATCATCAGATCCTGGCATTAGAACAAATAGACATCAGTGTAGGCCTTGTAACTCACCTCTTTCTTTGACCTCACGGAGATCAGAGAGCTCCCAAACCTTGACCTTGCCTGTAAAATACACTCTGTTAATGGGTCTTTGATAAAGAACAGGCCATACTTCATCAGTTAAACTAAAGGATGTGCCTTTTTTTGTTTCTTTTAAAATTTCTTCATTCCTTCATGTGGTACTTACTTCAGGAGAAATTAGTACATATTGAGCCTGAAAAGGGGAGAGAAAAGGAACACAATGCTATTACTGTTGGTGTGGGTTTTCAGTCAGTTTCAGTTAAACCTTTATGCCCACATTTCACTGAACAATGTACATGACCTTTGACCTTTGAAAATGCATTTATAGGAACTAAGAATATAATCAGATGTATAAAAATGTTTATATGTGAGTATTTTCCATAAAGTAACTAGTGATCACCATTTATGACTAGTGATCTTTAATATTTAAACTGGTTTATAGATTTAAAATATTAGGCAGCTAGCAAATATATGAATTTTAAAATATAATTAACCTGCCATTAGAATATCAGATAACAGAAAATATTCTTGATTGAAAATCCCTTATCCAAGAAAGATTGGTTCCCACAGTGTTCTTGATTTCAGGTTTTAGAATATCTGCATTTATACAATGAAGTTGGAGACCGGACTGAACATGAGCTGGATCTAATTATGAATTTATTATATCCATAGCCTGAAGATAGTTTTATGCAATGTTCTAATCTGTGCTGAAACAGTTTAGTCATGTGGAATTTTCCACTGTACTGTCATGTGAGTGTTTAAAACATTCCAGATTTTGCTTTTTTGATTCAAGAAGCTTGCCCTTGTGTATTCATTAAATTCATTTACAGAATCGTGCATGCAAAATATATGCTAAAAATACATGCACTCAGTAATAGTTAAGAAAAAGTTTACAATCAAGTCTTGATTCAAACCCCTATTGTATCTAGCATTGTGACCTTAGACTCTGATCTTCAGCGTTTATTTGTAATTGAGCATAATAGAAACTTCATAGCAAATTGAAAGGGATTATATTACATATAGTGTCAGCATGTGCATAGTAATACAGAACACAGAGGAGCAGATAAAGTCATGGAAAATACTAGAAGAGTACACTTCAGGTTAACAGGCATTAACTCTGCAGAGTAGAATTCTAGGTAGATAATTTTGCAATTTAAAAAATAGTGTTTAAATTTCAAAAATAATTAACAGCCAATGTTTGAGGGACAGGAAACATGAGTTAAGGAAACACACCTAAGAAAAGGCATTAGAAGTTTTAATGAAACTCCAACAGCCTTAGCTTGTTTTCTTTCTCCTGCTGTGGCAAACACCAGTGTACCACCAAGTCCAGCCAGACTTTAGGTCTAGAGGCAAACATGGCACAACTGAGAACTGCAGGCTGCTGATTGTTCCTGACCCCACGACCTTGGAGTTGAGGCAAACTAAGTTTTACCTTGGACCTGGACTACCAGGGAATCAGTAAGTAGTCATCTTTACCCAATGTGCTGTTAGAATTTTGTCCTACACTTCACCTTTTCCTCTGGACATGGAGTTATCCAAGATTTGCATTTTCCTGTCATGTCTCCGAGGGTGGTCCCTTTGCCATTGTATACATACACTCTTCCATCTTCTCCTCCAAGCAGCCCAGAGGTTACATCTGTTATCCTCAGTGGGGCTGCCATAATGATTTCATCTGTAAACAATAAAAACCAGAAGAATAAGATATCAAACAACTTTTATTCTTTCCTGGTACCATTGCTAGATCAGAATCAACTTCCCACAAATAAAGTATCCTTTAAACTGCCGTGATCTTCTTGTGGCAGGGTAACCTTAAAGGCCTTTGCTTCCTACTTTGTCATTCATCAATAATTGACATAGTGACTCTCACATGAACATCTTCAGGAAGTATACCTCCGCCTTGCACATCCAGTTCCAGCCTTACCCAATCCAGATCTAAAGGCCCCAGGGCTACTGGGCTGTCAATTAGAGGCCAGATTCTAGTTTATCCAATCAGAACTGACCTGTTGAGCAAAGGAACTTATCCAGGCTGAATTCCTTTCTTACCTAAGCCATCATTATCCAGATCACTCAAGTGTAGAACTCCACCAAAGCGAGAGAAACGACGGTCTCCACTGAAGGTGCTGAGCAGAGAGGGCTGCGTGTCCAGTGTTAGTGCATAAAGCCGAGTAGTTCCGCCTTGGTGCAGGGTCATTTTCAGGAATGCCATTTTAGACACATCATCTGAAACAAGCCACAGTGCCTGTTGGCATCACAAGTGTGACACAGGATGTAGACCAAACAGAATATTCTCCCCATTTGCGTGCAGAAGTGTTGCTCACTACATAGGACAGAGTTCCAGGGCTGGTCTACTCTGGTGGGTTAAAGGTTTAAGTAGTTTGGGCAGCAAGACTCAAAACACTAAGAATTCAATTAATTCCCACCAGATAGCTTCCTTCTTCTGGTCTTACCCCTCTAGAACAATTCTATGATTTCTGTTTTACATACAGACTATCCATGTTCCTGTCCTGACTACAAGCTCAAATGTAGTTGGGCTTTGGATGACACCAAGGCTCGTCCCCAGTTCTAACACTAGTTCCTACCCCTGCCTGCTTTGCACACACAACGAACCTGAAACAGTCCTAGATCTAGGCCTTTAGCCATAACTGCCGCATAGGAGAAACTCCTTCCCCATGCCCCTTGCTTTCTCTTGTTCACACCTCTGCCAGTTATTCCTGCTCATTCTTCAGAATTTGGCTGACCTTTCTTACCCTCCCTGCCTAGAAGAAATGCTGCTCTCCTTGTGCCAGCAAAAAGGGTTGGTAGCATGGTTCAAGCAGTAGAGCACCAGCCTAGCAAGCACAAGATACTAAAAGTTCAAAAAAAAGATAGAAATTTTTTCTTTTTTTTTTTTGGTCCGGTCGTGGGGCCTGAACTCTGGGCCTAGGCGCTGTCCCTCAGCTCTTCAGCTCAAGGCTAGTGCCCTACCACTTGAGCCATGGCGCCACTTCCGGCTTTTTGCTTTTTGCTTATGTGGTGCTGAGGAATCGAACCCAGGGCCTCAGGCATGCAAGGCAAGCGCTCTACCACTAAGACAACTTCCCAGCCCCAAGATAGAAATTTTTAAGAGTGAAAACTACCATGAACTTGTGGTTTTATATATCTGGGTAAGGGGTAAATTTTGTGTGTGTGTGTGCCTATTCTGGGGCTTGAACTTAAAGCCTGGGCATTGTCCTTGTGCTTTTTTGCTCAAGTCTAGTACTCTACCACTTGAGCCATAGCTCCACTTCTGAGTGTTGTTTTTTGGTTTGGGTTTTGTTTTTTTTTTGGGGGGGGGGTAGTTAATTGGAGAAAAAGTCTCACAGACCTTCCTGCCCTAGCTGGCTTTGTACTGCAATCCTCAGATCTCAGCCTCCTGAGTAGCTAGATTACAGGCATGAGCCACCTGTGGCCAGCAGGGGGTAATTTTGCATACACACACACACCTCATACTTTCTCACATTTTCACAATAGCCATGACTCACTTTTGTGATCCAGGGATCTTTTTTTTTTTTTTGTAAATTTTTATTCTCAAAAGAATGATTTAAGATGCATCCTCAGATTCATTCCTGGTGAACTGATTTATAAAATTCTTCTCTAGTCCCAAAGCCACTGGTGCAGGGATTTAAAAATACAGTTACTTCCAACCTCATTTTCAATACACTCTTGAAATCTTAGAATCTCTATTTTAGTAATATAGAAAAGTCAAGGGAGTTTAAGTAACATTCCTCAAAGGTATGCAGTTGCTACTGATGAACACAGGAAATATTTAACCCCAGTCCTGACTGGCACCAATCTCCTAACTTTCTGGGCATCTGACAGGGTCAAGGAACCACAGGATGGAAAGGAAGCAAAATCGTGGCACATGACCTACCGTGAGTTGGGGCCCCAACCACCAGCACTTGTGTCAGGATCCCGTTCACCTTCACATGGCCACTTGACAGGGACGTGCCCAGTTTTCCCATTGCCTGTGAAACACCATCAATCAGTGTTGCACAGCAAGAAAACTACACCGTGTCTGCTGTCCTGGGGAGGGAGAGGGCTATACCTTGTCTCCAGAAATGATAAACTGCTTTTGGCAATTTGGTGGGAAGTAGCCGTACACCCTTCCAAGGCTTTTTTTCTCACTAGCACCATGGAATAAATAGCCAAGCCTGGAAAGAAACAGTGAGCTCAGCTGCCAAGGGTCCGGCTCCAAGGGAAGAAAACACAGCTCTGCTCCATCATACCTCCCTCCCTCCTTTTGTCCTTGTGCCCTTACCCCGAAGGGCAGGACCACTGATTCCATCAAAACAGTATGGAAGCTCTTGCACTTCTCAACTGAACACACACAGGGATCCTGCTGCTAGGGGCCCCATTGCTTCTCTCCAAATCCCTATGTTAAAGTCTTAACTTCCAGTACTTCAGAATGTGACTGTATTTGGAGACTGGTTAACCAAGTGACTGAATTTTTTAAAAAGGAGATAGAGTGGGTCATAATCCAGTCTGATTTATTTCCTTGTAAGAAGAGGTCAGGACACAGACACACTTGGGGATACTGTTTTATGCCATAGGGGGATGAGAGCCATCTGTAAGCCAGAGAGAGACCAACCCTGCTAACACCTTGCTCTTAGGTTCCAGCCTCCAACTCTAGCATAAGACAAATACATTTCTGTTGTTTAACCCACCCAGCCTTGTGGCACCTCGTCATGGAAGCCCTGGAAAATGCAGACATTTATCTGCTGCCTTTTTAATTTCAAAGATGGAGAATATGCAAGATTTCCCTGCACTCATAGTTGATGAGTTCCCACAGCAGCTGGTACCTGCCTCTGTGCTCAGTGATCCCCAGAGCTCAGTATCAGTACCTACCTAGTAATATTCTTCCAGACTGGGCTTCCGACTAGCAGCAAGGTTCTGTTGTTCACCATGACACTGTGAAGGGAGTATCCAAACCAGGAGAAGTCTTCCTCACCTCTCACCAGCCAATCAGCCTCTGCCACACTCAGCGTCTCTAAAGAAGATACCCAGTCCCTTTAAATGCAAGGTCTATCTGGACAGGTCCTGTTTGTAGGCCAGCAAGAAACAGGGTCATTCTGTTGAATTTTTGCCAGAATTCATTCCTCATATCAATCCCAGGACTAAAACATCAGAAATAGATCTCTCTGCTGGGTGCTGGTGGCTCACACCTATAATCCTAGCTACTCAGGAGACAGATCTGAGGATGGCAGTTCAAAGCCAGCCCAGTCAGATTCGTATCTCTAATTAATCCAGAAAAAGCCAGAAATGGAGGTGTGGCTCATGTGGTAGAGTGGTAGCTTTGAGCAAAAGAAGTGCAGGAACAGTGCTGAGGCCCGGGGGGAGAGGGAGGAGGAATGAATACATTTCTGGGGGAATGAAGAGAAGGGAGAAAGAGCAGAGTCAAGAAGTCAACGTATAAACTACAAAATCAAGAAAAAAATACATTTCTATGTCTCATCCTCATGAGCAATAGGAAAAATAACCTATTGGCCCCTTTATTTCTGTATGAAGATACTATCTTAAAAGCCCTTGTCTGGAAAGCTAAGAGCACACTGGGTTACCTTTGTCCTAAGCCTTCTTAGCATTTCTATTTTACATTGAGAAACTACAAAAATAGCCTGTTTGGGTTGGATGTGGTAGTATATGCATGTAATCATCTGGGCAACTCAAGAGACAGAGATAAGAGGACAGTGGCTCAAGACCAGCCCAAGCAAAAAGCTGGGACCCTACCTCTAGAACAAGTACACACCTGTAATGGCAGCTACTTAGGAGGACTATAGTCCAAGTTCACATGGACAAAAGCAAGAGACCCTGAAAGACTAAAAGCAAAAGGACTGGGAACATTGGCTCCAGTGATAGAACACACACTCAACATCTTGAGTTCAACCCCTAGTACCAAGTAAAAAACAAAGAATAACCTATTGGCCCCTTGAAACCTGCGTGAAGAAATTGGGTCAATTTTTCTTTTCTCAGTGAATCTATGTCACTTGCTAGAACATCTGTAAAGATAAGAGACTGTTATTAGATCTGGTGAAACCAGGTGCTAGTTTAATCATGCCTGTGATCCTAGCTGCTTGGAAGGCTGAGATTGTCCAGCCCAGGCAGAAAAACTCGAGACCTCAACAGCAGCTGGGCATGGTGGTATACACCTGTCATCCCAGCTGTAATGGGAAGACTAAAATAGGCAGAACTCAGGCATGTTCCTGGACAAAAAGCCCTTTCTCAAAAATAACCAATACAAAAAAATACTGTAAGAAAGAAAGAGATGGGAGAGAGGGAAAGGGAGGGAGGTCAGTCTTGGTAAAATAATATAAGGACATAATCACACATGTGATGGGTGTCTGCCCCTCCCCCCATCCGATACTACCTTTGTCACTCTGGCTGGGGCTAGAATAAAATGCAGCCACAATTCCTTTCTGCTTCCCTCCACCTGGTGCAAAAGGGGAGCCAATCACCAGGTCTGGCTCACTGTCTCCATTCATGTCTGCAGCCAGGAGTGTCCAGCCCAAGTTGCAGTAAACATCCTTCAGAGAGACCAGAAGTGCATGCTGTTACTGAGCCCTGGGATAACTGAGGTGCAGCCAGATCTCAATTTCTGCCCCTGGATAACCCGGTGGACATACCTGACAGGAGATGGTGATGTTCGGGGAAGAAGGCAGTCTCCCTTGTCTGGATCCATAGTAGACATACACTGCACCCTAGACAAGGACGGTGACAGGCCATCATGCCATGAGCCCCAGCACAGGCACCGAATTTTTTCTTAACTTGTCCCTTCTATCAGACTGTGCAAGCCTAAAGTAAGTGCTTTTTGTTGTATTTGTTGAGGTTTGTGGGTTTTTTTTTTCTCTTGGTTGGTTTTTGTTGTCATCTTGCTAGAATTGAGGCTTAAATTCATCATCCCTTCACTTTTTTTGCTCAAGGTTGGCACTTGACCACTTTGAGTCACAGCTCCACTTTTGGCTTTTTGCTGGTGAGAGATTAAGAGTCACGTAGACTTTCCTACCCGGGCTGGCTTCGAACTGTGATCCTCAGATCTCAGCCTCCTGAGTAGCTAGGGATTAAGGCATGAGCAGACAGCCCCAGCAATAAGGACCATGTTTATCACTGCCTCCTCACTGTCACACTAAGGACACCACCGTTCAGAATCAGAAGAATGACTTACTCAACTCCCTGCGCCAAGGCCCAGCTCCATTTCAGCCTCTTCCCTCTCTGCCCCCTTGCGCCTCTGAACAGAACTCAGAATTTGTTCATCATCCATCAGGGGACCCACACTATTCCATTTCCTCTGATGAGTCAGTTTGTCTCCTAACTTGCCTGTCTCCATCCCCAGTCATTCTACATGACAGGTAAGACCCATCTTTCCTCTCCAAATCTGGCAGACAACTAATTAGGCTGCGGAAGCAAGAAAGGGCTGAGACAGGTGCCAGCTCAGGATGCTCTCAGGATGCTCGGCATCGCCCAGGAGCTAGATGCACTTCCAACCGGAAGTGACAAGTCAACTCTAGAGGGAGGGGGAAGGACTTAAGCAAAGGTTCTGGCGTGAGAAAGCCAAATGGGTGGGTGGGGTTCAGGATGTGACAGATCCTTTTAGAACTAGAGCATGAAGGAAGGGACAAGGAGTGAGCTGTGCTGTGGTATGGAGAACTTGTGGGAAGAGAGCCCCAGGGGCCGGGGACCCAGGATCTCTGCTCTCTGTAAGAAAATAGGAAAAACAAGGCCCAGAGAAGTCACCTCTTCTTGCAATGACAGAAAGCTAAGCATTAGCTGGGCTCTCTTGCTAAGCTTTCAGCACTGTGAAGCAAAGTACTTGATGAATCTGGCAAACCATGAGGCCCAAATCAGTCCAAGGAGGCGGGATCAGTGCTGTGAGGTAACCCTCACAGGACCCGATTGGAGCTTGCCCTCACCTGCTCAGAAATGGCTCCCCCCCTTCCCCTCCTTCCCTCCCTCCATCTTCCCACCACCAGCAACCTTACTTTGTATGTGAGCTGCTCTGAGCCCACGGAGGGTGCTCCCACGGCCAGGTCAGGCACCCCATCCTTGTTAAAGTCCAACACAGCCAAGGCTGAGCCAAACCGACCTGAAGGCTGAAGAGGCACAAGTTACGGCCTTCAAAACAACACTGGAGATCTTTTGCATGGAGAGCCTGGGAGCGTACCACAGCTAAAAGGCTGGAGTACTCCAACACCTTTACCACTGTTGCGTTGAGTAGCTCTGCCCTGAGGGTATTTTTGGCATGTCTGTCTGTCTTGGGGTCGGGGAGGGTTTAAGGGGCAAGGACTAGGTTTGTAGAAAATGGTCTTACATGTATTTCACCCACCACTAAGTCCAACTCTCCTTCAAAAGTATCTAAAATAACGATCACAAGCAACAGCTTGACATCTGTGGGATACTCAGGACATTTTAGACCCAACTGTCCAAGGCAGTAGGAGGCCTACTCATTAAATGTAATCGATATCAAATAGAATCTTAAAATTCCTCATGTGCATTCAGAGCACATGTCAAATGCTCTGATCCCAGTGCTTAGTGGCTGTGACACTGCACCATGCAGCTACAGAATGGACCCATCATGCCAGAGATCCATGGGACAAGTGTGACCTAGACAGTTTTAAAGTGCCTCACGTGGATTAAGGCATCTAGTAATTATTATCCACACTCATAATTACAGCTGGAAATCTATCTGCTCAGAGACAGTTTTCAGTTTTTTTCCAAGGTAGATTCTTTCTCAGATAGATAGATATAGATGGATAGATAGATAATAGATAGATAGACAGATAGATAGATGATAGATAGTAAACAAATACATATATATGCATACACATACATATCCTACTATTGCACATATATACACATCCTTTCTTACTGTCTATTTTTCCTACTGTCTACAACCATCCTAAACCTTAAAGTAATTCTTTAAGTTCCACTTCTTTCACAACTCACATTGCAGTACTACTAGCCACACCCTACATGCCCCAGTGCCCAATCTATCATCCATTGGCAAATCTCTCTGTGCAATAGCATCTGTATACTCTGCTCATTGTGACAAAGCATGAACTTGATAAACAAGAAGACTGTGCCGAGAACAAGGCATGCTGGGTCAGGGTGGGGACCAGAAACTAGTCCTATCCTCCCCACCTTCCCCTACACAGAGAGAGGGAGGATGCTGGGGGGACTGGCTTGTTCGATTACCAGCAGCCATGCTGGGAAACCCTTGGCAAGGCGGCCAGTTTTTCCTAGTGAAGCATAAAGGCTAATCCTTGAGTTATGGACCCTAATCCTCCACTATAGACAAGGACACAGGCTGGTGGCAGCCCAAGGCTAAGGCTCAGGGTTCTCATCCTCAGTCTCTGCCTTAATCCTGCTATCTTCCAAATCACCAACAGTCACTCACTATAGACAGGAACCTAGAGCCAGCTCCTTCCTCAACCAAATGAAACTTCCAGAAAATTGACCCCATCCACAAGAAGCAGCTGCCTCCTATTTCTCTGTCCATCTGAGCCCAAAAGATTATTTCAACTTTACCCAGCAGTCTGGCAGGAGGGTGGCTTTGTGGAGCACTGAGAAGCAACAGAAATGTGTTGCTTTATTTTGGAAATTTTCCTCAGGACTGTGTGAGCTCATACAAGAGCCAGACAAATTATTTCTACATCTCAGGTTCAATACTCATTCATCAAAGCCATTATACTTTTTTGTTCTTTTTAAATAAATATTCTAGTAGGCACCCTGATTTCTCTCTATTAACCATTGATGGAGAAATAGCTTTTCCAGGGAAAGACCTCTGATCCAACCCTAGCACTTGAAACTTTGAGCACCACAGTGCAGGGCTAGTGTTTCTCCACAGCCCCCGCACTCTGGGACTTTACTATTGTCGTGCTTTGTGGCAAGCACTTCAGGACCTAAGTACTCATTGAATGAATTAATAATGCCCACATTCCATGAAGAATTGTATAATCCTGTGGGATTCAAGGGCTGAATAACAACTCAAAAAGAATGAAATCTGAACAAAGACTAGAGTTCACTAAGGTGCCATTGTTGGTTTTTTAAATTAAAGTGGAGGAACTCAGGTAAAGAGCACATGGGAACTCTGTCTTTACAGTTTTTCTGTGCAGCTAAATTTAATTTCTAACAAGGTGGGGAAGGGAGAGGAGAGAAGAAAGGGAAGAGAGAAGAGAGGAGTAAAGAGAGAGGTAGGGAGAGAAAGACAGGACAGAGGAGGAATGAGGAGGGGAGAAAGGGAGAGTGGAAGGGAAGAGAAGGAAAGGAAGAGAGAGGGGAATCCAGAGGAGAGGACTCTTATTTGGTGCCCCTCTCCTTGGGGAGTCTCACATTTTTTTCCTTTCGGAGTTTTCCTTTTGCTTTTAAATAAACTTATTCTGTTTACCTTAAAAAAGTTTAAATCACAATGCAATTGGATACTCAAAGAAGTTCTACACCATATGTGTGTTGAGAATGCATTACATGAAATACTCAAGAGTTTACAACAGCGTGAGATAAACAGTGTAGGTGCTTCTGAAGATAAAAGTGCTCCATAAATGTTTCTTGTTACTGCTTGTTATTCCTGAAGAACCTGCCAAAGGATCTGGGCAGTTGAGACGGGGTAGAGGGCTGGGTTACCAGCACCATAACTACATTTTTAAGAATTCAGGCAGTGGCTTCCTGACCACTGAGGGAGAAAACTGGTGCATGGCTCACCTGGAAGCCCTCCAGGATCCCATGGGCCTCCTTGTCCAGGTCCAGGTCAATGGGGGGCAGGCCCAGTTCATTGCCATAGATGAGGTAGACACGCCCGATCTGGAAGCGGCCGGGATGGCTGTAGCCTGGTGCACCTGCCACGAGGTCACTGTAGCCATCTTGATTGAGATCCGCCGCGACCATCGCCCTTGGGAAAGAGGGCACAGGACAGCCACTGCAAGATCCACTAAGGAGCGTTGGTACAACTGTCTCCTGCCTCTTCCCTTCTAAGAGTTCCATGCCTTAGCTTTCTCTCACTGATACTCCTCCCTGTGTGGCTGCTATAAACATCTACTTTGGAAACCATATTGTTTGAGTGACTCACTCTCACTTTTCACAAAAAAAAAAATAGCAATGGACAAACCAAGGCCTCTGGACCACATTAAGTAGCCTTACAAAGCATTGTGTCCTATATGTCAAAGCAAAGCACCACTTTACATCCTGGGCTGGCCCGAGAAAGAGAATATGCGTACCCAGCAAAACCCCCAGCCAGATACACACCACTTTCTAACCTGCTTACTCCAACGTTACCAAATCAAAGATGAGCTTGTGATAGATATTCTTTATTTCTACCATAGCTACACAGAACACCTTCCATTGGGTTAAGTATTCAACATATTTAATGGAGGCTTTTAAATGAGATTCATGATTTGCCAGTGATAGAACTGGACAGTTTTAAAAGGTTCAAATGCCACTCTTAGGTTTGCAAAGCCCAAAAGCTATTTGATTTTCCTAGCGTGTATGGCCACATAAAGAAACAAAAGCCAGATACCAGTGGCTCACATCTGTAATCCTACCAACTTGGGAGACATGAGATCAAAGGGTTGTGGTTCAAAGCCAGCCTACTAGGCAGAAAAGCCCTTGAAACTCTATCTCTAACCAAGTAATCACTAAAAAGCTGAAAGTAGAGGTGTGGCTTAAGTAGAAGAGTATTAGAGTGCAAGCCCCAATGCAAGAAAGAAGGGAAAAAAGCAAGAAAGAAGGGAGGGGGGAAGGAGGGAGGAAGGAAAAGAGGGAGGGAAGGGAGGGAGGGAGGCAGGCAGAGAGGGAGGGAGGGAGGGAGGGAGGGAGGGAGGGAGGCAGGCAGAGAGGGAGGGAGGAAGGCAGACAGAGGGAGGGAGGGAGGCAGACAGAGAGGGAGGGAGGGAGGGAGGGAGAGAGGGAGGGAGGGAGGGAGGGAGGAAAATAGCAGGTCACAGGGAAAGGGGCAAAGCTTTTCTAAGGCTGGGATGCCAGGCCAGAGGAGCCACTGTGTTTTGTCCCTTGGAGAGTCAGTGCTGGTTTAGGAGGTCCTGGAACTTCGGCTTCGGTGTGTGGCTGATAGTCTAGCAGGAAGCCTTTTTGACTCTTTCAGGAAGGGGGCCAAGAACAGCCACAAATGAAGAGACAGCATTCACCTCCCAGACCTCTGTGCTAAGGCCAAAGACATCAGTGACACTAACTCTTACCCACTAAATTAATATTTTTTCCTGATGAATTGAGGAGAAAATAGGATGCCCACAGATACCACTTAAAACTCTTCACAAGGGGCTGAATTAAACAAATACTGATGGCAACATTCACAAGTCCAGTTGTATCTTATACATACCAACCAAGCCTGGCATAGGGAACTGAGGAGAAGTAAGAGGCTGAGGGGCTGGAGACATGCTTCAGTGTCTTCTGAGAGCTGCCTGAAAACATCATCCGTAATTTCTGCTCCAGAGCCTGGTACATAAAGGATACAGAATCCTGATGGGAAAACAAACAAACATCAAAATAGACAGGAAAAGGTACACAGAACCATCAACGAAGCTACTGACTTTTGTGACGCAAAGGAGCTAAATAACTCCAGCAGTGTTAAAAAAAAATTGAAACAAGAGCAGGGTGGTGGCGGCTCATGCCTGTAATCCTAGCTACTCATGAGCCTGAGATTTAAAGATGGCTGCATAAGAAGCCAGCCTGAGCAAGAGAGTCCATGAGACTCTTATCTCCAATTAAATATCACCAAAAGTGAAGCTGTGGCTCCAGCGGTAGTGTTAGACTTGGCACAAAAGCTCAGGGACAGTGCTCAGCCTCTGGATTCAAGCCTGGGAACAGACACAAAAGTAAATAAAACAGGGATTCCTAGCAACAAGATCACTTAGAACAGGCAATCCGGAGAGTGACTTCATGATCCCCAAGTTACACTGAGAGAGGGCGGGCCAGGATGGGAAGAGTTAGTTTGGACCTACCCAGAACCAACCATATTGATTTGCAGAGCTTAACTGAATAATATTTACAGACAAAAAGCTTAGAAAAGCCAAGTCCATTCAGACTAGATCTATAATTGTGTTTATAGCTTTTTTTGGTTTTGTTTTGTTTTGTTTTTTGCCAGTCCTGAAGCTTCAATTCAGGGCCTGGGTGCTGTCCCTGAGCTTCTTTTGCTCAAGGCTAGCATTCTACCACTTGAGCCATAGCACCACTTCCAACTTTTTCTGAGTAGTTCATTGGAGATAAGAGTCTCATGGACTTTGCTGCCCAGGCTGGCTTTGAGCTGTGATCCTCAAATCCCAGCCTCCTGAGTAGCTAGGAAAATTACAGGTGTGAGCCCCTAGCACCTGGCTTGTGTTTATACATATTTAACATTGACATCTTGGACAATACCAAGATGTCAAAACTACCCTCTAAGCTACACTTACATTAAGGTTCAAGACCTTGCTCAAATATCACCTTCTTCATATAATAGCTACCAAGATAAAAATTATCTTCCTGCTATCTATATCCACCAACCTGCCCCTCCCCCCTGCCCACCCACCAAGGGAAGCATGGTATTTGTTGTGTGCTACTGCATCGTGGCTACTTTTTTGTATTTCCCATGATATCTGTTTCCCGATTTTATATTCCCACGATAGCAGGTCATCATTTAGAACATGGCCTCATGGATGCATTTCATATGCAGTGTTGTCCTTCACCTTGTGGCTGTGCACGGTGAACCTTCAACATTGCCGACATACTTGGATTAAGGCCAAAACAGCATCTGCCCAGAGCTGCCTTGGACTCCACCAAACAACAAAGGCTAGTCAGGTGCACACACACATCTTAGGGGTTCTCTGGAACATACTACGTTTAGATGCCAAGGCTATTCTCTGGCCTGGCACAAGCCCAGGTAATGATCCTTGGATAGCCAATCCCTAAGGACTCTAGAGAACAAGTTATCTCGGGAAACCATAGAATCTTTCTCCATCAGTAAGAGGAAGTTCTTACCGGGGTCCAGGAATCCACACTGAAGAACACTCCTCGTCCAGTGTAGTTTACATTTTTTCCAATATCTTTACTTAAGGATATGGTCAAATTCCTATGAAAGTCACTCTTCTGACCTTTTGTGCTGTTGAAAAGGCAGAGCAATAAGATGGTTAGCTGAGAAAAATCACTGAATAGAAGGTACAGTCAGTATTTCCAGCTGGGATATAGCTCAGTGAGAGCATCACCCACCAGCACTCAAAAAAAAAACCCCAAAATTTTAATACAGAAAGATTGAAGAAAACCAGACACTAGTGGCTTATAGTTCTAGCTACTCTGGAGGCTGAAATATGAGGATCATGGTTCAAAGCCAGCCTAGGCAGGAAACTCTATAAGACTCTTACCTTCAATTTTCAAAAGCTGGAAGTGGAGCTGTGGCTCAAGTGGTAGAGCCCTAGCCTTGAGCATAAAAGCTTAGGGACAGCACCTAGGCCCTGAGTTCAAGCCCCAGGACTGGCACACAAAAAAATGGAAGAAATAACTCAAAAGAACAAAATTTTAGAAAAACTTGCACTATAGAAAAATCGTACAATAAACTTTTAAGGCATAAACCCTATCCTTATAGGAACTGGATATTTCTATATCCAGTTATATTTATATCTATAGCTTAGTGGTAAAATGTCTGTGTAATATGTAAATGGCCTTGGGTTCAACTTCAAGATATAAAACAAAGATATAAAACAAAAGACCCTCAATATTTCCTATAGTCTCAAAGTGCTATAAGAATAAAAAAGCCTTCAACATTATTGAATGAATGAATGAATGGTTGTTCCCTGGCTCTAGCAGGAGATCCCAATTATTCTAATACAAACCGGATCTCCTCCTCAAGAAAGAGCAGAGAGGGCTTCTCCTTGTCCTATCTCCTTGATAAATGTTTTCACAAGATGAACTCTGGATAAGGTATATGTAACAGTGACCATAACAGCAATAAGAATACCAACTATGATTTACAGAGCCTCACTGTGAACAAACTGCCTTATGTTCATGATCATACATAGATACATACACAACTTTCTTTGTCCCATTAAACAAAAGGAGGAAGATACAGCTCAAAAAATACAGCACTTCTCAAGTGGTAGAGCACTAGCCTTGAGCTGAAGAGCTGTGGGACAGCGCCCAGGCCCAGAGTTCAGGCCCCATGACCGGACCCAAAAAAAAAAAAAATGCAGCACTTTGCCAGGCGCCAATGGCTCATGCCTGTAATCCTAGCTACTCAGGAGGCTGAGATCTGAGGATCGCAGCTCAAAGTCAGCCTGGGTAGGAAAATCCATGAGACTCTTACCTCCAATTAACCACCAGAAAACCAGAAGTAGTGCTGTGGCTCAAGTAGTAGAGTGCTCACCTTGAGCTGAAGAGCTCAAGGGCAGTTCCCAGGTCCAGGGTTCAAGCCCCACTACTGACCTCCCTCCCCCAAAAAACAGCAATCTGTAAGTCACATGGCTGTGAATGGCAAAGCTAGAACATGAACCTCTGATTGTCTTAAAGACCCCATACATTCAGCACTTAAAGGGAAGAATGTTGTTTTTCTGTAAATGGTTTTGGAATCCACATACCTGAGGCTGTTGTTCTGCTGGCCACCACATGCAATGAACAGAGGGTTTTCAGGTAGGCTACAGTCACTGGGAAACAGACATCATTATTCTACAATCTCTTCAACCAGGAGTTTGATCCAAGAATAACTAGTAAAGTTTAAACCACTTTTGAAGGTTTCAAGTGTCCCTTACCTAACCATACAGGACCAGGGAAAGGCCATAATCTTTCTAGACATGGTGGCTACACTGACAGGTTAGTGACAGACCTCAGAATCATACCTTCTTCTACTTCCCTGCTGGGCTGCCAAATGTTAATATGAAATATCCCCAGAATTAGAGACTACGACAGAAATTGGGCCGAAGGACATTGCCTTCTGCCTAGTTATGCCCATGTATGTCCAAATTCTTCTCAACGGCTCAATTTCATTCTCTTAAGAAAATTCTACATTTTTGGTACCTAAATAGGAAATGAAATGTCCCTTTTTGACCTTGGAGAAAGACGGCTTCTAAGAAGGACTTTCTTTCCCATCCTGAACAGAAAGATCCAGTAAGGAAGGGGGTGTTGACATTTTGAAAGGAATAGAGAGAGAGAGAGTGTGTGAGTGAGAGAGAGAGAGAGAGAGAGAGAGAGAGAGAGAGAGAGAGAGAGAGAGAGAGAGAGAGAGAGAGCTGAGGCTGAACTCATAATCTAACTTGTGTGTTTGTATGTGCCAGTCCTGGGGCTTGAATTCATGGCCTGGGCTCTGTCCCTAGCTTTTTTGCTTAAGGCTAGTGCTCTACCATTTGAGTCACATAACCACTTCCAGCTTTTTCTGAGTAGTTTATTGGAGATAAGAGTCTCCTGGATTTTCCTGCCTTCTTCAGATCTCAGCCTCCCGGGTAGCTAGGATTACAGACATGAGCCACTAGTACCTGGCAGCCTCTAACGTTTACATAGCTTTTCAGCTCAAGGCTGGCATTCCACCATTTAGGCCACACTTCCACTTCTGTCTTTATGCTGGTTAATTGGAGATGAGAGTCTCACAAATTTGTCTGCCTAAGCTGGCTTTGAACTGGAATCCTCAGCTCTTTGCTTCTTCTTCATTATAGACATGAGCCTCTACCAGCAATGGGGCTGGAAGGAAGACTTCTTTGAAGGAGATCTGTATGAGTGTCACTGAGGGAGGCCTTGTGGGAGTGAGAAGGTCTCACCAGATCCAGAAGTGAGGGAGTAAGAAGTGAGGAGAAGCTGAAGGGAAACTGTCTGTGTCAGCTGTGAGCTGAGATAAAGGTTCTCTGAGTCCTCTGTTCCCCACCATCATCTAGAAAGAAGGTAGCTCGGCCACCTTCCCACCTGCAAACCCATTTTAAGGTAAGTAGAGGTCTTATCGAGGCCATAGACATGGCTACCATCCATTATTTCATTTTTTTCAAGAAACTATAAGTTTCAAACATCATGAGTTTGGGAAGCTAAGCTATTCTTAGTAAGTTGGAAGATGCTTGTTAAGATGAAAATATTTGTTGGTTTTTTTCTGTTAGGAACTTATTCATTATTTTCTTGGAGTCCTTTCCAAATTTACCATGAATTTGTATAAATTCTGACAAATCTTTTTATGTGTAAGAAAACAATTTGTAGATATGTATGTCTGGTAAATTAGGGCACAGATCAAGAGACAAGAACTCTGTTCCTCTCAATTACTTATACTTAATCAAAGGAGGAAGTTCAGTTACACATCTTTTTCACTATGGCAGAGCCAAATGCAAACCAAACAGGAAAATGCAGGTCATTCACTATAACACAATCAGGTGCAGAGTCCTTCCTTCTAATAATTTTCATAATAACAGTAGCCAACATTTTCTAAGTGCTTACTCACACCAAGCCCTTTGAATGAGTGTTCATTTACTCCCTATATCCTTATAACAATAGAAAGATTACTGTGTCCATTTTACAGATGGGAAAAATGAAGGCTTGGGGAGGTTAAGCAACTTGTTTCAGATGACTCAGTAGTAAGTAGCAAATCTCTCAACTTCCAAACCCCAACCTCTCTATAACCATGTACTCAAAACTCCATAGCTATGGTAGAGGGCTTAGGGATATGACCTGAGGTTTCTTTCACTATGGAAAATTGCATTTTTAACATTTTAACATACACAGGTTCTAGAGCTTGAATTCAGAGCCCCTGAGTTCTTTTGCTCAAAGGTCTACCACTTGGGCCATAGCACCACTTCCAACTTTTGGTATTTAACTGGAGATAAGAGTCTCATGGACTTTCCTTCCTGGAACTGGCTTCAAACAATGAACCTCAGATCTCAGCCTTTACTGATGTGAGCCCGTGATACCCAGCACTATTAAGACTCTGTATCTCTGCCAAGTTGTTGTTCACTGAGCCTTTAAAAACAAGTTTACTATGTAGTAATCTAATAAAGGGAATTTTATTTCAAATCAACACAATGTGAAACTACAATATTATGTGAATACTAGCAAATGCTTTAAAGGGTACCTTAACATCATCCAGATCATAATATTCTGAAGCTCTGCTCCACTAGGCCACTCTACCTACCAACATCCACTCTCCTATGACCCTGCCATGTAACTGTCTCCCAAACTCAGCCCCTGCCCAGAAAACCCTATATACCCACTGCTGATGGTGAGACCAGAGCTTTGGTTCCATCCTGCCCTACATTAGTCCCTGCCTCCTGCCCTTCCCACCACTCCCTGCCTGACACACTCTGCATAGTAGTAGAGTGGTGGGAAGTGCCCAAGACTAATGACAAAGGGGTTCTCAGAGGAACCTTGGCTCCCTTGGAACTACATGTGGATTTTTCCTAAGAGTTTCTTTGCAGCTGGAAGTCGGCTGTGCCTGTCAACTCTAATCCATCTATGGCAGCTCCAACTTTCTTTCTCGACTTGTTAAGGAGAGGACAAGGAGGTAGACCAGCTGTCCTACCTGAGTTCTGGGGCAAAATTCTGCAGAAGAGTGTGTTTGATCTATCCCTTTCTAATTTTATTTTGGAAGCTAGAGAAGATGTGGCTAGGTTTCTAGTAGCTTCTGTCCTTTTAATAATAGGTGAAATACCCTCTTGGAACCCCCCAAACCCAAAATTGGCAGTCCATATGAAGAGGAAAATGACGACCCCCTGGTTCCACTTAGAGCACAATCAGTGGGAGAGGTGATACTCCTCCCCTAAATGTGCTACCATAAAAAGAAACAGATGGAGCACCACCTGGAGAGGCTGATTCCTTCCTACCTGAGCTATATCTCATAGACCACAAACTTTGCAGTAATGATGTCTCCATCTTGGCATTAGCTAAACCAACTGGCTGGCTTTTGAGATGGTCAGATGACCTAACTTCTGTCTTGTTCTCCTTGGATAGTTTAAGACAACACTTCAAGGGATTTGTTTTGCTTTTGTTTAATCAACTGAGAAAATCTGAGTGTTCTGCTCCATGTGTCAAGGTTCAGAGTGACTGGTATAAGAAATGGAGTCATAATTCACCTGGTCCCATTCTCTAACATGAAGCTAGTTAGCCGATAGATGTTAGTGGACCAAAACGCCATATCATCCAGGCCTCCAAGGAAATACTCTTGGAACTGTTCCACCAGGAATGGGGACTTTGTAGAGTACGTGGAATACAACTGCAGCAGAAAGAACAATAAGTAAGGTGCTATTCCTGTGGTCTGTATAATCCCTTAAACTAAAATAGGCAAGGAGGGAGTCTTTACCTTGGAAACAGCAAATGTCTCACCATACCTGAAATATAAACAATAATGATAATGACTTGCAATTTCTATACGGAAATAAAACAAGAGAAAGCTCCATCCACTTGATACCACTACCATTCAACTACCTTTGATAAACAAAATCCATACAGCCAAAACCCACTCTCAGAACTGAAGTATGAAAAGCATATTAAAAGCCCCTGTAAAGTCAGCTGCAGACTTTCCTCTGGTTACACTTACATTGCCAAGAACTGAAGGTGTGTACAATCAACAATGACATTCTTGGTGATGACATCTCGACCATAGAGTTTCTTATAAATTCCCAGTAGATCTGTGATAGGTATGTACCTGAGTAATGCATTAGAATAAAATAAGGAATGTTCCGATGCTGAGTTGAAGATAGCAAGAACTACAAAAGAAACAGCACCTGATAATTATCTGTCAGGTATCATATGACTGGTCTTTACAGGCTAGTTATTGAATCCTTCCAGTGACCTTAATGATTAGTATTATTGCATCACCATTTTTCATAAGAGGACACTGGGGCACAAAATATTATATATATAACTTGTTCAGTGATGCTCAGCAAACAATTGATACCTTAATCAAATATTTGTAAAGGTATATTGAATGACTGGAAAACACAACAGAAAGGAAATGATTAATTTTGTGAATTTAGAGTTCAAGAAGCAATGTAAAGTTGTCGCATTTTTTGGTTGAATTATTCTCAAAACTATTCATGTTAAAAGTACTAAAAAGGGCTCCTCAGCTTGACATGCTAGTTTCAGAGTAAATAGCATAAAGTAGTGAAAAGAATTTTGGCTCCCAGCTTTTGGTTCACAATCTTATTTCAGCTGGAAGATTAGTGTTTTATAAATACATTTACACTGAATCCTCATTAATTTCCAGACAAAATACATATGACAAAAATCACAATTGACAGAAACATGACTCATATATATTTACAAGATTGAGAAGTCATTTATAAAAGCACCAGAATGGTATTCTCTCTTTTTTTTTAATGTAGCTTTAAAAGCAGAGAAAAATAACAAAAATATTTGTTTTGATGAATCACTAAGCTAGCAAAAAGGAAAAAGTTCCCAAACACAAAAAATAAATAGAAACTGGAAAGTTGGGGAGGTAGGCAAGTAGGAAAGTCAGCTTTCACCCTGGAGGTATCTTCTAACCCCTGGGGACCTGAAAGGTTTTGATGACAGGTAAGAGACAAGAGACAGAGTGTAGGGACCACCCAAAGTGGACCATCTCAGAAGGTATATCTGCATTAACTCTATACTTTCTGCATGCACATGAAATGGATAAAACGACAAAGGCATCCTATTTCCACCTTGGCGACACAGAGAAAGGAAATATATGTATGTCCTCGGCACTGATAAGCCAGTTATTACCACTTCAAACTGGTGGCCTCACTAGTCAGTTTACAAATGTTTTGCCCTACATTCATGTCATCTGTGCAGACAAAAAGCTTCAGTGGTTGAATGTAGCTTAACAGAGTCCCAGATAATAGTGCCTCAGCCTGCAGAACCCATGGCTAACCCTCCCTCACTGGAGAAATGAAGCCTGACTCAAATCCCAAGTAATGCAAGCAGCATGGAAAACAACCAAAAGATGACCAGTGTAACCACAATCCTATCTGGTATAGTAAGCACTAAAGGAACAAGCACTTTTTTTTGTTTGGGTTTTTTTTTAACTGTATTTTTTTTTTCTTTTCTTTTTTGGCACTGGGGATCAAACCCAGGACGTTGCACTTGCTAGGCAAGCGCTTTGCCACTGAGCTACATCCCAGCCCAGGAACAAGCACTTTTGTAGCAAAAAAAAAGTACTTAGACTCACTAGAAAGAAAGGACTTTGAAACTTGAAAGCATCTAATACTCTATCTTCAAGACAAATGCACAGCAAATGTTGATAGAATGTAAGAAAAACGGAAACTCCACCATCAAAAAGGGAGACATTTTAAAATTAATTTTTGTCAGGAATCATTAGATCAACCAGACAAAAAAAATAATAAATGGTAAGAGTATCTTAGTTATACTATACAAATCTTTTGAACCCAAGAATAAATCAGAGATAATAAACATAATCAACCATGAACATTAAATCAAACTTGAAGAATTAACTTTTTTCAAGATCTTGTGGAATATTCACCATGAATTAGCATAGAAATTTATATTCTAGGCTGTAAATCAAGACTCAACAAATTTCATAGAAACTCAAAAAGGGGATGGAGGCATGGCTCAAGTGGTAGAAAACTTATCTAGGAAGTGTGAAGTTCTGAGTACAAACGCCTGTACCACCAAAAAGAAAAAAAGAAATCCAAAGGAGGAGAAAGAAAAACATAGATATAAGGACAGAAAGCATTAAAATAGAGAATTGAAACATATAATACAAAAAAATCAATACAGTATAAAATTATTTTATTTAAAATAAAGCAAGAGGCTAGACACTGGTGGCTCACGCCAGTAATCCTAGCTACTCAGGAGGCAGAGATCTGAGGATCATGGTTCTTAGCCCTGGCAGGAAAGTCTGTAAGATTTATATCTCCAATTAACCATCAAAAACCCAGAGTATAGCTGTGGCTCAAGTGGTAGAGCATAAGCCTTAAGCAAAAAAGCTCAAGTATTAATGCCCAGGCCCTCAATTCAAGCCCTGGGACTGGCACACACACATGCCCATGCATTCCCATACACACTACATAGAAGGCAGGATAAACAATAAATGGATAACAGATGGAAGAAGAACAAACAAAAGATAAGCCAGCATTATGAACAACCTTAGGCCAAGATGTTTGATCCTTTAGAAAAATGGAAAAGTCCCTAGTTAAACACAGAACTGAAGAAGGGATTGAAAACGATATAATCCTATAACTCAAGATTTTTTAAATTCCTAAAACAATAGAACTAAATAGCTTTAGGCAAAAATCTATCTAACATTCAAGAGATTAAATTTCTAATATTACACAAGCTCTCAGAGAATATCAAAAGACACTCTCCCCAATGGTACCCATGAAGCCAGCACAGCTTTGATTCCAAAACCAAACCAATTAGAAGAAAAATGACTGTACATCACTCATAAAAAGAGGCAAAGCCCTAAGACATCAAGAATAGATGTAACCAACACAAAAATGATGATGTGCCAACATGTCAAAGTGGGCTTTGTCCCAGGCAGGAAGGCTGATTTAAAATTCATAAGTAGATTAATATACTTTACTACATTAACATACTTTCTGAGTTTGACAAAAGAAAGCCAGAAAATTACATTAATGAGAATGATGGAACTTTGTAAATATTTTCAGATCAGAAACAAAATAAGTATGCTTAGTCTCACCACTTTTAGCACTGTCCTTAAGATGGTCAGGAGGGTCACACAGCAAGAAAAAGGAGTGAATGGAGAAGCAAAATGGCTGCAATTTGTAGACTATAATGAGACAATAAGTTGTAAAGAATCACCTGTTGTTAGATTAATAATGTAGCTTAGAAATGTTTTGAATACAAGATCAAAATTTAAAAGCCACTTGTGTTTATATATACCTGCAATCAACTAGAACAGGACAAAATACCACATGATCTTTCTCATATATGGAATCAATAGAAGTAGATCAATTTTGTAGAGATGGAGAGTAGTATAGTGGTTAGCAGAGGCTGGACAGAGTAAAAGGGAGACAGGGGTCATTAGGTACAAAGTTAGAGGAAGGAGAAATAACTCTGGTGTTCCCCTCAGTGGGGTGACTACAGTTAATCATATACTATATATTTTAAAATAGCTAAAAGACAAAAATTACAATGAAATACCTGTATATTAATTAGTTTTTGCTCATTTTTTTAGCAAAAACTTACCAGCGTCTTGCAAGGTAATTAAAATTAAACTGGAACTGGCTCATCACATCTCCTCCTATGGCAAGAGAGAAATATTAATATTTTGTGGGTCAGTGACAACATTATGTACTTCTTTCAACTCAAGTTCTCACAAACCAGACCAAGTATTCTCCACATGGCTGCATGATTCTGTTGTTCTAAGTACAGGTGTATTTTTCTCAAAGGAAAAAAAATCTTTAAAAAAAATCCTAGCTAGTGGGGCTGGGAAGGTTGGCTCAGTGGTAGAGTGCTTGCCTTACATGCATGAGGCCCTGGGTTCGATTCCTCAGCACCACATAAGCAGAAAAAGCTGGAAATGGTGCTGTGGCTCAGCCTTGAGCTGAAGAGCTGAAGGACAATGCCCAGGCCCAGAGTTCAGCTTCCACGACTGACCAAAAAAAAAAAAAAATCCTAGTGAATTATATGAATTAGGAAGAAATGTTTCGTATAACCAAAGAACTAATTTTTTTTTTGCTTGACAAGGAAAGATAAATTGTAAGGATCCCTTTAAATGCCATTCACCACTTAACTCATATATTTAAACTACAGAAAAAAATACAGACTATCAACTTAACACTAACGTAGAACAAATTAGGAGATACTGGCTAAGGAATCTTAATCTAATAGAAAAGAAAGCTTTTCTAAAATGATAACAACAGTAGTGGAGTCAATGACCAAATATATCAATTTTAAATAGAAAAAAAATAGTTATTTTAACACACATTTCTCTGTTGAATGAGCTAAGTCTGTACTCTAAATGAACTTCAACATTAAAGTAATCCTAGCAACATTAAAGCAATCCTATCTACTCAAGTGACTTAAGTTCTGAGGATCAAAATTCAAAACCAGCCTGTGCAGCAAAGTCTGTGAGATGCTTTTATGTCCAATTTACCAGCAAAAAGCCAGAACTGAAGTTCAAATGGTTAAGCACCAGCCTTGAGCAAAAAGAAGCCACACAAAGCCAGGTGCCTGGTGGCTCATGCCTGTAATCCTAGTTACTCAGGAGGCTGAGATCTGAGGATTGTGGTTCGAAGCCAGCCCAGGCAGGAAAAGTCTATGAGATTCTTATCTCCAATTTAAAAAAAAAAAAAAAAGCCAAGCAAGAGAGTGAAATCCAGAGTTCAAGCCCAATATTGGCACCAGCACAAATGTGCACGCACACAAAGTTAGCATATATTGCTCACAAAATATAATAAACAAAGCATTTAGTGATTTCGTTCTAAGTGAACTATTACTACCACAAGGGGAAAAACATGGCAAATGTAAACAGTACCAAAATCACCCACTGTATGGGCCTCAGAATAGGAGCCGTGGAAATCAATCTGTGAAAGAAAGAAACAGTTGGGTGGATCAGTAACTGTAGCCCAATTTCTCACCCAGTCAAGAAAGCAGTAGAGAGGTGACAGCCCACCCCAGTGAACACTGAGGGGTACCCAAGATGACATGCTACTTTACTTTTTATATTGGTAACTGAGTAAGATAACAAAGCTATTTGCAGAGAACTGTCCTTTCTAAGGTAAATGCAAAATCCCTAATGGAGTCCCAGTTGAAATGTCTATCAAAATGGGATTACTATCAACTCATGACAGCAGAGTCTTTCAGTAGCCAAGCCATTAGGTAAGATCATGACTTTCAGCTGGGGGATATGGCATTTTCTCAGAAAGTTAAAAAAGCAGGGCTGAGAATGTGGCTTAGAGTGGTAGGCTTGCATGAAGCCCTAGGTTCAATTCCTCAGTACCACATACAGATTACAGAAAAAGCCAGAAGTGGTGCTGTTGCTAGAGTGCTAGCCTTGACCAAAAGAGGCTGAGGGACAGTGCCCAGATCCTGAGTTCAAGCCCCAGGACTGGCAAAAAATAATTAAATTGAGCCAAGTGACAGGCATTTTTATCCTTGCTGAGACACACAACTTAATGAAATCATCATGCCTTTCACTAAGTGCACATTAGTCATCCAGTTCTTGTGGATGAATTTGCTCCCGTGACATGAATGAAAGGAATGAACGAGGCTGAGAGATGTGGTTCAAGTGACAGGGCACTCAGTACTACCCCCCCCCCCAAAAAGTGAATGAATACAAGAGATGAATCTAAATTAACACCATGTGGGGCAAGAAATCTTGTTTCCACATAACATTAGACTATAGTAACCTGAAGTTTTCCTTCCTTTTAAGAATCCTTTTTGAGTTGGGCATCAGTGGCTCATGCCTGTAATCCTACCTACTCAGGAGACTGAGATCTGAGGATTAAGGTTGAAAGCAAGCCTGGGCAGGAAAATCTATAAGATTCTTGTCTCCAATTAACCAGCAAAAAGCACTAAGTAGAGCTGTGGTTCAGGTGGTAGAGCGCCAATCTTGAATGAAGCAGCTAAGGGTCAGCACTAGGCCTCAGTGCTGGCACATGTGTGCACACACATACACACAAAGTCCTTTGTTAAACATGAGTGTGACCACAGCATTCTCATCATGTCATCAGCCACAGAGACAAATACTCACCACTCCCATCGTCCTAAGAAATCCCTGTTCAATACCTAGGCTGTGCCAGCTGACATCGGCCACCATGTGAGAGGTAATTCCAAACAAGAAAGCTACCAGTTTCTCTGTGTCCTGCCAAACAAGCAAGTTACAGCCATGTGTGATGAGACAAAACAACTCTATAAAAAGCTTTTATAAGGGTGACTTTATTTCCTTTAGTGAGATTCAACCAGAAATTCTAGGCAAGTATATTATAGTTTCAAGATACTAAAGCTACACAGAACATTTGTAGGTTTGTAGTGAGTGTCTAGAACTAAAGTACTTTCAAACTTGTTTTTCCCAATGTACTCAAATACTAACTGGGCACTTAGTGCATCTTGATTTCTGTGTGTGGTACTGGAGTTCTAATTGCAAATCGCTGTCCCCAGGGTCTAGAGAGAAGCAGTCATTTGGGGAAGTACAGGTGCAAAAGAGAACTTTGCAGGTCTAGGGTGAATTGGTTGAGGTTTACAGGCCCTGCATACCTTTTCCCAGGGAAGAGGGTAGTTCTCTCGGATATAATGAATGCTTGCATTCAGAAACGGAGTCCAATGAGTCCTCTCTGACACATCATGGAATTTTCCTGGCAAACAAAAGCAGATTCTGGATTTTTAAAGTTGGAAGAGTTTCCAGAAGAGTCTCCAGGTTCCACCCCCCCCCACACACCCGCCATACACACTGTCCACTGTCCACCATGCTGTTAAGTCCCCCCACCCCACAATGACCCCTGCTCGCATTTGTTTCTTCTGTCGATGGTCACAGGATGACTCCATTTTTGGAGCAGGCAAGATTGTGGGTAGGGAGCCCTCCAGGAACAGCAAAACTGGCTCACAAAGTGTCCTGTTGCGGGCTACAAGAGAAGCTAGGTTTCCACTCTCCCTTCCATGCCTTAAAAACTGAGAGACAAGTTTGGGTTGTTTGGATTTGGTGGGAATGAGGGGGAGGGGTTCAGTCCCTTCTTTGAAAAACCCTCAGAGCACACACACAAAACAGCAGATCCACAGACTTTGAAGTACTTGAAACCTCTAATTGTTTTTGTTTTTAATTTGCACAGGCTCCAGTGAATATTACCCAAACACCACTGGAGTGAGCTTGACACACCATGTCCCATCTTATTTCCCCCAGCAGCAGCAGGACACTCACAAACAAAATGTTCTAAACTTCCTGAGTGCCACGGATTCTTTATGGGGTGGCCAAAGTCACAAAGCAAGTAAGAGCAACACTCCACAGCTCAAATCCCTTCAGAAAAAAATAATAATAATGTTGTAATGTTGTGCTAATGTAAAACTTGCCTAAATAGCACTTTAAAATATTTTTTAATCATTTAACTTTCCCCACATTTATTAGTATTGATTAGTTGAATGGGGGAGGTCATTTGGATATGTCCACATTCTCTTACAATGTACCTTGACCAGACTCATCCTTGAAATGATTTTCAAAGAAGCTAGAACCAAGAAATTTGATTGTTACAGTTCTCCTACAGGTAAAAATGTAAAAACTTCCCAAATACAGAAAAATCCCAGAATTATTCTTTGGAACAGTCTCTGCTTAGGGGACAAATCAGGGGGAGCCTGGTAGTTTGTGCTGGTAATCCTATGACTCCTTTTACCAGTCATTACAGACTGGAAGCAAAAGCAACTAACTCCCTTCTGGGTGAACTGGATGCCGATTCCTAGGCAAGCCACCGCCCAAAGGCCAAAGCCCATCTCCTCTGCCAGTGCTGTGTTACTGAACACCACCCAGGGCCCCTCAGGGCTCTTTGTAAACCTGTTTACATCACTCATCCCTGTAATCTGATTATATCACTTGGTTCCACGTTAGGGAAACATGAAATATGAGTGTAAATGCAGAGTTCTTTTCTTCTGGCATTTAAGAAAGTCACATACTTTGAAAAGGCCCAATACAAGTAAATCGGGAAAGAAGAAAAAAGCTGCTACCAAATTAGATGTGTATGAAAACAAAAGATTTGGAGGGAAAAGTTCTAAAAAAAAAATCGAAGATAAATCCATAGGCAAATTCCTTAATTTTGTATTTCTTTCTAATTCACCTTTATTTATCACATACTGATCCCAAATTTATATGAAGGCATATATTGCTTGTGATAATACCCAAAATACTAGTTTACATTCTCTTTCCACTCTTTTCAGCATTTTTCATGTGCATTTTGTCTATCTCTAGAAATGGCACACACTTAATGTTTCTTACATTTAATAAACAATTGTTCTTTTTGTCTAGGATATCAAGAAATTTTAAAAAATCAAGGGATAGATTTGCTAGGAATATGGTTCCAGAAATGTTAAACTAGATATAAGTTAGAATGAATGAGAAGTACAACACACAAGCAAAATAATAAGGTTGAAAATTGAGTCCAGTTAGACAAAGCCTCTTGGCTTTGGCATGGTACTACACTCCTGTAACCCTTCAGAAAGCTGAGGTAAGGGAATCAAAAGTTTAAGACTAGTCTGGGCTAGCCTGCAGTCTGAACTATAAAGAAAGATCCTGTCTCAAAAAATAAGCCAGGCGTCAGTGGCTCACACTTGTAATCCTAGCTACTGAGGAGGCTGAGATCTGAGGATGGCAATTCAAAGCCAGTCCAGGCAGCAAAGTCTGTGAGACACTTACCTCCAATTAACCACCAGAAAACCAGAAGTGACGCTGTGTCTCAAGTGGTAGAGCCCTAGATTTGAGGTAAAGAGCCGAGGGACAACCCAGGCTCAGAGTTCAAGCCCCATGGCCAACAAAAAATAAGTAAGTAAAATAAACCCAATTCTGAGAAATCAATTTGAGCATGTCTTCTGTACCCTGCTAATGTTCTTAAAAATCTCTGAGCCAGGTGCTAATGGCTCATGACTATAATCCTACCTACTCAGGAGGCTGAGATCTGAGGATAGTAGTTTGAAGCCAGCCTGGGGAAGGAAAGTGTGTGAGATCCTTATTTCCAATTTACCAGAAAACTGGAAGTGGTGCTGTGGCCCGAAGTGGCAGAGTGCTAGCCTTGAGCAAAAAAGCTCAGGGACAGTGTCCAGGCCCTGAGTTCAAGACCCACAACCAAAAACAAAACCAAAACAACAAACCTCTGAGCCCAGTTTCTGGCTAACACTGACAAAATAGCATTAATGCTGGCAATAAGCCAGTGAAAAGGCTGGGCATGAATATCACTGCTACCAGGAAGAAATGGAAACTGTGGACTTTCTCAAGACCACAGGCAATGTAGCAGGAACACAAACTCAGACTGGATCTAATTCTCATATAACACAATGCAGTCAAGCAAATAAGAATACTTGGAATGAGTTTCACCAAAAAATAAATAAAATTTTCAGAAATTCTACACTTACACAGGCAACATTGACCCACAATAGAGACAAACATGCCATGCTGGGATTGTCCATTTTAAAACTCTATATCCAATCCTATTAAACAGTTAAAAGCACCATAGTCCAGTCTATAAACCTTCACCTTACCTCCCTTGCAGATGTCAGGGTAGAAGGAGTCAGGAAAGACGGCCCCAGCCTGATAGGCATCCTGGTGTTCTAACAGCAGCTGGGGAGAGGGATGAGAGGTTAGGAGATTAGGGGAAAGAGTCTGTCCCCTGGGAAATGCCACCTCTGGACCTCCCAGCAAGGCCATGCCAGAGCTCCAGGGGTTATGGAGCAAAGGCCGGCAAGAGTAAGTAAATAACTGATCAAAATTTATGCATAATTTAAGGAACATCCTACAGTACATAACTTCAGGTTCGTGTGTGTGTGCGCGCGCGCACATGCGCGCGCATGCATGCATGCACCCTCGCATGCCAGTACCGGACTTAAACTTAGTGCCTCCTACTCTCACTTCGCTTTTTGTCTGAGGCTGGCTCTGCACTTACTGAGCCACTCCTCTACTTCTGGCTTGTGGGCTGGTTAATTGATAAGTGTCTTGGGATTTGTCTGCCCAGGCTGGCTTTAAACTTCAATCCTTACTCAGCAGAGTAGTGGTTGCTGCTGGCTGCAGAACTCAAGGGGCTGTAATGGGAACAGGCACTCTGCGCACTGCAGAAAACCAGTCTGGATACACTAACAAAACAGAATCCCTGAGCCAACAAAACTCAGACCTCAGAAGTACAGGTCTTGGGGGAAGAATGCAGTAACAAAATTCAATACCTATTCCACAAAATCAACAAAATTGAGGGAAGGAGTGTGGTTGGGAGAAAAATGAAGCAAGAGGTGACTTTGATCAGATGCACTGTATTCATCAACTGCTTCACTGAATGGAAACTCGTTTGTATAACTAAAGGATTGTTTTTGTTTTGTCTTTGGTGGGGATGGGGGGGTTTGTTCGCTTTTTGTTTTGGGGTTGTAGGGTGAGGGTTGGTGGTGGTGGTGGTCATGAAGCTTGAACTCAGGGCCTGGGCACTGTCCCTGAAGTTTTTCACTCAGGCTAGCATTTTGCCACTTTTAGCCACAGTGCCACTTCGGGTTTTCTGGTGATTTATTAAAGGTAAGAGTCTCACAGACTTTCTTGCGGTGGGAGGGGGGCAGGGTGTTTAAACCATGATTCTCAGATCTCAACCTCATGCGTAGCTAGGGTTACAGGCATGAGCCGTCAGTGCCCAGCTAACTAAAGATTTTTATTAATGTTTTTTAATTGCAAAAATACTATACAGAAGGGTTACAATTACATGAGCAAGGTAATGAGTACATTTCTTATCAAGCATTGTTGCCTCCTCCTTGGAAAGCAAAGTAATCCTTATGGGTTATCTTCAAGTTTTTAGGGGGAATGTGGGTGTTCATTCACACCCAGTGAATGGATGAATAATGATGATATTCAGTGCTCTGATCAGAGTTCTTGCTGAGAGGAACTATACTCATCTAACATGTTTGAAGTGAAGTACAAAACTGAATGCCTCTATCAGAAAGCCAGTCACACACTCAGGGCTGATTGATTCTAACTTCTCCTCAGGCCTATCTACTCCTTGCCCCTCTCCCGCCCAGTCCCAGGCACAGTCCCTGAGCCTCTTTGTGCTCAAGTTAGTGCTCTATCATTTGAGTCACAGTACCACTTTCGGCTTTTTCTAAGTAGTTTATTAGAAGTAAGAGTCTCACGGACTTTCCTGCCCAGGTTGACTTAGATCCCTATCTACCTTCTACCAAGATCAATGAAAATGTCAATTAAGATACATATGCTTGTACAAGACACTATGTTGAAAATGAACTTTACAGCTTGGAGCAGGGAGAAGGGGAAAGGGAGAGTTGGGGAGGTAGAGAGGGAAGGGATGGTAGGGGAAAAACAAAGAAGGGGGTAACAATGCTTGATAGGAAATGGACTCATTACCTTACTCATGTAACTGTAACCCCTTTGTATAGTATCTTTACAATAATACATAGATATAAAGAAATTTTTTAAAAGATACAAATGCTAGGTTTTTCTATAAGGCTGGTTACATTGGCAAGTCAGAAGTTTTATGATTCAGTGACTTGGGGATATACTAAATTTCCATTATCTTAATCCTGCTTTCCACACTGGATTGTCAAGACTTACTAGTAATAATCTGATCTAATTCTGATATCATGAGGAATTATCACATTCTTATCAAGTGTAAATATTTAAGAACCATCTGTGGCACTGAATACTGTTTAGCCAGGGTCAGAATGGGTTAAACTAAGTTGAGGGTGAGTAGAGGTGAGCCCTCAGGTAGTCCTGCTAAAAGTGTGGCAGGAGGAGAAATGGAACCTCAATGCAGACCTCTTAATAAGACCTCTGTTTCCGGGGCTGGGGCTATAGCCAGAGTGCTTGTCCCACACATGCAAGGCCCTGGATTCAAACTCGGGCACCACAAAATAAAATAATAAAGTTAAAACTTCCTGCTCCTCCTAGTGATGCACTTTGTGTAAACACACCATGACAAAGGGTAGAAAATAAACAATTTCTCTTAAGTCTGACTTCCCTTTTTATAAAGATATATTTGAGAGTATATTTTGGCAATAGATTTTCTTTTCTTTCTTTGTGTGTGTGTGTGTGTGTGTGTGTTTTGGCTAGTCATGGGCCTGAACTCTGAGCCTGGGCGCTGTCCCTGAGCTCTTCAGCTCAAGGCTAGCGCTCTATCACTTGAACCACAGCGCCACTTCCAGCTTTTTCTGCTTATGTGGTTCTAAGGAATCAAACTCAGGGCCTCATGCATGCAAGGCAAGCACTCTACCACTGAGCCACCTTCCCAGCCCCTGGCAATAGATTTTCAAATTATGATTCCAATTGCTAAAGTATCCAAATTCCAAGGGGGGGAAAAAAAAGGCTTACGTGTTAACCCTTTCATTTATTCAGAATGTGCAACTGTCTCATCATGGTCACAGATTAGATATCTAACTTATATTTCCTTTTAAGAATGTCACAATTTTGTTCATCCAAATAAAGGAGTTTTGTAAGAAAAAATTCCCACAACAACAACAAAATTAAGGAGCAGTGTGTTAGTGACATACACCTGTAATCCAAGCTACTCAGGAGGCCGAGATATAAGGATAGCAGTTTCAAGCCAGCCCAGGCAGGAAAGTCCATGAGATTCTCATCTCCAATACATCACCAAGAAACTGGAAGTGACACAAGCAGTAGATTGCTAACCTGGAGCACGAGGGACAGTGCTTAGGCCCTGAGTTCAAGCCCTAGGACCGACTGACCAACCAACACACACACACACACACAATTTTAAACTACTTAACATTTATTATATATATATATATATATATATGTATATATATATATATATATTCCAGTGGCATTGGTGGGAACACACACTTTTAAAGCACAGCATTATGATGGGAATCTGTATTGTTCTTTTAACTTCATGTTGTTCCCATGGCCCACTGACCACCCTCCCTCAGGGACCCCTTCTTGTTCTCAGGAAACCTTCATCCCTGACCTTATCTGAAAGTGCAGGGCTGCCAACCTCAGTAGGATACTCCTACCATAAAACCTCAAACAGGATAGTTTGCACCCTCAATCCCAGTTTGTATCCCAAATCCCCAATAGGACAAGACAAAGAAATTCGGAGAAGAGTCTCACCCTAAAATATAAAAAACCTAAAACCCTCTACACTCGTCACTCTTTGCTTCTGCAACCTGCTCAGTGTTACATGAGGTCTCCTGCAGCCCTGAGGAAAGCCAGCTCTGGTGGACTGAAGTCTCTGCCTTCTTTCTCTCCTTGTGTCCACTTGATCTTTCCTAACACTCATGACTCGGTTTCCTAACACATTAGTCTTATAACAATGAGTTCTAGAACTGGCTTAAGTATCTGTAAGGACCTTTGTACCCACTGCAGGAGTTGATGTGGAGAGAGCAGGTGGGCTTTATACCTTTCTGTAGTTAACACGCCCATCTTCCAGATGAAGAAATTGCAGGGCTCTGTGTCCTGAAAGAAACGAATTCACAGCGCAATTAAGTACCTCTGTATTTGTCAGAGATCATTCTGAAAATGAAATGAATAACTGTGAACTTGCAAACTATCTGGGAAGCAGGAAATGAAAATCAGTTTGGGCTCACTGGGAATTTTCTGTACAGATGCTTATATTAATAGAATACAATAAAATTTCCTTGGTGACTTAAAGTTTCTGCTGAACTAACTCTGGGGGCTTGGGTAAACTGAGGCCCTCTAGGTTTCAGTTCCCTCCTACCCACAAGGCAGTAATAATCACCTTAAAGGGTTGCTGGGAGAAACCATGGAAAAGAATCAAGTACAGTGGCTTGACCCCAATGAGAGAGGCTCAAGAACCACCAACTGTCACTTTTGTATTTTGTCTCAGAATTGAAGTAGGTAAACTTACATCAGAAATATAAGCCCTAAACGATGGGCTAATCCATGGTTCCCAAATGATTGTTTATTATTGGAACTCATTAGAAGGACCAAGTATCTCAGAAGGCCACCTGCTCTATACATGGAGCAAGACACAGACAGAATCAACAGAAAGACTAACATAGCTAGGTGCTGTGGTTTATACCTGTCATCCAGCCACTTAAGAGGTAAAGATGAAAAACATTACAGTAAAAAAAAAAAAGTTAATGGGACCTCATGTCAGGAGAAGTCTGGCATGCTGCATGCAACTAATCCCAACTATATAGGAGGTATAGCTAGAAAGATCTCTGTCCAAGGCAAGCCTCAGGAAAACAAAAATACAAGACCTAATCTAAAACATAAATAAATAATCAAAGCATAAAAGGCTGGAAGTGTGTCTGAAGCAGTAGAGAGACCAAGTTCAAAACCCCTAGTTAAGAATGAAATTAACATTCCTGGGAACAAACATGCAAAGGTAACACCTTATTTCTATGATGAATAGCCTCTAGTTTTAAAATCCATTCAACAAGTATATAGCTGCTCCAATTATGGTAGGCATTAATGCCATGAGGCAAATCAGAGCACAAATGATTCATACATAGGATTCCTGTGATTTACAAAGCTCAACACCTGAATGAGGCCAACTTGCTACATGAGTATCACACAAATTCCATGACAAGGAAAACATCACCTATGATGTTGATGACATCACATAAGGCAATTAGAAAACAAGTGATAAAACTTCTTTCTTTTACAGAGAAACTCGTAGAATCCGTACAGATTCTATTCAGAAGATGTCTTTAAGTACGCTCACCTATATGCACATGCAGGTATCTTTCAACATCCCTTAGGACTTAGGGGTCTGGTTGTGGGGCCTGAACTCTGGGCCTGGGCGCTGTCCCTCAGCTCTTCAGCTCAAGGCTAGCACTCTGCCATTTGAGCCACAGCACCACTTCCGGCTTTTTTCTTTTTGCTTATGTGATGCTGAGGAATCGAACCCAGGGCCTGGTGCATGCAAGGCAAGCGCTCTACCACTGAGCCCCTTCCCAGACCCCCCTTAGGACTTTTCTTTGGCACCTCTCTTATACATTGTTTCTAATTCTAAAATTAAAAACTTGAGCATTGCCATTTATGTTTGTTCCTCTTCAGCTTACCTTATAGTTTTAGTTATTTCAGTTCCACTGAGCTTATGGTTGAAAGATTCTGGAATTCAATAAGAAGTTCAAGTCCCTTGTTTCTTAGTGGAGGGACTGAGAGGTGCAAAGATGGCCTGGAGCCATGTATCTAGTTTACGGCAGTGGAGTCTTAAAACCAAGCACTGAATCTCTTCTCCAGTGTATCCTGACTCCTCTCTGGCAACCAATGTTTAACAGACACCAAACTTGCTGTCAGGATGTGAAACTCTAGGCCAGGCTGCCCAGCATTACACATAACAAAGATAGCTATGAAACTCTGCAGGATCAGTTTCCTTGTCTGTAAAAGAACATGACTTCAGTGACCTCTGGTATGCCCTTCAAAGAGTTTAAATTTGGGAGATCATTGATTCTACTCTAGTTCTCTGTCTACATCTATTTTACACTGATAAATTTTCATATCTTATTTGTAATTTTATCATTTCTGGAGGTGGTAAAATGGTAAAGTATTTTCACAAGAATTAAAGAAAACCCAGAAACTACAGTATATTTATAATTATGTAATCATATTCAACTGATGAATTTACCTATGACTTGGCATTTTCCAGGTTAAAAATATTCCAAACCCAAATTCATAGAAGAATCAAACTGGGGGAGAATGATAAAGAGGCAATATTGATGAAGATTCATTACTGATGTGTTGAATGGCAACCCCTTTATACAATTACTTAAAGGTAATAATACATAATAATTTTTTTAAAAAAAGAATCAAGCCACGTGCTAGTGGCTCCCTCCTATAATCCAGCTACTCAAGAGGTTGAGATCTGAAGATCAAGGTTCAAAACCAGTCCAGGTAGGAAAGTCCATGACACTCTTTATCTCCAACTTAAGCACCAAAAAAAGCCAGAAATGGAGCTGTGGCTTAAGTGGTAGAGCTCTAGCCTTGAGCAAAAAAACTCATGGTGAGCACCTAGGCCCTGAGTTCAAACCCCAGGACCCCCCCCCCCACACAAATATAAATAAATAAAAATAATCAAGTTGTTTTCTTTTTTTTGGGGGGGGGGTCCGGTTGTGGGGCCTGAACTCTGGGCCTGGGCGCTGTCCCTCAACTCATCAGCTCAAGGCTAACGCTCTACCACTTGGGCCACAGCGCCACTTCCGGCTTTTTTCTTTTTGCTTATGTGGTGCTGAGGAATTGAACCCAGGGCCTCATGCATGCAAGGCAAGCACTCTACCACTGAGCCACCTTCCCAGCCCCTCAAGTTGTTTTCTTAAGGATAACCTTCAGTGTTCTCACAACATAGGCTAAGAGTGATGACTATGTGAACCTGTGGAGATTTTAATTAGCTCCAGATGGTAAACATTTCACAAATATGCATGCCTATCAAAACATCACATTGCATACCTTAAATTTTTACAAATTATATTTATCAATTGTACCTCAACAAAGCTGAAAAAATATGAAAAAGAATACTTCTGTGTTTACACCTACTTACATCTAACCTTATTTTTTTTCTATCTGTGTATGTCTGTGTATGTTTGAATGTGTGTGTGTACCTATCTACATCATAGTCCTTGAGGTCAGGGACCCTGGCTTATGTACCTTTGTCCTTTTGTTTTAAAAAAAAAAAATTATCTAAGTAGTTGTACGAAGGAGTTTCCAATTCAACCTCAGTTTGAGTACAATACAAGTTGATCAATGTTACCCCTTCTATCATTTCTCTCAACACCACCCACTCTTCAAAACAAATATTTTACATTATCTCTAAATTCCACGTGCCAGCTTCTGAATACAGTGCATCTCCCAGCATTCTCCCCTCTACCCCTACTTGGGGTTTCCCTGTCTTGTCTAACTCCTACCTTCCTTCTTAACTTGCCAGAAGCCAGACACCTTTTAAACCACTTGACAGAGAACCCACAAGGCTACCTGTGCCCCTTTACAAATACTTAGAATGCCTGTCTTGGAAATGCACAACAACAAATATACATTGCTCACTCTCACCATATTTCACCTACCTTTCTGCTCTCCCCTCTGCTTTACTGCAGTCTCACTTGGTCAAACTCCTCCCTGTGTCCCCACCCAGACAATCACCAGCCACCTGGCCCTGACTTTCTTGCCTAGCTGTGCCCCCCACACAACCCACCTCCCAGGCCCCCTCCACGCCCCATCCCCCGATGACTCCATTTTTGGCTTTCTTCTCTCCTGGGCCTCAGCTGGGAAAGGGAAAGTTTTATCTCGACAAGCTTTCTACTCCTGATAACACAACATGACCCCAGTTCTTACCTATTTCTATGTGTGTTGACAGGCCACATGGTGAACTTGTAGAACAGAAAAACGCCAGCACAAGCAGCAGGCCAGAGCGCAGCCTGAAAGCAGGCATGTTGTCATTCCTTCCAGCTCCTCTGGTGACAGGACCACTCCACGCAGCACTGCACTCCAAACTCCAGGCACAGACTCCGCAGGTCCCTTCTCTGCAGATCACTGGCACGAGAAAGCAAGCTGAATTTCGAAATAATATTTTCCAATGAAGTCAACTGCTCAACTACTGTTTAGCTTCACCACAAAGCAAACAAGACTGTCTGCCTGAGAGCAGGGAACAAATGATCCACCAACACCTAAAAGCTTCTAGCCGGAAAGATCTCCATCTTCCCATGGACCGAGGATTTCCCTGGATTCCATTTTAATATGAAACTAGGAAGAGGCAAAGTTGTCCTCCGATAATATATATCTAGTCTTGCTTTCTAAACAAGAGTCACCTGTGCAAATTGATAGTCTATTCTTCAGCCTTACCTTACGTGGGTGATGTCTCAAACATCCTTTCCACATACTTATCAGGCTCTCCTGCTTCTTGGCCTCCTAAGCTGCAAGTGCATGCTGGGAAAGCTTTTGTGGTGATCAGCTGGACAGCCGGAACCGGCTCTCTTTCAGTATTTGGCAACAGATACAAACACTTGTGTAGGATTACACAAGTGAAGCCACTCCTGGTCTTCTACCCCTGACTCCTCTGGAACCTATTGGAATGTCAGATTCCTACAGCCCAGTAGAAGATCCACTTGAGAGGTGGGCACAGGAAGGGGATCTGAACCAGGAAAACAAAGGTTTGGAAAATACTGGGTTCTGAATGCACTTGACATGAAGTAGCCAATGAATAGCACTGAATCCATGGGAGGGGCAGGGTTTAGGTCAAGCTCTTCATGGAAAGGATGGTGATATTAAAGTTCTAATTATGTATAGTGCATACAGTAAATGCAAGACAAGGAGTTGAGTGCCAGTCAGGAGGCTGAGATCTGAAGATCACAATTCAAAGCCAGCCTAAGCAAAAAAGGCCTTGAGACTCTTATCTCCAATAAACTAGCAGAAAGAAAGAGAAAGAAGGAAAGAGAGAGAGAGAGAAAGGAAGGAAGGAAGGAAGGAAGGGAACTATGGCTCAAGTAGTAGAGTGCTAGATGGAGCAAAAATGCTAGGAGAGAGTCCAAGTCCCTGAGTTCAAGCCAAAATACTGGCACAAAAAATATGTAAGTGGGAGGAAACCATGTTTATTTTCAGGTTAGCCGGAAGAGGTGAAAGAACAACAATGGATGATTCAAGACTTGTCGTCTGTCAGCATTGTGCTGTAATATTTATTTACTTACTCATTTTGCTGGTACTGGGCCTTGAACTCTGGGCCCTGTACTTGCTTCCAGCCCTTGTAATCTTAATTAACTCCAGGTTCAAAGCCCTAGGAAATAAGCACTTTCCTCTTCTGGGGGAATTAGGCCCAGCTGCTTCTACTCACTTTTAGGCCAGAAGCCACAAATGCTTGTGTTTTATTTGGCTAACAGTGTTTTATAAACTTAAGTCAACTTTTAAAATGAAAAAAAAAAACTCCACATAGAAATCTAAATAAATGATTTAAATAAATTAAAAGCCCTGGCTTCCTGAAGTAGCATTCCACCGTGAGCTCCCCTCCACATCCTCCGTGCCCAGCCTCCATACACTATGTCTGGGTTTCCATGACCCTCTGGCCACCACAAACTTGGCTTTGCTTCCTTCTTCCCTGTGCCTCCTAAAGCCGGAGGTGACAGGCTAGCAATTACAAGTTGGGGCTGTGGTAAATTCACAGCACCCAAGAATAACCGATCAATAATAAAGCAGAAAGAGACTTACAAAGGCTCACAGCAGGGTGTGAATAATTCAGGAAAGGGTATCTAAGTAACTATAATAAAACCAACCCATCCACACACACCAGAAAAAGAAATGGATTCAGTCACTAGACAATACAAACCGTGTTTAAAGTTCAGAATGATTTAACTTATAAATGCAGTGGAATAGGAAGGGATTTTTTCACTTGTGGATATGAACTTTATGTGATAATATTGCTTGCGTTTTTATGACTTTTGTAACCAGAAAAACATCAAAGTTATGACTTAAAATATAGCTCACAGGATTTAGAAAACTATCTGACAACAATGAGTCAATGGAAAGCTTTTTCTTTCTTCTCCACATCCCCTTTCCCGATACCGGTGGCTTCATTAAGAGATAGTGTGATTCTATCATTTAGCCTCTTCGTAAATCAGACAGCAAGTCAAGTCTGAAGTTTCAGTAGGAGTGGGTGGATAAATAGGAGCTTTATTTGGACCTCTGTTCTCTTTCTTAGTATCTGGGTGATCTTTGCACATGTTATTAAAAATCACCATACTATTGTTTCCTTATTTCTAAAATGGAGATAATAACCAGTTTTGCAGATTATAAAAGTACACACCTTATGTCATTGAGAAGAGTTGATAAATTACATAAATAGATGTAAAATGCATCGAAAAGTCTCACATACAGTAAGAGTTGAATACATGTTGACTATTGAACATTCAAATGAAATTTTCCCCATATAGAAGATTCACCAAAGGTTTCTATTAAGTATTTCTATTTTTTTTTTTTTTGCAATGCTGGGGGTCAAACCCAGGGCCTAGGCATACTAGGTAAAGGCTCTCAGCTACATACCCAGCCCATTTATTGACTGACTCTCTCTCTCTCTCTTTCTCTCTCTCAGTCAATCAATCAATCAATCAAGACAGGTATCTTTCACACAGATATTCAACATAACATCTTTTATGACAATTTAGATGTGAGTATAAAGAAAGATTGAAAGTAGAGGTACATCTCCTTCGTGTGCTGATAAATTAGATGTGATTTAATGTCCAAAATCTTTTTTGGGCCTAAAGTAGATCATTTTAGCTCACTTTGACATAGGTCTAATATGTTGTAGATATCATAGGATCATTATAGCAAATAAGGAAGGGGATAAAAGAGGGATTGAGAGGGCACCCAGGATAAAGGCAGGTTAAAGAGAAAAGGAGGAAAAGTCCCATCACACAACTGCTCTTCTCCTCTAGAGCCTAGTGAGCATTCCAAGTCACATTCTGGCATCACCAGGGCTCTGCAAGTAAGACAAGAATCAAGAGGGAATTTTTCTGCTCTAATGGGGGCTGGCACAGAACAGAAAACATGAGAGGCAATGGGAAAGATCATGTTATGGATTTCCTAGGTCATTGGCCCTTTTGCCTTTGGGGGGGGTCTCATCCTTCATAAAATAAATAATGACAAACTTCCCATCTACATTGGTATAAAGATTATATAATAATATTCCTCTTAAATATGTCACATGATTTTATAAGACATTACACATTTTGTGTGTCTGAAAAGAATGAGGAATCTTAGGTGTTCTACATACACTCCCTCATGGACAACTCAGCTATTAAGAGGAATGGGCATGATGTGAAATAGAATCTTAACATGTCTTCTACGAGAGTAATTTTGGCACAGGAGACTGACACTAGTTTTACTTTATTTATTTATTTTGGCACACTCAATGATTTCCCTCAAGCCTGTAGTGACTATCAGTAGAGCGCCCCCTGCAGGCAGTAGTTGTGAACCCACCCGCTCCCCAGTGATCACCACTGGAGGTCACAATTATCAGTAGTTCCTCTCTTCCCAATTACCACAACAAAACACACAGAAAAATGGTGAAAGATACACCTACACATGATTAAACTCAGCTGTCACCACTTCTGCCAGATGCGACTGGTTCAAGACCGAGTAGATCTGACTTGGTCTTACAAAGTTCAGCGTTGGCATTTTGCAAAGAATTTCTAGGACTCTGTAATCCTAGAAAAAGGCAAAGCCCACAGGCTCCTGAACCTGTAATACACTCACAACTCTGTAGTAATTGAGCGTGGGAGTCATGTTGGAACTATTGATCCTAAAATCAATACATAGCATTGATAGGGTGATGCAAACCACATATTCCAAGTATGGACATGCTATTTACCCTCATTCTGCTTCCAGAATTTGGGGTCTGGGCCTAGTATCTGAATAGATAAAGAATGCGCCTTTAATTTGATCATAGTATAGTCAGTCTTTATAATCTGCTGGCTCTATTTTGATAAATGATTTCTTGCTAGTTGGTAGCCAAATTTTAACCTACTGGTGGCTTGAGCTAGAGCAGCTAGTATGACTAGTATACCTTATCTCACAACAGACATGTATTATTCGTGTGTGTGTGTGTGTGTGTGTGTGTGTGTGTGTGTGTGCTGACACTCGGATTTGAACTCAGGGTCTGAGTTCTAGCCCTGAGCTATTTTCGCTCAAGACTGGTGCTCTACTACTTGAACCACAGCTTCCCTTCCAATTTTGGGGGGAGTTAATTGAGAGGTCTCACAGACTTTCTTGCACGTACTCTCCCATCTCAGCCTCCCCAGCAGCTAGGATTACAGGCGTGAGCTACCAGTGTCTGGCAGATTTTGTTCCATTTTACAAATGAGATCACTGATACAGACCATTTGCACTAGATCTCAAGGATTATCAGCCACAGAGTCTTATCTCCCAAGGCAGGTGCTCTTCAGAGCAGTCTGCACTGGATGAAGGAAGAGAACACCTAGAAAAGCACGGAGCCAAATTGGCCCTTTGGGAAACCACGATTGGGAAACCAAATGTTAGGCGCACCCCTGATGCAAGGTCACCATGACCTTGGTCGCGGTTGAGGGCCACTCTTAAGCGTTGGGGAGTCAGCCTGCCAATTAGGTCCTCACTCCATCCCCGGCGCCCCGATCTGTTTACAAAAATCTGTTCAGTGTCTATTTCCCCGAAGCTGTGTTTATTGTTTTCCCAGTGTGACCTACAAATCCCCGACCCAGTTGCAAGTCTCATTACAGTCCTGCTCGGAATGGTACTCTGCCCGCAACTCTCGCAGTCCACAGAAGGTGACCCTAAAATGCGGCTTAAATTGCGCTCCCTCCCCCCCCCTCCCCCCCCCCCCCCCCCCCCGCGCACCGCTGCTGCCTGCCTTCCCACGGACCAGCCCGGCAGGTCTGTCCCCCGGTACAGCCTTCAGCCCGCGCCGATCGCTCGCCTCCAGCGCTTGCTTCTATGCTGGGACAGGGGACCCCGAGTTTGGGGTTTAGAGAGACGGAACACTTTCCTTAGCAGCACCCCGCAGTGGAAAGGGGGACGGGTGTCCGCCCACCTATGTCAGTTTCCCCGGCCCCATCTTTGCCGTACGCCCCCCCCCCCCCCAGCCCCAGATCCGGCCAAGGTCGACGCGCAGTGCAGCGCCCGGAGCGCGGGGAGAGCGTGCCCGCTACTCGGCCACCTTTAGCCCCGGTCCTTTGATCCCCGGTCCTCCGTCCCCGCCACCTCGCGCATGCCCGCTGCCTTCACCCCGGCCCCCGCCCCCGCGCGTGCCCGCCGCCCGCACCCCTGCGCGCGCTCCCGCCCGCCGACTTCCTGAAGCTCCAGCTGCCGCCGCGGCCCCCGCCATGGCGACCTGCTTTCGGCTGCGGAGCTTCGGGGCCCCGCGCCTCCCGCTGGCGCCTCCGCGCCACCTCCGCCCCCGTCCCGGCTGCTCGGGGCTCACCGCGCGGGCCGCTCCGGGCCGGGCCCAGCTCCGCAGCTACGCCCGGAGCCCCGCCGGCCTCTCCGCCGAGCTGCTGCGCACCGACAGCTTCGTGGGCGGCCGCTGGCTCCCGGCCGCCGCCACCTTCCCGGTGACGGACCCGGCCAGCGGCGCCACGCTGGGCATGGTGGCCGACTGCGGGGCGGCCGAGGCCCACGCCGCCGTGCGCACGGCCTACGAGGCGTTCCACAGCTGGAGGGGGGTCTCGGCCAAGGTGAGCGCCCGCGGGGCGGGCCGCGCGGGGGACCCCGTGGAGGGAAGGGGGTGCCCCAAAGTGAACCCAGCGGGGACCCCGTGCCCCTCGAGGATGCAAAACGCACGAGGTCACACACAAACCACGAATAACTCTGGAGCTTGGGCTTGTGGGTTCAGGCGCAAACCTCAAAATGTGGACTGCCCGGTTAGGGACGAGGTTGGCAGAGCAGGAGCACTTAACACAAGCCATCAGAGTCCTGTAGGCCACGAGCCTGGCCACCTGCGAGTATGGACATGACGGCCAATGTGTGTGCGCACCTGTATCCTAATGGCCACCTTCTAAAGTCATCTAGTCATGGACCCCACCTTGCCTTTATTGCCTCTTTAAAGGGCTTATCTCCAAAGACTCGCATTCTGAGCTACTGAGGGAGGGGAATGTAGAACTTCCAACATGTCAATTTAGGAGAGGCAGCTTTCAACCCAGAGCATCAAGGTAGACCTCCCAGAGAATAAGAGACCAAAAGATTAAAAAGAAATATGGGCCCTGACTGGTGGCTCATGCCTGTAATCCTAGTTACTCAGGAGGCTGAGATCTGAGGATCACAGTTCAAAGCCAGCCCAAGCAGGAAAGGCACTAAGACTCTTATCTCCAATTAACCACCAGAATACCAGAAGTGGAGCTTGACTCAAAGTGGTAGGGCACTAGCCTTGAGCACAAGAGAGGGCTGGGAAGGTGGCTCAGTGGTAGAGCGCTTGCCTTGCATGCATGAGGCCCTGGGTTCGATTCCTCAGCACCACATAAGCAGAAAAACCTGGAAGTGGCGCTGTGGCTCAAGTGGTAGAGTGCTAGCCTTGAAGGGCTGAGGAACAGTGCCCAGGCCCAGAGTTCAAGCCCCATGACTGGACCAAAAAAAAAAAAAAAGCTCAAGAGATTGCACCTAGGCCTTGAGTTCAAGCCTAACAACAACAAAGTAAGGACTTCAGGTAAGCACTAGGCTGGTCAATGGCTGTGGTGTTTTCAGAGTGGATTAGCCTCGGTGGAAGAGCTAGAGAGAGAGGGAACATAATACCTAGGCAGAGGTGTGATCTGGTCGACATTTTGAAAGGACACTCTAGTCCAGTGCTGTGGATAGACTAAAAGAGGGAAGTTGTATTAGTCTGGCTTTTGTTGATAAGGAAATTCCTGACCCAGGCTAAAAGAGGTTTATTTTGCTCACACTTTTTGAAGGTAGAAGTCCAAGATCTAGAGGCCACCAGGGAGTCCACCTGTGGTGAAGGCCTTATTGGAGATGGTATCATGGTGAAAGCAAGTCTGGGAACTTGTGATCACATGTTAGGACAAGAACCAAGAGCCATTCAGGGATCTAACTCCCTGTTATAACAACTTACATTGTCAAGATCTAGCTCTCAGGATCCCATGAAACCTACCTTAGTCCCTTCCAAATACACCCTAGAAAATGACCCGAGGACTGACAAGACTCGACCTTTTATTGCTGCAACACTCAGGATCAAGCTTCAAGCACATGAACTCTTGAGGCTTCACCAACCGTGTCTAAGCTATCACTGCGATACAGGTGGAAGGTGGTGATGGCTTGAGCTAGGGTTGTGGTGATGGAAGTATTGACTCATAGTCCCATAAGGGATATATTCTGAAGGAAGGTTATTTCTTTTCCTTTTTTTTCTTTTTTTTTTGCATGGGGCTTGAACTCTGGGCCTGGGCGCTGTCCCTCAGCTCTTCAGCTCAAGGCTAGCGCTCTACCACTTGGGCCAGAGGGCCACTTCCCATTTTCTGGTGCTTTATTGGAGAGAAGAGTCTCACAGAACTGGGCACAGGTGGCTCACGCCTGTAATCCTAGCTGCTTAGGAGGCTGAAATCTGAGGATAGGGGTTCAAAGCCATACCGGGCAGGAAAGTCCGTGAGACTCTTATCTCCAATAAACCACTAGAAAACCGGAAGTGGCATTGTGGCTTAAGTGGTAGAGTGCACTCGCCTTGAGCTGAAGAGCGCAGGGACAGGGCCCAAGCCCAGAGTTCATGCTCCACGACTGACCAAAAAAAAAAAAAAAAAAAGTCTCACGTACTTTCCTGCCTGGGCTGGCTTTGAACCGCAATCCTTAGATCTCAGCCTCCTGAGTAGCTAGGATTACAGGCATGAACCACCAGTACCCGGCTTGGTTATTTCTTGATGGAGTCTTATGGGATGCAGTAGCAAAAGAGAAGCCAGGACGTTTGGCCTGAGCAACTGGAAGGGAAGGGTGGAATAACTTCCGGCTGAGATGGGGGAGGGTTGAGTGAAACAGCCTGGAGTGGAATTGGAGCTCAGTTTGGGACACATGGCCTCTGAGATATTAGGATGTCCATTAGACTCCCCCAAGTGAGGATGGAAAAGCAGGTGGCTGGATGTTTGAGCTGGAGTCTGGAAGTGAACACTGAGCTAGAGATGTAAGCATGGACAGTATGCACCAGTGTACTGGGCATGCATCACAGCTGTGGGGATGAGGGAAGGGAAGGGGTCAGGCCTGATCCCTGGGTTCTCTAGCATCATTTCACAAGAATCAAGGCCACCACAGTGATGTCACAGTGCAAGGGTGGTTTGGTGACTGCGGGGCTGGGAGAGGAACCAGCAAGGTCTCCTGGTCATGCCTGCCACCATCCTGCCTGTGTCCCTTCAACATGAACACATTGTGGCTTCCATTTTACTAGGAATCTTTACAAGACTTCCTTCTTTACAAGAAGGAAGCATCCTTCTTGAAAGGAGGGAGTCTTGAACCTTGGGTCATCTACTGAGGAGGGAGTGCTGTGTTCCCTTTGGACCCCACACAGGTGGGAGCTGGTGGGGCACAAGCCAGGGGATGAATACTGTCTGGAAGCTAGCCCTGTGGTTCACCCTGCTATTGCCTCTGGGCCTGTGGTGTCTTTTCCCCAGGCCTGTTTTTCTCTCTTTCACAAGTGCCATTCACATTCTACCCATTCTTAAAGGCCTTGAGCATACAGAACTTCCACCTTTGAACCTGTCAGAGGCAGAAAAACCCACGGCTTTGGGCCAGAGATTTTGACATCTTTTGTACATCTTTGCCTCACGTCTTTCTTTGTATGTGTTTGCTGACCTCTTTCCATCTTGTGAACTCATAGATGACATGGAAGGAGAGGAATTGGCCTCTGTTGACCACCTCATAAGCTAAAGTGTTAGTATCCTGTGGCTGCTATAAAAAAAAATTTTCACAGACTTAGCAGCCAGAAACAACATAGATTTGGTCTTGTGTGGTGTTAGCTATCAAAAGTCCAACATGGATTAGCAGAAATGTGCCAACTGAACCATCACAGCAAGAATGAGGCTACACAGCTAGTATGCCAGGAAAGTGCAGAATATTTACTAGTCCATCTTCCATTGCACATTTCATTACTTCTCTGCCTTGTTATTTCTTTTTCAGGAGAGAAGTTCATTACTTCGGAAATGGTACGATTTAATGATGCAAAATAAGGATGACCTTGCGAAAATAATCACAGCTGAGAGTGTAAGTTCAGGACCCTACCTGACTATCCTCAAGAACAATCCTGGAGTTTTTAGATTAAAACTTGGAAAAGCCTCTCACTTCCCATTGGTGCTGTGTTTGTTTTGCTGATACTGGAGTTTAAACTCAGAGCCTTAAGCTTGCTCAGTTTGCTTGCTTGGCTGACATTCTACCATTTGAGCCATGCCTTCAACCCAACTTTTTTTTTTTTCTGGTTAAATGGAATATCAAGTCGTTTGGATGTTTCTACCCAGGCTGGCTTTTAACCTTGATCTTCCTCCAGATCTCAGCCTCCTGAGTACCTAGGATTATGAGCATGAGCCACAGGTTCTTCATATTAGTGTTAATCTGTAGCTAAAGAATGTATAGTTCTTTGTTTGATGAGCATTATTGGGCCAGACAAGTCATATTTGCTAAAACAAAATTCATGTTTGCTAGGACACAGTAGTATTCTTTATTAGGATGCAAAAAGAATAGGTTTTGTTTGGAACAATATGAATTTACTTTTTACCTGTCCAGGTCCCCCCTCCCACCCCCATGACTGTCTTGGTTTTCCACATTGTATGTATTTAAAAATAGACTATTAGTTCCTCCATTGTTATAAGTGACTTTATACTACACCTATTAAGAGATGTTAGAAGTGGGGAAATGAGTAGAAGATGGACTTCCAGGTGACCCTCCCTCCCTGTGAATATACAGAGGATGTGGATGAGTCCTATGGCTGGGAAGACCAGCCATGATTATTCCCATCACTGTAATTCTGCAGTCACTCACACCAAAGTTCGAAATTTTCCCCCTAAACCCTATTGATGAGAGAGTTTTCTATTTCCCGGCAGCGTTGAAGAATTGAGAGATACAGTCCTGTTTATTTATTAGAAGGCAATAAGCATGCTTTGTCTGATCTGATTTAGGGAAAGCCACTGGCAGAAGCACAGGGAGAAATGGTCTATTCCGCCCTCTTCCTAGAGTGGTTTTCAGAAGAAGCTCGCCGCGTTTACGGAGACATTATTCCTACCTCCTCAAAGGACAGGCGAGCCCTGGTCCTCAAGCAGCCCCTGGGCGTGGCCTCCATCATCACCCCGGTATGTGCCAGGACCGTGTCGTGGTCCCAGGGTTGGGAACTGGGTGGTGAGGTAAGAAATGACTTGTTCTTCCTGGTGAGCAAGGTGTGCTGTTTTGTTGGCTTCCTCACCTGTCCTTGGTTTCCTGATTCCTTTTCTAGATGCAGAGATGCATTTCCGCTTCCTCTTGAGATAACTGTAGGTGTGTGGCAGTGAGGGGCTAATGGCCATCACTGGTAACCCATAGGAAGATGCCGAGGCTTTTCTGACCTGCCAGAATGGCTTGTTTCTTCCCAGCATTGCCTAGTACCTCTCAAAAGATCTTTGAGAATTTATGAGTTGTGGGGGGGCTTGAACTCAAGGCCTGGACTCTGTCCCTGAGCCTCTTTGTGCTCAAGGCTAGAGCTCTACCACTCAAGCCACACTGCCACTTCTGGTTTCTGAGTGGTTAATTGGAGATAAGAGTATCACGAGGACATCCAGGTGCCAGTGGCTCACGCCTGTAATCCTAGCTACACAGGAGGCTGAGATCTGAGGATCTCGGTTCAAAGCCAGCCCAGGCAGGAAAGTCCGTGAGACTCCTATCTCCCATAAAAACCACTAGAAAACTGGAAGTAGCGCTTTGGCTTAAGCAGTAGAACGCTCACCTTGAGCTGAAGAGTGCGGGGACAGCACCCAAGCCCAGAGTTCAAGCCCCACAACTGACCAAAAAAAAAAAAAAAAAAGTATCATGGGGACTCTTCTGTCCGGGCTGTCTTTGAACCACAGTCCTCAGATCTCATCCTCCCGAGTAGCTAGGACTATGAGTGTGAACCACCAGTGCCCAGCTAAGAATTTGTTATTTTTTTTTTTAAAAGACTTTAAGATAGGACTCATTTTTCTTCTGTGTTGGTAACTGGGTCTTGAATTCAGGGCCTGGCACTGTCCCTTAGATTTTTCCACTCAAGGCTGTCATTCTACTACTTGAGCCACAGCTCTTCTAGCTTTTCAGTGGTTTGTTGGAGATAACAATCTTATGGACTTTCCTGCCTGGGCTGGCTTTCAGCTGCAATCCTCAGATCATAGTATCTAAGCCACCAGCACCCAATAAGATAGGACTCATTTTTTTATTGTGCCATAGTTTGAAAAATAAATTATGCTTAGTGGAATAATTGTAATAGAACATCCCACAAAGCATTAAAAAAAATCTTAATGTATCCTATCTTTATGAGCCTTTATCTCCTTAAGGGAGAACACCTGGGCAGGAGGAACACCTGGGCAGGTGAACAGGTCTGCCGATCAGTTGTGCAATGGAATCTGGGAACTGACCCTCCTTGCTGTGGATAACGCGGCAGTCTTCTCACGTACTTCCTTTGCCCTTCCAATTCCAGTGGAATTTTCCCAGTGCCATGATCACCAGGAAGGTGGGGGCTGCCCTTGCAGCTGGCTGCACAGTAGTGGTAAAACCTGCTGAAGATACGCCTTTCTCTGCCCTGGCCTTGGCCCAGGTGAGCGTGTGTGTTTGTGTGTGTGTCTGTCTGTGTTTCTGTCTGTCTGTCTCGAACCAAACAAGTCTCCATGTGGATTTTTTTCATGGTTTTGGGATTTGAACTCAAGAGTCTGAAATACTTGCTGGGCAAACACACCCCTAGCCCTTTTCTCTTACTTTTTTTTTTTTTTTTAATATATGGTACTGCTTTTCTTGCAGTTAGCCTGGATGTGATTTTTCTACTTTATACCTCCTGAATAGCTGGGATGACAGGCGCACATGACCATGCTTGGCTTTTTTCATGGAGAAAGGGTCTCTTTAACTTTCTTCCCAGGGTAGCCTCAAACCACAGTCCTCTCTCTCTTTGCCTCCTGAGTAGCTATATTTGCTTGTCTGGGCCACAAGTGAAATTTTATCAGGGACAGAAAGAAGCAGTTTTGGAGTCTCTATATTTGCCTGCCATGTGTATATTATCATGCTTTAATCTGCTGGCAATTATTTAGGTCAGATGTTAGATGCTTGTTGTAGAAACAAAAAAGAAGGATTTTCGTGGTACCTGCCCACCACATTCTTAATCACCCTAAAAATGATATTTATTTATCATCTTCATTAAAAAGGCACTGAATTTTTTGTGTAGGTGTAGTGCTTAAACTCCAAGCCTCATGCTATTTGGATGAACCTTCTATTTCTTCCGTTTTCTGATGTTTTCCAGTCTACTTCTTAGTTAACACATGCTTGCTGGCTGTCTTCACAGCTCGCAAACCAAGCAGGAATCCCTCCTGGTGTCTACAATGTTGTTCCTTGCTCCCGAGCGAAGGCCAAGGAAGTTGGGGAAGCACTCTGCACTGACCCTCTAGTGTCCAAAATTTCCTTCACTGGCTCAACAGCAACAGGCAAGGTATGAGACTGAAGTCTCCAGCAAATCCAATGTCTTAATAAAGATCATAACACTCCTCTTTTATCTTGATCACCAGTTTTAGAAAAATTGTTCAGCAGTGTTCAAAGCTCTCCTATAGTGGTGTTCGATCATCCTCTGGGGTGCTGAAGGTGTTGTCTCCTATTGCAACATGGCATGGGTTCCTAGTTGACAATCAAAGGAGTTGAGTGGCATTCATTATTTGTTTACCCAGGTTAGCCTAGATAATTCTAAGTAGTTGGGGTTACTGTAAGAGCCACTCTACCTGGCCAGATAGCTTTTCTCATTTCTCCTTGATGGTATCTATACCATGGGCACCTTTGTACATTCTTGAGTAATTTTGTAAAACAAAGGCATAGTAGCCCTGTGTATTAGTCAGTGTTCCATTGCTGTGGCCAAGTATCTGAGAAAACTGACTTAAGGATTTGGCTCCATTGCTTTTAGGCTTGTGGTGGGTGAGGTAATCGTGGTGGACAGGCAGGTGTGGTGGGAAGCTACTCACCTCATGGCAGCCAGGAAGCTGTAGAGAGAGTTCAGAGACAAGATATGTTCTCCAAAGGTACACATCAGTGGCCTACTTCCTCCAGCTAGGCTTATTCAGCTCTGACCTCCTGATCCCACCACCTCTAGATGGTGCCGCAGCTGGGGACCTCCTTCACTTCATATGCCTTTTGAGGGTCAGAAGAGGCACTTTATATCCAAATCCAAACACCCTGGCAGTCTCTCTCCCTGCTTATAGCATTCTCCCTTCCGGCAGATTCTGTTGCACCATGCAGCGAACTCTGTGAAAAGGGTCTCCATGGAGCTAGGGGGCCTTGCCCCATTCATCGTCTTTGACAGTGCCAACGTGGACCAGGCTGTCAAGGGGGCCATGGCATCTAAATTTCGAAATGCTGGACAGGTGAGTGACAGAGGGATTTTCAGAGCATAAATATGGAGAATAGATGAGTGTGTTTAATGGAGATCTCCTAAGCTCCTTCCATCTCTCTTCCTCCTCCTCTTCTACTTCCTCCTCCTCCTTTCAATTCTTCTTTTTCTTCCTCCTTCTTCCTCCCCCTTTTCTTCTCTTCATCTTCTTCCTTTCTCTTCCTCCTTCTCTTCTTCCTCTACTTCTTTTTCCCTTCTCTCTTTCCTTTTCCTCCTTTTTCTTCCTCCTCTTCTCCACCTCCTCCTCCTCCTTTCTTTTATCTCTCAGCAAACATGCAGTTGGTGCCTTCTTTCTTGCTAGGGACTTTGCTAGGCATGGCGTCCAGACATAAGTAAAGATTTTCCCAAACTGGAAATGTTCATCTTTTCTTTCTCCTACCCTTTGAAACTGGTTATTTTCTTTTTTTTTTTTTAACTTTATTTTTTTTGTCTAACCCAGGATGTTGTTGCACTTGCTAGGCAAGTGCTTTGCCACTGAGCTACATCTCAGCCCAAAGCTGGTTATTTCCATAGGTTTCTCTTACTGAACTTTTCTCTGTTGAGCTGATACAATCAAACCTAGATATGAGCCATCTTTTCACAGTGAAGGTCTGAGATGGTAGCATGGTACCATTTCTTGGTTGGATCAGTAGCTTCTGAAAAACCTGACTTCATAAACTTTTTTGTTGTTGTTTTTTTCCTGTCTAGACTTGTGTTTGTGCAAACCGGTTCTTAGTGCAACGGGGTATTCATGACTCCTTTGTAAAGAAATTTGCTGAAGCAATGAAGACAAACCTGCGTGTAGGTAATGGATTTGAAGAAGGAACTACTCAAGGCCCATTAATTAATGAGAAAGCAGTGGAAAAGGTAAGTTTAGCTTACTATCTGTGGGTGAAAATTTTATGGTTTCAAAACCAAAAGCCTAACTAAGCAAAAAACACTTTAGTAAGTTTCTCAGCAAGGCTCTTTTGGAGAACTATTTTAAAAATAATTTTATTTTTTGATTATGTAGTATCGAGAATTGAACCCAGGGCCTCATGCATGCTAGGCAAGCACTCTACCACTAAGCCACCTTCCTAGGCCTGGAGAAATTTTTTTTTTTTTTTTTTGGGTCCGGTCGTGGGACCTGAACTCTGGGCCTGGACACTATCCCTCAGCTCTTCAGCTCAAGGCTAGTGCTCTACCACCTGAGCCACAGCGCCACTTCCAGCTTTTTTTCTTTTTGTATATGTGGTGCTGAGGAGTTGAACCCAGGGCCTCAGGCATGCAAGGCAAGCGCTCTACCACTGAGCCACCTTCCCAGCCCCTGGAGAAATATTTTTTTTTTTTCTTGGAGAAATGTTTTTAAAAGGAATTTCTACCAAGTAGTGGGATGGGTAGCAATGTATGGGCATTACACTGAGACTTTGTGAGATTTTTTCTCCCTCAGTTTTCTGCTACATTTTGATGACAAATGTCTTTCTAGAGGTTCCTAAGGAACCTGCTGGGGAATCTAGAACCACAGATACCACATTCAAGATTAGAGACAGCCACAAAGGGAAAGAATTTAGAAAGAATTTGTTTGTAGGAAAACAAAAAAAGGCTGGGTGCTAGTGGTTTATGTCTGTAATCCTAACTACTCAAGAGCCTGAAATCTGAGGATCAGTTAGAAGACAGCCAGGGCAAAAAAGTTTGTAAGATGAGTCATCACCAGTTAATCACCAAAAAAGCCATAAGTGGAGTTGCGGCTCAAGTGGTAGAGTGCTAGATAGCAACAAAGCCCCAGGACCAGCACTTACACACACACTCTAAAGTCTCAGTCTAGATGACAATGGGTGGTATTTCCCTCTTTGTTCTATTGTTCTTGTTTCAAAGGCCCAGGGAACTTTTAAAATAATAATGCCAAATATCCATTGTCTCTATCTAGATTAGCCTCTACTAGTAGACTAGTAGAAAGGATCTTAACAGGATATTTTTAATCAGGCAGACACAGCAGCTGGGGAGCGAAGGCCTGAGGGGCCATCTAGCATCTGGGTGAACCTGAGAAACTTGCATCCAGAACAGGCAGTGAATGCTTACATGGGGAGCTTAGTCTTGACTGCTGGTCCTCAGCAACCTGAGGGCCTGAGCATGAACCACAGACTGATGGCTGCCCTGACAGTGGGCAGTCAGATCAGCTGAACCCAAACTTGTTACCTTCCCCCAAGGAAGCACTGAAGTTGACAGAGAGGTCTGGTAAATTTCTCATCATGGGCTAGTAATCCTGCCTACTGAGAAGGCTGAGATCCGAGGACTGCAGTTCAAAGCCAGCCCAGACAGAAAAATCCATGAGACTCTTATCTCCAGTTAACCAGTAAAAAGCTGTAAATGGAGCTGTGGCTCACGTGATAGAGCACCAGCCTTGAGCAAAAAAAGTAAGGGATAGTGCCTAGGCATTAAGTTCAAGCCCCAATTTTAGCACCGAAAGAGAGAGACAGAGAGACAGAGACAGAGAGAGAGGAGGAGGAGGAAAGAAAAGAAAAGAATAAAAAAAACTAGCAATTGCCTGGAGATTACTCAACACAGAGAAAGTTATTAAAGTTACGTCAGTACCATCTGCGTCTTAGAGGTGACATTGGACCTTGGGACAAGCCCAGGATGCTTGCCTGTCTAGAGAAGGCCGACTGAGTTAAAACCTACCTTGAGGGAGAGAATGGAAATTACAGAAACCACCCACGCTGCCTCCCTATGTCTTCCAACCCGGTCCTTGGTTCAGAAGGATCAGCAGCCTACGGCGCTGGTGCCTGTGTGAACACCATGAGCACCTAAGAGAAAGGGCCAGCCAGAACAAACAGAACAGACTTGAAAGCAGTAGACAGACCAGGCAACAGGAGGGAATTTTCTAAGAAGGTAATGATGTCTTGCAGGAGTTTTAAGGAAAATACACATCCATAAAACAAGAAATCTGTTCTATGAAAGTGAAGCAAGGACAGCAAGTCTGTAGAACTTGCACACATGACTGACAAAGTATGCAGCAGCTAAAGGTAGAAGTTAATATTAGAGAGATCTGACCGAATTTAAAGGACAATATAAAGAATATTGTTATTTTTTTAAAGGAGAGTTAATCTGAGGTGAGGAAGATAGCCATCTTGGTAAAAGAAGTTAGAATAAGAATATTAAAGTCAGGTACTGGTGGCTTATGTCTATAATCCTAGCTACCCAGGAGACAAAGATCCAAAGGCTTACAGGTTTTTTGTTTGTTTGTTATTGTTTTGTTTTGTTTTTCTCTCGGTCATGGGGCCTGAACTCTGGCCCTGGGCACTGTCCCTAAGGTCTTCAGATCAAGGCTAGCACTCTACCACTTGAGCCACAGCACCACATCTGGCCTTTTCTGCTAATGTGGTGCTGAGGAATGGAACCCAGGGCCTCATGCATGCAAGGCAAGCATTCTAACACTGAGCCACCTTCCTAGCCCAGGCTTGCAGAACTAGATGTCATCTCTAAAATAACCAGTAAAGGGAAAGGCTGGGATATGGCTCAAGTGGTAGAGCACCAGCCTTGCAAGTTCAAGGCCCTGAGGGAAAAAGAATAAGAGATTGAGAAAATGGGGAGAAAAATTACATTCTTAGTTCTTTAATTCTTCAGATAAAAAGATTTCACTAGTGACCAAGTTCAACAAATGAAAAGAAAAACATATATTTTATCAAAAACTTAACTATCAGGACATAAACAAAGATCCTATGAGCTCCCAGGTTGGGGAATGAAGTTGTCTCACAAAAGAAGCAAGCCGTGGGGGCTGGGAAGGTGGCTCAGTGGTAGAGTGCTTGCCTTGCATGCATGAGGCCCTGGGTTCGATTCCTCAGCACCACATAAGCAAAAAGAAAAAAGCCGGAAGTGGTGCTGTGGCTCAATGGTAGAGCGCTAGCCTTGAGCTGAAGAGCTGAGGGACAGCGCCCAGGCCCAGGCCCCACGACCGGACCCAAAAAAAAAAAAAAAAGAAGCAAGCTGTGTATCTGAACCAGATTTTTCATTCACAATATCAGAAGTGCACTCAAATTGTGAAGAAAATTGTTTTGAGTCAAAATTCAATGACCAGTTAAACTATCAATCAGGTGGAATAAAAGATAAAACATAGCCAGGCAAAATCAGATAAAGACACAGTTTTGGGGACAGGGTGCATGTCTGTTGTTGAGCAATGGGTGACTACTTGAGAAGAATGGATCAGAACACGGGCAAATGCAGCTCAGGAAAGGGCCGACAGGACACCCAAGACACTAGAACTTCCCAAAGTGCAGTGCAAGTGAAGCTCAGGAAAACAGCTGTGTGGGCTGCAGGCCCAGAAATAAATCCGTATGTCTTAGACCACAGTCAGTCAGGAAATCAGAGGGCAGGGACAAAAAGATGGCTACCCACCGTATTCCTTCCCATTACCCATTGTCATCCCTAAGGAATCAAGGTGGCTCATTTTTAGCCCATTTTAAAAAGAGCAAGAAAGAAACCCAATTTGTCTCCTGTGGTTTAAACATGCTAACAGTGTGCCCCATTGGAAAATGTCCTCAGCCAACCTTCCCAGGTTCTTCTTCTTATCATACAGGTAGAGAAACACGTGAGTGACGCTGTTTCTAAAGGGGCGACCATTGTGACAGGCGGGAAGCGGCACCAGTATGGAAGAAATTTCTTTGAGCCCACGCTGCTCAGCAATGTCACCAAGGACATGCTTTGTTCTCGTGAAGAGACGTTTGGGCCTCTGGCACCAGTTATCAAGTAAGATCTCACAGCAGCGGGAAGACAGGAGAAAGAATAGAAAAGCAGACTTAAGGAGAGACAGCTGTGCTACTTGGAGGGCTGAGTGGGAAGGGAGGGGCAGCGAGGGAGCGTGGCCAGGCCACTGAAGGGTAGAGTTCAGTTTATGATTATTTTTGTTTGGTTGATTTGGTGTTTTTTGAGATAGGGTATGACTGTATATATCCCAAACGGGCCTCAAACTTACAATCCTGCCTCAGCCTCCCATGTTCTGGGATTACAAGGCATGTGCTACCCTCAGCATAGTCCACAGAAGTACTCCAGTTCTTTTTCTTCTTCCTTTCTGCTGAACTTATTTTTCTTTTTTTTATGCAGTACATGTTTGTGGCTGTGCAGAGGAAATGAAGTGTTTGTAATCTTTTATGATCTTTTCATCGCACATTCACAAGTAAATAATAATTTGCTTAGATAAAAATTCCAGGTCCAGGGCTGGGAAGGTGGCTCAGTGGTAGAGCGCTTGCCTTGCACGCTCGAGGCCCTGGGTTCGATTCTTCAGCACCACATAAGCAAAAAATAAAAAGCTGGAAGTGGCGCTGTGGCTCAAGTGGTAGAGCGCTAGCCTTGGGCTGAAGAGCTGAGGGACAGCGCCCAGGCCCAGAGTTCAGGCCCCATGACCGGACCCAAAAAAAATTCCAGGTCCAGTAATCTGCAAATACTATTTCTTTTCTTTTTGATCCGGTCATGGGGCCTGAACTCTGGGCCTGGGCGCTGTCCCTCAGCTCTTCAGCTCAAGGCTAGCACTCTACCACTTGAGCCACAGCGCCACTTCCAGCTTTTTTTATTATTACTATTTTTTCTGCTTATGTGGTGCTGAGGAATCGAACCCAGGGCCTCAGGCATGCAAGGTAAGCGCTCTACCACTGAGCCACCTTCCCAGCCCCAGTTGTCTGGTACTTATGTGAAAAAATCAACTTTTTCTCTCAGGGATTTTTAGAATTTCCCCTGGTCTTTGACATTCTCAGATTTTACTATAATCATTCTGGTATAGCAGGCTGGGAGCTTGTCCAGTGTGGGATCCTTCATGTCTTTCTTTAATACTGAATGTGTTTGTTCAGTCCTGGAAACTCCTGCTGCTTCTTTCTCTAAATATGTTCCTTCCTTCCATACATTATTTTCTACCCCATTACAAGTGACACTCCCACACCCAGTCCTCCGTCCACCCATCTCTCTACTCACGCTAGGGGCTTCTCAAAGTTTTTCCCACCACCTGCCCCTCATTCATTTCCATTCTCCACACACACAACCCAACTACCCACTTCTTTAACTCCACAACGATTTTTTTGCGCCCTTGATGGTTCCAGTTGGTTCTTCCCCATAACTGACATTTCCTGTTTCATTATCCTCTCTGACCCTGCTGTGGAGATTTGTCATTTTCCCTCTCTTCATACCATTCCATTGTGCTATTGATTATTGTCCTTGCTCTTCTAGCTCTGTTGATGTCTTGTCATTTTTCTCTGGGAACTCATCTTTCATCCCTCGAACCAACAGCAGTCTTGGCTTGTCATAGGTGATATAAGATTATGCTAAAAGCAAAGCTCAACTCTCCATTTGTGCTCTTTTTGGTGTGTTTGGAGAAGGCAAAGGACTGAGTCTCAGGGAGGGAGAGGATCATGAGTATTAAAATCCAGCCTCAACTTCCACTTGACTTGCCCTAAGTAGCTTTCCCTCAATCCCAGGTAAGCAGTTCTCCCTCTTGCAACAGGCTGGGTAAAGAGGCTGCTGCCTCCTGCCCCTGCCCATGCTTGTTTTGTGGGGGCTCAGGCACTGGTTGGGCCCCCGGCTCCTGCATAGCATGCGTCCAGGTGTCTGGATCCCCAGGTGGAGTGAAAGGTGCAGTGCCACCCCCACAGCTTCTGTGGTCCTCCCAACCCTGCCTACTATGTATACCTGCAGCCCCCAGCTCTCTCCCATGAGTTCACTCCCTCTAAGACCCAGTCACTTCATTGGCCTCCAGAACATCTGGCACTGCCAGCATCAGTGATTGATTAGTGTGTGTGTGTTCTCCTCTTCTCTCCTCTGGAGTCTCTAGCATTGGTTTCACAGGGTGCACTGGTACTGCTATGTGGCCTTCTGTTCAGGATCAGGAACCTTGTTAGCAGCCTGTATTATGTATTACTTCTATGTGTTACTTTTATGTATTATTCCTGTGGTGGGAGAATGCACCACTTGAAGAATGTTTCTCTTCTTTCAACAAAAAGCATCCTTTGGACGCTGAGAAAATGTCAGCTGTGGAGTTAGTTGACGTGGGTGTCATTCAGGCTTTGCTCCTCTATTCTTGTGTTCTTTTGGGCACCAGCTCTGCCCAGCCCCCTCTGGAAGCTGTGCAGGGACAGCTGGCTCCTCCTGCTGGCAGATTTCTAAATTTCTAAACTGTGCCCCAGTTAAAATTCTAGAATGATAGAAAAACACCACTCAAATCTTGTTCCTGAAATAAAGTTATAAAGCTGGAAGGGACCACAGAGGGCTCTGTATAGTGTCTTCACGTCAGAGAGGAAGGGACATCTGGCACCTGAAGCCACTCAGTGCTAGAAAGAACCTGCTGGACCCTCACAGATTCCTTCCGCATGGTGATTGTAGCTAAAGGGTTGCCACCATTGCTGTGTATTCTTAGGAGGCACCAAGTGTTTTCTTGCAGGATGTCTGATGGCCTGGTTGGGCCCAGGCTCCCTGCATGCTGGCTTGCTTTTACCTTATTCACTTAGAACAGATGAGGCCAGTGTGGTTTTGAATGCCCATTGTGAACACTGAGGCTCTCAGGGATTGCTGCTGTTTTCTTTTACTCTGTCCTTAGCTGTCCTTGCCAAACACTTCTTGTCTTTATTTGGGAAACAAGTCAGGAGGAACAGAAGCTAGTTTTCTATACTCATCTCTTTCCAGATTTTGCTCATGTCCTATTTTAATATTGGCAGGTTTGACACGGAGGAAGAGGCCATTGCAATTGCCAATGCAACTGACGTTGGGTTAGCAGGTAGGTGATGGTCCTCCTTCAGCAACAGCACTTACTCATGGTCTCAAGCAATTTCTGCAGAGATTGAAGGAGAGGCTCTGGCCAAAGGTGACCAAGAAAGAAATCAGAAGCTAAATACAAAAGGGAGAGAACTAGGGCTAGGCAGTCTGGTGATGATGGTTGAAGATTAGAAGATGGTAAAGCTGATCAAAACCATACTAAAGAAGGTTTGATACTCTGCTAAGGAATTTAGCCCAATTCATAGAAAATGAGGAATCAACTAAAGGTCTGAGCAAAAATATCTGCTGCAGGATGGGTTGAAGAGGAGGAGATGGGAGCCCTAGCAAGAAAGGAGCATGAGTAAAAGATGATCTCCAAGAGTCTAAGGATAAAGAAGTGGACAGGACCACCTTAGGCTTTAGTTGGGAGCAGAAAGGTTCCAGACTCTCATGACTAACTAAACAAATAATGGCCAGTGGCATCCTTTGTTTCAGGTTTAGCGTCTCCAATCAGTCTTCCATGTGGCATGTGTTCCTTTTTGGGGTTTTGTTTGTTTTTGCCAGTCCTGGAGCTTGAACTCAAGGCCTGGTGTGCTGTTCCTCAGCTTCTTTTTACTCAAGGGTAGCACTCTACCATAGCGTCATTTCCGGCTTTTTCTGAGTAGTTCATTGAGATAAGAGTGTGACAGACTTTCCTGCCTGGGGCAGCTCTGAACCACAATGCTTAGCTCTTAGCCTCCTGAGCGGCTAGGATTCCAGGCGTTGCATATATTCCTTTTATCTCCATGCCAGGTTACTTTTACTCGCAAGATCCAGCCCAGATCTGGAGAGTGGCAGAGCAGCTGGAGGTCGGTATGGTGGGTGTTAACGAAGGCATGATTTCCTCAGTGGAGTGCCCTTTCGGAGGAGTAAAGCAGTCTGGCCTGGGGCGAGAGGGTTCCAAGTATGGCATCGATGAATATCTGGAAGTCAAGTATGTGTGTTACGGAAGCGTGTAGGAGCCTTCGTGTCTTGAAAACTTCACAAGGAAGCTTACCAACACATATTGGGACATGCCATCCATCGTTTAAAAAGACAAGAAACTATTAGGTTCTAGGAAGTAGGAACTTGTCATAAGCTCAGCCAGTCCTTGTCATCTTAAAGCCTGCCCCCTCCCTTCCATAACTAGGGACCAGTCCATACCACACACCCATGACTGTAGAGCTAACACTGGATTTATAGAGAAGGCCTGGGACCCTAGCACAACTGTGGCTGCCTCAGAACAGGGTGCAGTGTGAGGCACACCAGCCCCCAGGCCCATCACAAAGGCCTGATCACTGCCTGGTCATTCCCTGACTGGAACTCAGGCCCAGAGCACTGGAGATGATGGGCCTTCCCTGGCTGTCTGTTGGCTTAGCACCGAAAATACATACTACATATTGGAGGTGTTGGAACAGAGACTGAGTTCATCTTCTTTGTTTTAAGGCCTTCGAAACTACGCAGAATTGCCTTTCTGTGCACAATGAAGGAGCATATCTCCTTCTTTCGGGGCTGCTTTTGAAGTCGAAATCTTCACTGTCCTCAGTTCACCTGCTGAAGCCTCATTTTGTTTCCTTTAGATGAGAACAGGCTGTTGGGAAGGCTTGTGATCTCAGGAGCACCTGCGCTCAGCAGCTTTGTCCCCTGGTTCATGCAGTTCCACTCTCCCTGCCCACACCTAGTGTAGCAGTGTAGCACGGAGATTGCAGCTGGGCCTTCCTTGCACACTGTGAGCCTGAGAGACAGTGAGAGAAAGCACTTCCCCAAAGAGTGGAATTCCAGTAAGTACAAGGGTGGAGGGATTTTTATCGTGAGCTCACCGTGCAGCTCCCACCTGAGTGCTAGCAGTAGCTCTGCCACAGCAAGGGAGGCCAGGGTCCACCTGCCCATCAGCCAGAGTCTGAGCAAGTTTTTCTGTCTAGCTGTGGTACATCCTCACTCCCAAACACACAAACCACTTTCACCACCATAATCTCAAACTAAGGAAGAAAACTTGCCATAATTGTCTCTTTCTCTAAAAACTTCAACTAGGAAAGTTCTAGACAAGCCTCATATCCATGTAAGAGGCCAGTGATCACACCCCTTCCCTCTCTCCCCTTTCTTCCCCTCCCCTCTGTGGCCTGAGCCACTTCCTATGGATTCTCTGGGTGGCGGAGGGAAACTCAAGGGAAGCACTACCAATTGCAGCTATTCCTGAATTCCCCCAGTCCTCAGCACCCTTACTGAGCCATTGACTATGTAGCATAGGTATCCCTGTGTACACAGGGTTGTCTCCAAACCTGCACCTACTGGCCAGAACAGCCCAGAGGAGAAGCAAAAGCAGCAATCTGCCTCCCAGAGACACTGCCCAGGACCTCGGGAGAGTCACCCACACAGCATGACGGACAGTTCATTTCTACTCTGTATCTGTATCCATCTCTGAATTTTTAAGTGGTTTTCCTTGCTATTCTAATTGCTTACAATTTGTGTGTATCTTTTCTCAATTAAGAATAGAAGTGTGCCTGTGTTATTTTTTAGAAAAAGAAAATCCTTGCACAGTTTTTTAGTTTTCTTGCATATTTAGCTTACTGGGTACATAAACTGAGGGCCAGAGATTCATTATAATATCAATAGCTGAACTCAATTTCATAATTTGAATAATTTAAGGCAGCTGGGATTGTGATTCAGTGGTAAGGCCTGGACTTAGCCCCAGCACCTCTGAAAAAAATTGAAAATCAAGATTTAAAAAAGAAATAGCTTATTTAGTAAAATGGTTCTGGGTTGTAGGAAAAAAGAAGCGTTTTTATTTTATTATTTTGTTTTGTTTTGCAATGGGAACTTGCTGTGTTTCTCAGGTTGGCTTTGAACTTGTGGGCTCCAGTGATCCTCCTATCCTAGCCTCCCAAGAAGCTGGGACTATAGGCTTGTGCCATAAAGCCAAGCTAAAAGTGTTTTTGAATGAGCATTGTTGTTATTGTTTTAGTAAAGTAACTATATACGATACATGAGATTAAACACACAATATACAACACACACATATATGTGAACATGAAATAAAATGGGGGCAAACCACACCCCACAAGCCAAATCTGACCTGCCACCTGTTTTTGTATAACACATGAGCTAAAAATATTTTTTATATTTTCATGTGGGTAGAGGAAAACTATAAAGAAAAGCATTGTTTTGTGACATATAAAAGTATGTGAAATTCAGATCTCAATGTCCATAAATAAAACTGTATTGGAATACAGCCATACTCGTCCATTTATGGAATGGTCCGTGCCTGCTTGCCTGACAGAGTTGAATTGTTGTAGCAAGACAATATGGCCTGTAAAACTGAAAACATTTACTGTGTACTTAGTTCCTTACAGAAAAACTTGGGGATTACCGGCTCATTCCTGTATCCCTGCTACTTGTGAAATCAAGATTGGGAAGCTTATGATTTGGGAAGAATTTAGCAAGTCCCCATCTCAACAAGCATGACGTGATGGGTCTCATTTTTAATCCTGACTTGCAGGAGGCACAGGTAGGAAGATCATTCCAGCTCGGGCAAAAGTGTGACCCTTGCTTAAAAAGTAACATTTTTTTTTTTTTGGAAAGGCTCAGGGCTTGCCTACCAAGCACAAGGTTTAAAAAAAAAAAGCACAAGGTTTTGAATTCAAACTCCAGTATAGCTCAAGGAAACAAAGAAAAAGGTTGACAGACCCTGATTAAGACCAAGCAGGTGCTGTGGTGTATGGGACATTATTGATGTTAGGGAACACCTCCTGGGTGCCCTGCACTTTTCTGGCCACTGCTATGGCACGTTCTCACAGGAACTTCCCAGTGACCATCACATAATGCAGATCGAATTATCCAGATAACAAGGGTCTGCTGGCCTTGATAAAACACTTCTCAGTTCACTTCCTGTGGTCCTGAAGCATCATCATTTAAAGAGCTGGTCTCTTTCTACCAGTGTTTTTATTCATTTGAGGGACTTAATCTGATTTTAATATATGTTTGTGTCTTCTCTCCCTGGATTAAATTATTTTTGCATGAAAATAAAGACCAGGAGCAGAATGTAAACAACCCTACTTTATCATAAACTGATAAGAGGACCTTCAAATTGTGCCACAGGATTTTTCCCTGGGGTCCCACTGTTCCAATTCCCCAGTGCACAGCTATGGTAAATAGCATTTTACTTGAATAATACTTTGACTGTGATTGTTTCGTGCTCTACCTTATGGGATAAAACTTGAAAATTAGTGAGAAATGTGAACACAGTTTGCTTTTTAAACATGTGCACAGAACTCGTTTTCTAGTTTTTAACACGGTGTGTCTAGTCGGAGTTATGTATGGTATTAATAAATGGCAAATTAACAGAACTCCCTATTTCTGTGTTAAGATGTTGCTTTTCCTACCAGGTGGCCATCTGGGATTTTACTAGACAGCATTCAACCAGTAAGGATGGGAGTAAAATAAAGTTCCTGCCAGGTGCTGGTGTCTCACGCCTGTAATCCTAGCTACTCAGGAGGGTAAGATCTGAGGATCATGGTTCAAAGCCAGCCTGGGCAGGAAAATCTGTGGACTCTTATCTTCAGTTAACCACCAGAGAATCAGAAGTGGAGTTGTGGAGCTGAAAGTGGTTAGAGCAGTAGCCTTGAATAAAAGAGCTCAGGGATAGGTCAGCTCCAGGTGAGTTCAAGCTCCATGACTGACAAAATAAAGCTGCCTGAGCAGGGATCTGCTCAGCTGGCTGAGAGCACCAACAGGCTGAGAGCTAGAATGAGAAATTCTTCACACCAGCTCCATCCCATGCTTGATACTCATGTTTGCTGAACTGGCCTGGTGCAGATGGCTTATACCTGTAATCCCAACTATTCAAGATCACAAAAATCCAAGGGTTGAGGTTCCCATCCAGCCCCAGGCAGACAAATCTGAGAGACTTATCTCCAGTTAATCAGCAAAAATCCAGAAGTGGAGGTGTGGCTCAAATGGAAGAGTGCCAGAAGTAAGCAAAAAAGTGAGGCCCTGAGTTTAAGCTCCAGCACTCAAAAGAATCAATTTGTAGTTTGTTGAACTCAACTGAGAATTTCCCTGCATACTAGGCTGCCCAAGAAAGGGATATTGTCCAGCTATCTCAAATTCCCCCATTTGTCTTCCATACACTCTTTTGAAGGTTTCTTTGGGGCTTGTTTTTACAGAAAAGCCTGAGAAAAAAAAATTCTGCATCATCGATACATAGAGAAAAATCACTATATCATTTTAACCCACATCGTTGTTCAATTTTTGTTGCTAATAATACTGCCATTTTACTAAGCTATACAAATGAAGTTATATGGTTCACATTTCTGGTCCAAGGTAAAGGGGCTGCATTTGGTGAGGGCCTCTTGGCTGGCAGAGGTTCTAGTTAGCATAAAGTATCACATGGCAAGATATAGCCAAACTGACTTATATAGCAAACACACTGCTACCTTAACTCATCTATCACTGAAGGCCCACGTGGACAAGGCTGCCCTTGAAGACAAAGGGCAAATCACCTCAAAGTTTCCACCTTGGCCTCACTCACAGCCTTCCAGGTGCCCCTTCCTCTCCTGTCCTCACGAGATCTTGCCTCTGAATGTATGCCCTTTGTGGGCCTCTTCTTATGATCAGTTAAGACTGGATTAGAGCCCACTGTGAGCACTTTGTTTGTAACTTGATTGCCGCCTTAAACACCTCATCTCCAAATGCAGTCACATTCTGGAATACTGAGGTTAGGAAGTTTGAAGAAACACAATTCCATTCATAAAACTGATCAAGTTTGTCCTTGATTCCTGTCGTTTTAGCCATGACAAGTGTGTTCATCAGCTTTTTGTTCTATGAAAAGACACCTGAAAGAATCCATTTCTAAGGAGAATGGTTGTATTTGACTCACATTTTTTGAGGTCTCAATCTTGCAGTTGGGTCTGAGTCTGGAGGCAGAGTATCACAGCTGAATCTTGTGGCAGATGAAAGTTCCTTTGCCTCCTAGTAGAGAGGCTGCAGGGAAGGGCTAGGGTCAGGATAGCCACTGGAAGCTACTCCCTGAAGGAAGAAAATTCCTCAAACCAGGCACCACTCCTACTAGTACACAGCCAACGGTCAAGCCTCACTACAAAGGCCTTTGGGGAATATTTTAGAGCTGAATAATGACAAAGTCGTTGCTATTAAGATTATACATATTTGGTTCACTTGCTTTTTATAAAGTTTTGGGCAGGGCACTGGTACCTTTTAATCCCTCTCAGGTGCCTGAAATTTGGAGGATCAAAGCCAATCCAAACAGAAAAGTCCACAAGACTTTTATCTCCAAATAGCAGCAAAAAGCCAGGCTAGAAATGTGGCTCTAGTGGTAAAGTGCCACTCACAAGTAAGCACGTGAGATACTGGGTTCAAGTCCCAGTACTGCCAAAAAGAAAATACAGTTTGGGACTCTCAGTAAACTAATTCTCCAGAGTTGTTACAGGATAGTGAACAAAGGAGGCCTTTAATTCATTTACCTAATTTCGGTAGCCCTGCTCTCATTTCCAGTGACTTCCTTTCCCATGCACTCTCCTCATTAAAATTGTTAAAAGAACTACTTGAAGATCTAATACTCCCAAAATGGAGACATAGAGCACGATTCTAGTTTTATAAAACCCTAAAAAAATTCAAGTTCATCTACAGTAGTGCAAGAGGAAGGATGGATCACAATACACGAGGAAACCTTTGGGGGGGTGACAAATGTGTTCATTAGCTTGAGTATGGCAATGGTTTTGCAGGTGAGAAATACATGACACCTTACCTAATTATACTCTACGTATGTCCTGCTTGAATGAATTGTGCCTCAATAACCTTTTTCTTCTTTTTTGCCAGTCCTGGGGCTTGAACTCTGGGCCTGGATCCCTGGACTCCTTTGCTCAAAGCTAGCACTCTACCACTTGAGCCAGAGTGCCATTTCCGGCTTTTTCTGTGATTAATTGGAAATAAGAGTCTCACAGACTTTCCTGCCCAGGCTTGTTTAAACTGTGATCCTCGAATCTCAGCCTCAGTAGTTAGGACTTCCAGTGTGAACCAACAGCACCCATTAACAAATGTTTTTTAAGCTAGTTTTATTATTGATAAGATCTAAATTAGAGGATACACAGCCTGATCCCTGTACTGATCATCATGGCTGCACTGCATGTCTTCTCCAGCAGGGGGCAGACTGCTAATGCAAGAAGACCTAGGTAGAGGAGAGGACACAGCTAAACTGTGAACTTGTCTCCCATAGGGCAGACAGAATAGGGATATTACTCTAGATTTGGAGTAGAAAAAGAAAATCAATTTGGCAGAGGGTCAGATAGGTTTTGCAGACAGTTATTGTCAAAGTTTTCTAGTACCTGAGTTTGAATTCAGGAAGCCTCACATCAATCCAGCATTGTGATAGTTAGATGAAGTTTGAGTCCCCTCAGACTTCTCTGTCTGGACTGGCCTCAAACATCTATCTCTAGGTCTCAGCCTTCTGAGTACCTACAATTACAGGTATGTATCACCGCATCCAGCCAAGTTTCTTACCTTTGTTGTAACATGCCAGCAGGTAACATACAAATGAATGAATGCTGACTGTCCAATAAAATTTTATTAATGGACACAAATATGAATTTCACACAATCCATGTGACATGAAATACTTTAATTTTTTTTCAACCATTTGAAAACATAAAACTCATCTTCTGGATAGGGGGCATCTGAAAACATTGCAGGTGACAGCTTACTGGCTATACTTAAGGGATATCCCTCTGAATGAGAACCTAAAGAAAACAGAGGCTGGGTCATAGATCAGTGAACTTTTCTAGCATTTGGAAGGCCCTGGCTTCTATTCTGAGATATAGATAGATAGATAGACAGACAGACAGACAGATAGATAGATATTCTGCTATATATATACTGCTATATATACATACACAACACACACATAATGTATTACGGGAAATACAGAAGCCTTTATTTAGGTTAGTATATATATACATATATATATATATTTAATAGTTTTACATTGGAAGAGGCACCTGGTAAACACATGGGAAAATAATATATTTAAAAACTAAAACCAGGATTTTGTAGTCCATGGCAGCTTGATCACAGTGTCCTTCCTCCTCCCAGCACTCCGTGACAGCATCATTGGCTTGTTGAGTGATACATCCGCTTACACCTGACTGCCATTTTAAAGGGGGTTCCTAAGTTATGAACACGCTTAGCCTGTTAATGCTGTGGCTTGTATTCTCTTTCATGGAATCAAAACCAGCAAACAGTGTTTGTTAGCCCTCAAGCCGTCTAAGGGTTCTCTTGCATTCTCACCACATTTTCTTCCATTTATCCAAGGCTCTTAAGAGTGCTTTACCTCCCAAAACCCCTGAAAGGTAAGCAGTACATAAGGGAGAATGCTCCTCTGATGAGAAACGGGATAACAAGGAGACCCATGTTCTGACTACTACTATAATGTTTATTTCTGATTCACCAGATTGAAATTTCTTCTGGGGTGGCAGGATCATAGGGAACAGTTGAAATGGCTAGGGACAGAAGAAGGGGGGCAGAAGTAGCACATTGCAAACTTAAGAGTGGAAATGGCCCACATGTGAAACAAGAAGAGATATGAAGCAGGTGATGTCTCCCATCTTCCTTTACTCTTAGATAGATTAGAAGGGCTTTTACTTAGTCTTAGGGCAGAACTTGGCTGGTGCCTGAAATCCTAGCTACTCAGGAGGCTAAGATAGAAGGATCAAGGTTCAGAATCTGTGAGATTCTTATGTCTAATCAACAGGCTAAACATCAGAAACGGAGCTGTGGCTCAAGGGGTGGAGCACCAGCCTTGAGGGGAAAAACTAAGACACAGTGCCCAGACTCTGAGTTCAAGTATTAACACACACACACACACACACACACACACAAACACACAGTCTACCATAATTTTCCCTTTAAGGGGCAGTTTCTTTTTATTGTGAAAATACCATACAGAGGGGTTACAATTACATGGGCAAGATAATGAGTACATTTTTTATCAAGCATTGTAGTCTCCCTTTGTAAGGGGCAGTTCTCAGTGCAGTTGAAGTAAGACTTTACATTTAATTCCCTGACACACTACTTATTGACTATGGGCTTGGGCAAGATACTTATACCCTCTAGACCTTCTAAGGGTATCATCAACATGAGAATAATATCTCCTTTTTCCAGGTTGATTGTAAATTCACAGAGTATGTATGTGAAAAGTATATATTCTGCACATAAAGTGATGAATGTTCACTCTCTTCTTTACCACCTTGCTCTAACTTTACATTTGGCATTCTATTCTCTATGCCAAAAAATTCCACTTACGCATAAAAATACAATAACCTTGATCACCATGTAGGGCATACTCTAAACTTATAGAGTGAGATACGAATATTCAAAATATCAAAAATACACAGCAGTTGATTATAATGTTAATTACATTAACATTTGAGATAGGATTAAGTTTGTCAGTGACACAGCAAGTCCAGGCATACGCAGAATGCATTTTATTCTACCATTCTCCAGTGAAGTATAATATAGTGGTCCATTCATACTCTGGTTTCACTTTCTGAGTTTTTTCTTTTAAATCTGTCATCAATTGCAGGCCAGAAACATTGAGTGGAAAATTATAGAACTACATAATTGGTAAGTTTTCAGTCATGCTGTCCTCCTCCATCCACCTAAGGAGTGAATTATCCCTTTGTCCACTATATCCACACTGTATATGCTATCGGCCACCAGTCACTTACTCAAGGCCAACTCAGTTAGCAGCAGTGCAGTGCTGAATTCAAGAATCCTTTATTTTATTTACCCATGGTCCCAAAGTACAAGGTAGTGATACTGGCAACTTGGACATGCCATACCCAAGCCATAAAATACTTCTTTTAAGTGAAAGGGTAAAAAGTTCTTGACTTGATATGGGAAGAAAAAAAAAAATCACACGCTGAGTTTGCTGAAAGCTCTAATATAAACAAAACCCACAGAAATTGTAAAGGGAAGGGAAATATGTGCTAGTTTTCAGTCACACTTCAAACTACAAAAGTGGCAAGCAAAGTCTGTAGTAAGTGCTTAATTCAGATAGAAAAATGTATAATTACACTTGTTATGTAATATAGAGGAGAAAAATATAGCATCTGTGGTGCTAGGTACTATCCAGGAAAGGGTTGATGATAATGAAGAACAAGATGGCCCCATGAGGATGAACATTTGAAGAGATGACAAACATGCTTGAAAGTTGAGTTTTGCTAAGGGCCTAAAGGAAATGTTTGCTCTGGAACCTCCTATCCCAATGGTTAAATTGCTTTGCTCTCAGCTCCACCAACAGAGAACCCCTAGCTTGTGCCACAAGCTACAAGAGCACTGAGCAATAGCCTGCTGCTTAGGTGTGGCCACATTGATATAACACTAATTGTCTCTCTCCTGCTTCAGCCGGACTGTGGGTAGAACTCCCAGAACCCAATCCTGTCAGGTTAGGAAGAACTCCAGTTAATTGCTCTAGGGTGTTTCTTTGTGGGAGGAAATGGTTTAATTTTTTTATATGAGTAAAGTGAGATATGGTAGACAAATCATTCAATAAACATCTTCTTTTTAAATGTATGAACTGAATACGTTATGTCTGCAAATTGTGGAAGTACTTGTAGAAGGTCAGAGCATCAGGGCCATTCCATCTTCTTTTAGACTGTATTTCTGAAGTTGGGATATATACAGAGTTGCTCAGTCACTTTTTACTGTGGTTAATGTAAAATGGGGCTGAGAGAGGCCTCCATGAGGTTTTTTGTGTTTTTTTTTTCTTGAGATGTTGGTTTTTTCTTAGAAAAACAATGCTTAAAGAATGTTCAATGCTGTCTGCAACTTTCAACCTTACACATCATTTCTGTTGCCTCCTGGCCTTGGAACACATCTCTAGTAGCTCATGAACTTCCACCAGCTGCTTTTCAGAAAGCATGGGTGGCACTGATCATAGCAAAGTAGTGAAACTCAGGGGGTGGGGGGAATGCCCTGTGGGGGTGTCACGCACAGCCCACAGAGCTCCCTGCCCAGAGAGAGCTCATGCCTCATTCTGACTTGGCAGATCTTACCAGAGAAACCACATTTGACGGTTGTACTCAAAAACAATCACAGGAGAGAGACATCAGCCCTCTTGAAAGCCTTCAACTTTCCCTAAGTGTCTGGGGATAGTTTGGTCATTATAATATAGCGCCCCCTACAGACACACTATGCAGCTGTTATTCCTATCCAGAAGCCTCCCAGCTATAAGCGTTGTGTTTTGGTTTGGTTTTGTGTCTCCAAGAAGTCACGTCTTTATGTGGAGACGCATCCAGCCCACTGTGGAAGGTAGCTGGAACATATGCTAACGAGAGTGGCTTTTGTAGTTAAACTCCCCGGGACTCGTCCTGGAGTTGTGGATTCCAGTGGGTCCTTCCACTCCCCAGCTGCTCCCTTATCTGTCCTTGGAGCAATAACTGAAGGAAGCTCCATTCCTGATGGAGCCATTCATGGAAACATTCGGGTTCCCTCTGTCCATCCTATCTCGGCTAAAGATTGTGTCCTGGTCACTGTCAAGCTCAGACTCAGACACCATCAAGCTGGAGTTGTGCTCTGTGCTTCGGCGCTTAATACCTAGAGAGAGAGGCAGGTGGGGCATCTTAGGAGAAAGTCCATCTTCCATTTCAGCTCTGGCAGTCCAGTCACAGGTCACGTGGGGACCTGCAGGCATTGCAGAGTTGAGCTCTCCACACTGTCAGAGCAGCTGCCCACAGCACAGCAGGTGCATGGGGTTCCCTGTAAGCAATCTCAAGGGCTTTGCTGCTACACCTGAGCTTGAGCTCTACCTTTAGCCACAGAGAGGGCAGAGGGCCTGGCACTGAGGACCATTAATGGAAAAGTGGTCCCTGTCCCCCAAGTCATAGGGCAGGGGCTCAACTGACAATAGACTTTCCATCCCTCATCTATTAGTCCATCTATTGACCAAAATTTCATTAAACCAATCATCTTTAGCTGCTAATGCAATCACACACACACACACACACACACACACACACACACACAGAGCCAGCCTGTCCTCAGGAGTGACATCACAGATTCCCAGTCTCACACTCACAGCGGGAGAGGGAAAGAGGAGGATGCAGAATAATATTGAAACGTATGGCTCGAAGCATGAAGACGCAGATAAAAACTGTGGAGCAATGGGATGAAAAGCAAGACTGAGGGAAGGCAGCAGATGAGGTTAATCTGACTAAATTATAATAGATGCACATGAAAAGTACCTTAGTGAGTCTCCTTTGTATAATTAATACACACTAAAAAATGAAAATAAAGAAATCACAGATTGGCAGCCTCACTCTTCCTTCAAGCACTAATTCAAGCACTGACTTCAGCTTATTCTTCCTTTTGCCCGACTTAACTCTCAGACCAATACCTGGGTTAAAGGATTTTGAAGCAGCAGGAAATTGTCTTGGAGACCATCCTACCGTATTTGGGCCTCAGTTCCATTCTTTCCTGTTCATCCATGTTGTCTAGGATGGTGTACTTTGTTTTCTTCCTTATTTTAGTCCTTTTCCGTCTGAAAGAAACAACAAATTACTCAACTCGGATTCAAAGAGTGGCAATTGGTATCCAGGATTTAAAAATATATGGAAAGCCCAGTACCAGAGGCTCATGCCTGTAACCTAGCTACTTAGGAGGCTGAGACATGAGAATTGCAGTTTGTAGGCAGCTCAGGCAACGAAGTATGTGAGACTCTTCTCTCTAACCACCAAAAAAACCAAAGTAGAGCTATGGCTCAAGTGGTAGAATGCCAGCTTTAAATAAAAAAGTTCAGGGACAGGGCTGAGAAGGTGGCTCAGTGGTAGAGTGCTTGGCTTGCATGCATGAGGCCCTGGGTTTGATTTCTCAGCACCACATAAGCAGAAAAACCTGGAAGTGGCGCTGTGGCTCAAGTGGTAGGATGCTAGCCTTAAACTGAAGAGCTGAGGGAAAGTGCCCAGGCCCAGAGTTCAGGCCCTACAATGGACAAAAAAAAAAAAAGTTCAGGGACAGCCCCTAGGATGCACACACACACACACACACACACACACACACACACACACACACACACACACACACACACACACACACACACACACAGAGTCAATTGAACCATTCAGCACTTTAACAAACCCACACAACCAGCACTTGAGCTTCCTCCACACAGATAAATAAGCCCGCAGGTACCTTTTACAGCAACAGATGCAAAGCCACATCAGCCCCCCAGTGCCCGCTATCACAGTGAGCGCCAGCGCTGACACGTAGAATACGCTCCACTCTAAATAGTAAATAAATGAAAAGAATGAGAGAGGCAGAGATAATTCAATTATTATAGCATTTCCAAAACGACTTTGCAAACAAGTTACAGTGAATATTACTGTGTCCATCCAAGCAAAGACCACGTGTGGCATTGAAGCTACCATACCCGGCTGCAATAGAGCACAGCCAAACAATAACAGAGCAACTAGAACAAGCCTAGGCAGTTTTCATGTAACCCATTTGGTCCAGGGAGCTCATGGAGCACAGAGCTCACACTTGACTCGGGACAAAAGGCTGAGAAGTGATGAGAGCACAGGTTTCATGCTAACTAGACACTACTCTAAAATTAGTGAAGTGGATCCCTTAAGGAGTTACTGTCTCCCACATCTGCCTATAGGGAACATCAAATATTCATCCCAGATCCTGTGAATCACATACACTTGCCAGTTCTTATGTGGTCGTGATAAAACAAATCAAGTGTCTGTGTGGCTCCCTGTGGCATACAGACTCTTTTCAGAGCCAGAGAGCAACTGGGAAACCGCTTTGCCCTTCATTCCTTCCTTCCACATCCTTGCAAAAAGTGAAAATAACTTGGCCACAGCAACTTGGGAACATAGAGGCCAATGGAGCAGACACAATGTTCAATACTATTAGACATTCCTGCAATGCTAACCCAAAGACTGGCTGTTTGCAAACCTGTATGTACTATTTTTTTTGGTTGCTTGTGGGGCTTGAACTCAGGATCTGAGTGCTGTTGCTGAGCTTTTTGCTCAAGGCTAGTGCCCTACTACTTGAGCCACAGCTCCATTTCTGCCTATTGTTTTAGTGTTTAATTGGAAATAAGAGTCTCATGGACTTTCCTGGTGGGGCTGGCTTCAAACTGTGATCCTCAAATCTCAACCTTCTGAGTAGCTAGGATTATAGGCATGAGGCACCAGCACCAACCATCTATTATGCAGGGACAGTGGACTCTTAGCATTTTTTCTAATTATGCCCATTTGGATCCCGTGATGATAAGTTTACCCCTGGATGTTTACCTCTGACATTAAGGTACAGGTTTGGTGGTGGTGGTGGTGGAGACGGTTTTCCCTAAAAGAGACTTAAGGGCAGCAATGTGGCCTGCCAAGACCATGGCTGCAGTGGTTGGCACCTGCCTGGGGAGACAGCCTGGAAGGTGGGATGAGGTTTCTTCTTTGTCAGATTCTTGCAGGTGCACAGCAGGGACACACCACCATGAGATAAAGCAAGGAGGGGCAATCTGCAAATGTGCCTTGCAGCCCAATCAGTTCTTCTTGTGAAACAGCAAAAATAGTAAGCACAGTCACTCTGCACAAGGATTTTCCTCGCTGGCAAGTTTGACTTACCACACTCCCGAAGGTTGATTGGAGAGGATCTGAACCCACCACACCACACGATTGGACTTGTGGTGAGAGAGGGCTTCAGTGTTCACAGACAGGCATTGTCGGATATGCAAGCGCCTGCTGCCTGGAAACTCCTTGCCCAAAACCGCCACCCAAACTCACCACAGTTACTCTCCCCATCCCAGATGTAGCGTTGAATAAGATTCTCCATCCACAGCTGAGAGCAAATGCAGCGCTTTGTGATGGGGTCACAGTGACCATGGCCAGAACATTCAAGAAGGCAACCTGTGAAAAGATGTGTGAGACTGAGGTTACCACAAAGAAAACGCTCTGGTTCCCACTTCCAAATCCTCCCTAAAGAAGGTCCTGACTAGATGCATGATGTACAATTAATAATTTTTTCATGGTGTTGGGATCTGGTGGGTCACACCTGTTATCCAAGCATCTCAGGAGGCTGAGATCTAAGGACTGAGGTCTGAAGCCAGCCTGGTTAGAAAAGTCCGTAAGACTTGTATCTCCACTTAACCAGAAGAAAGCTAGAAGTAGAGCTGTGGATCAAGTGGTATACTTCCTAGCCTTGAGGGGAAAAAGTCAAGCAAGTGCATGAGGTCTTGAGTTCAAGTCCCAGTACCGGGGGGGGGGGGGGGGGGGGCGGGAACCTCAAATTTATAGAACCATCTGGCTTCAGAAAATAAATTCCAAGCTGGGCGCTGGTGGCTCACGCCTGTAATCCTAGCTACTCAGGAGGCTGAGATCTGAGGATCGCGGTTCAAAGCCAGCCCGGGCAGGAGAGACCGTGAGACTCCTATCTCCAATAAGCCACCAGAAAACCAGAAGTGGCGCTGTAGCTCAAGTGGTAGAGCACTTGCCTTGAGCTGAAGAGCTGAGGGACAGCGCCCAGGCCCAGAGTTCAAGCCCCACGGCCGACCAAAAAAAAAAATTCCAAGGGTGTGTCCAGTGAAAATAATTGGAAAAGGTGAGCAAAGATTTATTTACATTTGTAGCATCATTTAAAATCAGTCTTAAAGCACAAGTAGAGGAGTGATCGTATAATTACAGAACATATCCTGGGAGGAATACAATGCAGCCATTAAGTCACTGAAAAGAAACTTCAAAAGGGTAGTGGGGGGAGGGGGGTTGGTGGGGGGAGAGGATGGGAAGGGATGGGAAGGGGAAACAAAGGAGGAGGCTACAATGCTTGATAAGAAATGTACTCATTATCTTGCCCATGTAATTGTAACCCCTCTGTACAATATTTTCACAATAAAAAAAAGAAACTTCAAAAGCTTTGAGAAAAATAATCATAATATGATTTGAAGTTAAAAAGCACATTAACAATATATCAAATCATCTTGATTGTTTTATATTTCCTACAGATGAGATAACTGGAAAGAAATGAATCAGAATATTAACCAGAGTTATCTTTGGATGATTCTACAATCTACAGGATTATTTTCCTCTTGTGCCTTTCTAGATAGTCCAAATTTCCTACAGAAAGTAAAGTATTATTATTATTATTATTATTTTAGTCTTGGGGCTTGAACTCAGGGCCTGGGCACTGTCCCGGAGCTTCTTTTGCTCAAGGCTAGCACTCTACCACTTGAGCCACAGTGCCACTTTTAGCTTTTTCAGTTTATGTGATACTGAAGAATCGAACCCAGGGCTTCAGGCATGCTAGGCAAGCACTCTACCACTAGGCCACATTCCCAGCAGTATTACCTTTATAGCTAGAAGTGACCTAAAAATTCAATTTGCTCCATTAAAACTGAGAAAGTCAATTGCAAGTGAACATATATCTGAAACAAATGAAATTTCATTGCCCAGCTTACTATCTTTTCCCTTATAGTGACTTGTGAGAGTGCACATGACCATGGAACTCTGGGCCAGTTAAGGTGCAGCTAGCCAGGAGCTGAGAAAACTGGAAGGATGTAACCTACCTTAAAATTTTAAACTTTTATTTTCAAATCTCAGAAAAAAAATTGACCATGACCAGTTACTGTTTCCTGCCAAGACCAAGTAGGTGGTACATGTATGTGGCAGCAAACTTATGGAGACATCAAAGCTCAACAAGATCCCAGATGGTAAAGTTTAAAAATGCTCCCCTGTCACTCTTCTTTTTTTTTTTTTTTTATTTGGTCGGCCGTGGGGCTTGAACTCTGGGCCTGGGCGCTGTCCCTCAGCTCTTCAGCTCAAGGCGAGCACTCTGCCATTTGAGCTACAGCGCCACTTCTGGTTTTCTGGTGGTTTATTGGAGATAGGAGTCTCACGGTCTCTTGTGCCCGGGCTGGCTTTGAACCGCGATCCTCAGATCTCAGCCTCCTGAGTAGCTAGGATTACAGGCGTGAGCCACCAGCGCCGGCCCTGTCACTCTTCTTTCTGAGCCTATAAAATGTACCCACGATGGGCAAGTCTCTGCTTCTTTGAGAAGATTCCTTAGAAGACAGACCTGCTGTGTCGATCCTCAAGACCTTGAAAAGCAAGAAATCTGCCTTCTCCTTGGAAAGACGCCTGTGCAGATTTCGAGCCACATCTGCGGCTGGGAGAACTTTAAAAGGTGGCCCACTCTGTACGTAAAACACAATGGCGGTGCTGCAGAGGAAACCAGAGAGGACAAGGCGTGGTCAGGCAGTGACAATGTGACAGGCTCCCTAGCCACCAGACCCCCGACCCCTGAAGTTGCCAGGTAGACTCCTACCACTCCGTGACTGAGCAAGGCCCCAGGGGCCATGTCTGTGGGTCATTTATGAATGTGTTTCTAGTCTTAAATGAAGACCCCAACGACAGCTGATAATAGAGCTTTGGGAAAAGATGCAGAAGGTCTGCAGGTGAAGATATACTATGCACAACAATGGTGACGTGCAGCTGTTCTTTTTCTCACTTCCTTTCTTTTTTTCTTTTCTTCCATTCTTTCTACTGTTAAGCTATACCCTAAGCCCTCTTTTTTTTAAATTATATTAGGGATTGTAACTAGAGATTTGTGCATGTTGGGCAAGCACTCTACCATTGAGCGATATCCTCAGCCCTACATCCTTTTTTTAATTTGAGGCTTCAACACAGAGCCGGGGCACTGTTCCTGAGCTTTTGTGCTCAAGGTTAGTGCTCCTACTTTAAGCCACAGCTCCACTTCTGGTTTTTCAGTGGTTAATTGGAAATAAAAGTCTCATAGGCTTTCCTGCCAGGGCTGGCTTGAACTGTAATCCTCAGATCTCAGTCTCCTCAGTAGATAGGATTACAAGTATGAGCCATCAGCATCTTTATTACTAACATGCATTTTGTCCATTTAAATTTGACTAATCTGGAATATGTGCTTGTCTGTGGCTAGTTTCTTGAAGGCATGTTTTTAAATTTCATCTGTGTATAGCATGAATTGTATGTAATTTCTTTTTATTGATAATAATCTATTATATGAATACATCACATGTTTAACCCACTCATCAACTGACAGTCATTTAAAAGGTCTCTATTTCAGGTCTATTATGAATATGTACTATGAATATCCATATTCATGGTTTTGTGCAGACAGAAGTTTTTGGTTTCTCTTGGGTAATTTCCCAGAAGTGGAATTAGTGCATCATATGGTAACTCTGTGTTTAGCATTTTGAGGAGCTGCCAAATTTTTCCACAGTGCTACAGTATTTTACATTCCTTTTCTTTCTTTTTTTATTTTTAGGTCCAAGACTAGGACTTGAACTGGATACCTGCCACTTTCACTCATTGGCTAATGCTCTACCAATTGAGCCATACTGCCACCCCAATATTATCCATTCCCACCAGAAACACACAGGTGTTCTGATGTGTCCACCAGCACCTGCTTTGCCCTGGCTGTGAATGACAGCCACTTGAGAGTGTGGGAATCAGGATCTCAATGTGTTTTTGTGTATGTGCTTGGACTCAGGGCCTGGGCACTGTCCTTTTCCTTTTTCACTCAAGGCTGGAGCTCTACCACTTGATCCATACCTCTACTTTGAGTTTTTGCTGGTTCTTTGGAGAGTCTCATGGACTCTTGTGCCTGGGCTGGCTTTGAACCATGAGCCTCTTGAGTAGCTTGGATTACAGGCATGAACTACCTGTTCTGCCTGGCTTCTCAGTGTGGTTCTGATTCACATTTCCCCAGTGGCTAATGATGAGGAGCCTCTTTTCAGGTGCTTCTTGATATTCATGTATCTCCTTTGCCAAAGTATCTATTCTAGTCTGCACTCCTTTCCTAGGGCTGCTATAAACAAGTACTACAAATTATGGCTTAAAACAATTGAAAGCTCTTCTCTCACAGTCTAGAAGTCTAAAACCAAAGGGTCAACAGGGCCATGAAGTATCTGCTGGTGCTGGCAAAGAGTCTCTAGGTCCTTCTCTTAACTTCTACTTGCTGGTGATCCTCAGGATTCCTGGGCTGAAATACAAATCCCTCTAGTCTTTGTCCTGTCCCTGTGTGTCACTCTGTCTCTCTCCTGTCCTCTTCTTCTAAGGATGCCAAGTAGATCAAGGGCCCACTCCCCCAGTATGACTTTATCTAAACCAGCAGCATTCACAAGGATTCTATTTCTAAATAAAGTCACATACACATGCATTTAAATTTGAATATATCATTTTAGAAATGAATTTAACCTACAAGTGTTTTTTTTTTTTAAGTGAAAGAGAGCTGGATTTTGTCAAATGCTTCCAGGCCCACATTCTGGATTTGTAGTTTATTATACTTATTCCTGATAATCTGTGGAAACATTCACACTCATAGATTAAGTCCCACATGGTCATAGTGTGTAATACAACATGTGCTAGCCTCAGATGGCAAGTACCTGTAATGGGATTTGCATCCATAGTAGTAATGGATGTTACTCTACAGTTCTCTGGTTCAACATCAGGATAAAAGGGGCCTCCCAGGATGGGAAATATTTAAGAAAAGTTCATGAAGCACTGTGTTAATTCTTTAAACATTTTATAGAACTTATCAGTGAAAGTATCTGGCTTTGGGCTTTAGAGAAAAAAAATAATCCTAATACAATCTCTTTACTTTTACAGATCTACTCATATATTTTTTTATTTCTTCTTGATGAGTTTTCAATTTCTTCTTGATGAGTTTTCATCATTCATGTCTTTATTTTTTTTGGCGGGGGGGGGGGGGGGGGGGGGCCTGTCGTGGGGCCTGAACTCTGGGCCTGGGTGCTGTCCCTCAGCTCTTCAGCTCAAGGCTAGCACTCTACCACTTGAGCTACAGCGTCACTTCTGGCTTTTGTCTTTTTACTTATGTGGTGCTGAGGAATCGAACCCAGGGCCTCATGCATGCAAGGCAAGTGCTCTACCACTGAGCCACCTTCCCAGCCCCATCATTCATGTCTTTTAAGGAATTCATAACTTTCATCTACTCCAAGGATGGAAAGTATCCTGTACCAAGGCCATAGAGGGCCCTTGAATCATTAGGTACATGAGGGGCCAGACAATGTAGAGAAAGGCTGATCCGTTTTGTGGATTTGTCAAAGAAACAACTTTTAGTTTTCTTGATTTTCAGGCATGTCTTTGATTAAGGCATGTCTTTTATATTTTGTAAATAAGAGCTAATTAAGGCATGTCTTTTATATTTTGTAAATAAAAGACATGTATAATCAATTTTAGAAAGATTTCCATAAAAATAGTTAGAGGGTTAGGAGTACAGCTCAACAGTAAAACACTTGTGTAGCATGCACAAGACCCTACGCTTGATCCTTTGATCCTCAGCCTTTGTAAATGAATAAGTCATATTAATTAGAAGGTGTTTTCATTGGGATTCTACCAAGTAAACATCAGTTCTCTGGAAGATTAACCTAAGTACAGGAACTGACAGCTGTTAGAAAATGGAGTTATTATGAATAGTAGGTTTTCTTTCCTATTTTTTTCCTCCTCCCATCCCACTCAGTTGGAAAAGAGTTTTAAAATAAACTCAGTTAAGTGTAAACATCTCATAAGAATTAAAGCGTGCCAGGCACTAGTGGCTTACACCTGTAATCCTAGCTACTCAGGAGGCTGAGATCTGAGGATCACGGTTCAAAGCCAAGCTAGGCAGGGAAGTCTGTGAGACTCTTATCTCCAATTAACCACTAGAAAACTGGAAGTAGCACTGTGGCTCAAGTGGTAGAGTGGTTGCCTTGAGCTGAAGAGTTCAGGGACAGTGCCCAGGCCCAGAGTTCAAGCCCCATGACCGACAAAAGGGGGAAAAAAAGAATTAAAGCATAAGGTTCAGTCTCACATTCTCTCATAAGTCAGTAAATAGGAATCAGTGATCATTTCACATTAAGAGAAGTCTCTAAGGGCCTCAACCCCAGTGATAAAGCCCAGCATGAGAAAAGCCCCATGTCATTTATATGCCCTCTGAAAATACCAGATCTAAAAATCGAAGCTCTCTCTGCTCTATTCTTTAACTCCATTAAACATTTACTGAGACCTGAGGAAAAGACTAGAAACATCTTACTCTGCCCTTTGAGAAGAAAAGAATATCTCGATAGAAAAAAGATGTGCACAAAGATACAGATGAGCAGAAGATGAGCCTCTTTCTATAGGGCTGAAAAGAGAGAAGAGCTGGGCATGTAGCTCATACCTGAGATCTGAGTAGGCCTGGATTTTCTGAACCTTAATGTCGGTGTCCAGCACATTCAGTAGCATTGCCAGCTGCCTCACCAGGGTGTCCTTCTGCTGCTCTGTCAGCTGCTCAGTGCTAACCTGAAGGATCAGTTCCACCTGTCCACCCTTTTTAGGGTCTGGGGGCAGAGAAGAGAGGAGATTTCCACATGGAGGTCACAGGCTTAACAGTATAAGAAGAAAGGCTGGAATCAGGGTTTTCAAAATCATTCTTGTAGCCAGACACTTGTGGCTCACACCTGTAATTCTAGCTACTCAATCTGAGGTTCAAAGTTGGAAGCCAGCCTGGGAAAGAAAAGTCCATGAGACTCTTACCTCCAACTAAACAGAAGTGGAGCTGTGGCTCAAGTAGTAGGGTACTAGCCTTGAGCAGGAAAAAAGGCTCTAAGAGACTATATATACCAAGGCCCTGAACTCAAAAACCAGTACTAGCACAGGAGCGCATGCACACACACACACACATACACACACACACACACACACACACACACACACACACACACACACACACAAATATACACACTCTCCACTCATGTAATTTATATATGTCTCTTAGGATTCAGATAAATTTTTCTAAACAGAAATTACCATCTACTTTTCCCTCTGTTTTATCCCAGATTGTCTAAACGTTTTTTTTCCAGAAGACAATCAAGTGAACCTACTTAGCCTATAGGCTAACTTGAAACTTCAAGGTGTCACTCTGGTCCTCACTGGAACTGTCTCCCTTACAGCAGTTCCTGTATCCAAGCCATCCAATCTACTTCTCCGAAGTCTTTCAGGACAATCACTATTCTCCTTAACCAGTTTTGAGGCAGAGGCAATATACCACGAAGTTCTAGAACATTCTTCAAAGTAGGCCCTGGTATGAACAGAAGGAAGCCAGCCATGATGGGCCTCTACACTGAGTTTCATCTGGCCAGAAGCCCTGGTCAACTTGGCAGGGAATGAACACACCTGGCCGCACTTCCACGGTGGCCTTGTCAGTGTCCGAGGCCCCCTGACTGTCGGTGACTCTCAAGTGGAAAGTGTAGATGCCCTCCACCAAATTTGTGAGCTGTAGCGCCACACTGTGGTCAGAGCCATCAATGACATCCTGTAAAATAATGTGATTTACAGGACAGCTGTCAATCTCAAGTCCCAAGTGTTGAGCTTCTGTTGATCCCAAACCAGTATCCTATCTTTTCCTATATAGATGACTTCATAAAAACAAAGAAGAAGGAAACTGGAAGGAGGGGCACTGATGTTCTGATTAACCCTTTGTATCTCTTCCCCATCAAGCACTGAGGACACAAAGTTCTCAGAGGGCACTGAGAACTGAGTTTCCCAAGCACTTGCTAGGAATTACCAAATGATTCGGTTCATCCAGCAGAAGGAAAGAAGATTGATTTTCCTCAGCTCAAAGCATGGGTCTCATGGCATGTGATGTTCACCTTGAAATGACCTCAGAGCCTGGGGACATCACTGTTCCCTGGTCTGAACATAGACCCCTTGCAATTATGCGAAGAAGCTAACCTACCATTGAGAGGAACTGAGCTAATTTTAAAATTGCCTTGAAAAGTATGGAACGTTCTTAGTTCCTTCCCTGTAATCACTCCTTTGGTACATCTCCAAGAGTATATTTGCAGAACTTAGCAACAGCAGAAAATGTACCTAAATTTGTATCTTAAGAGATAGAGTGATCTACTAGGGTAAATGTACCTTCCAGAAGCTAAAACCCTACATTTGTTTGATTTGATTAAAGTTGAGTTAGGGGGCTGAGAAGGTGGCTCAGTGGTAGAGTGCTTGCCTTGCATGCATGAGGCCCTGGATTCGATTCCTCAGCGCCACATAAGCAGAAAAAGCTGGAAGTGGCACTGTGGCTCAAGTGGTAGAGCACTAGCCTTGAGCTGAAGAGCTGAGGGACAGCACCCAGGCCAAGTTCAGGCCCCACCAAAATAAAAGTTGAGTTAGAGCTGGGCCCCCAGTGGCTAATGCCTGTAATCTTAGCTACTCAGGAGGCTGAGCTCTGAGAATCATGGTTCAAAGCCAGCCTTGGCCAAAAGAAGGAGGAGGAGGAGGAGGAGGAAGAGGAGGAGGAAGAGGAGGGAGAGGAGGAAGAGGAGGGGAGGAGGAGGAAAGGAATCTGTGAGACTCTTCTTTCTAAGTAACACACAAAAAGCCAGAGGTGGAGCTCTGGTTCAACTGGTAGAATGGAAGCCTTGAGCATTAAAAACTCAGGGAGACTATCCTTTCCCTGAGTTCAAACCCAGGACTGGGCACACAAATAATCAACTTAGACCAAAATAGGAATAACAGGGAAGCTGAAAGTAGAATGATTCCACTCAAGATTTGATTTCAAAGTCCCTATGGTTTGCTACCCCATCAGACATCAGATCAGGGAGAAGCCAGAAAGGACTTTGTTTAAATGTAACAACAGCCTACTGCCTCCAACCCTCAGAACATATGAATGAAGAAGCATGGCATCTTATTGGAGAAAATGAGAAAACAGAGCTTTGCTGTGTATCGAACTGTTTCCTAAGAGAATTCATACATTGGTACCCTAACCCTCAATGTGACTGGACTTAAAGATAGGAACTGTAAGGCTTTAACTAACGTTAAATGAGGTCATTAGGATAGGGGTCCCTATCTAACAAGATTAGTGTCCTTCTAAAGAGATAAAGAGCTAGTGCCCTACCCCTGCCACCTTGTCTCTCTCCCTTGCCATGTTAGAACACAGGGAGAAGGAGACATCTGCAAGCCAGGAAGAGAGACCTCATGAGAAACTAGGTTAGCCAGCACTTTGATCTTTTCTTCCCAGGCTCCAGAAATGTGAGAAAATAAAGACACCCAGTCTGTGGTACTTTTGTTTTTGCAGCCCATCCTGACTCATACAGATGCACTACAACTCTCCAACAGACAATTCCTTTAAGTACTTACTCCTGCTGCTGGACTCTGACCATCCCGGATCCACAGATAGGATACAATTCCTTTGTCATCAGTAGACCTTGAACCATCCAAAGTAATGGAATTATTGGGGAGCACAAGAACATGTCTGCCACCAGCCTGGGCTCGGGGAGGACTGTTATTTTCTAAGTCAAATACAGCAAAAATAAAAGCAAAGAAATGGATTTAAACCTCTGGTAATATAGAAAGTATATTATAAAATATATCCCATATCTTGCAGATTTATAGAATTTAAATATTCAAAAGGCATTATTTGATGCTCCACATACAAAATAGTATATAAACTTTCTTAGAGCTCTTTGCCTACCTGTTTATTATTTGAGAAGAAAAAATATAGAATAGATAGCAGGCTGGACATTGGAGACTTAATGTGATGGATTTTTTTTCTACTAAAAAAATGGAAATAATCATGTTCAGTGTTTAGAAAGTGAAGATATTTTGATTTAAAATCAAGTGGTAGAGCACTTGCCTAGTATGAACAAGGCTCTGAATGTAATTCCCAGCACTGCCCAAATAATAAGATAAAATAAATAAAATAAAATAAAATAAAAAATATACATTTTTCTTATGAGTCCATGCCATCTGGCTCAAGAAATATTTTTATTGCCAGGCGCCAGTGGCTCACCCCTATAATCCTAGCTACTCAGGAGGCTGAGATCTGAGGATTGCAGTTCAAAGCCAGCCTGGGCAAGAAAGTCCATGAGACTCTTTTTCTTTTCAGGTAAGGGGTAGGTTTATTCAGTAGACCTGCTGGGACCAGGCAAGGTTGGCACTCCACGTGGCTGGGAAAGGCCTGGGAATGAGAGAGAGCTAGGAAAGAGAGGAAAGAGCTGGAGCAGAGAGAGAGCAGAGAGAGAGAGAGGTAAGAACAGAGAGAGAGCTAGAATAGAACAGAGAGAGAGAGAGAGCTAGAAATGAACAGAGAGAGCAGAGAGCTAGAAACGAACAGAGAGAGAGCTAGAATAGAACAGAGTGAGCTAGAATAGAACAGAGAGAGGTCCATGAGACTCTTATCTCCAATAAACCACTAGAAAACTGGACGTGGTGCTGTGGCTCAAATGGTAGAGCACTAGCCTTGAGCTGAAGAGCTGAGGGACAGCAACTAGGCCCAGAGTTCAAGCCCCATAACTGACCAAATATACATATTTTTTATTTCTAATATTTTCAAATTGGTAAAGAAGAAGAAGAATAGACTCACTAACAATGACTAGGTATTGGTTATAAATGAGGCAATGTAAATGTTCTTCCTGACTTGAGGTCCTCAGGAAAGAAGGGCCATGGACATCCAGCAAAGCTGGGGTATGGGGGAGATCATAATAAAGCACAGTTCAAGTTTGGAGATGAGGTTACTCTGAAGAAGACTCTGCTTGTTCATGTGAGGCTCAGGATCCAATATGCCCTTTACAACAGAAAATGGGGGTAAGAACAGCCAAATCTGGATCTGTGGGAGTCACTTATAACCCACTGATCACCAGAAACTACTATCCTGAAAAAAGGCACCAGAGACAACAGATACTACACTTCCCCGTTTCACTGGGTTGATGTTTGCCTACCATGTAAAATGGCCTGGGTTCATTCCCCAGCACTGGGGAAACAAGTCATTTCAATACCACAATCTCTTTTGGAGGGCTTGGTTAGAGGAGGTCTGGTGTTAAAGAAGGTTAATTCTGCCTTGCATAAAGGTAAAGGCCAGAAAGAACAGAAATAAAACAGCCCTAAAATCTTTCTGTTTAAAATGATATCTAGATCCACATAGGCCCACAACTAGAAAACCACGTCCTTCTATGTTGCTTGCTGTTGTGCTCTTAAACTCCAGTCATGGGGCTCCCCTGGCACCTCACAAACTCTATTGCTACAGATGAAACATATCCAGTTCTGAATTTATTCCTCAAACTTACCATCTGGGATGAAATTTCAAACCATTGCTCCAGCACCCACCCATATGCTGGGATCAGACTTTCAATGTCATCTTAGAGGCCACTTTTCTTACCCTCCAGATCCATTAAGTTTCTAACTCCTAAGAACAGAGGCTCTCAGCTATCTTTCCCATCTAACCCTTTTCTCCTCAAATGGGGCTCCTTTCATCTCTCATCTAAACCATTACAAATACTTTGTATTCTCCCTGCTTTCAGACTCTCTTCTTATCAACTGACTCTTCTTTCTTTTTTCCCTTCCTTCCCTCCTTCTTCATTCTTTCCTTTTCCTTCCTTCCTTTCTCTTTCCCTTCTTTCTTTTTCCCTTCCTCCCTCCCTCACTCCTTCTCTCCCTCTCACCCTGCCTTTCTTTTTCTTTCAGTGCTAAGGATCAAATCCAGGGACTCATACATGCTAAGCACATGCTAACGTGCTAACTGCACCCAAACCCAACTATGCTATAATTTTGATTGGCTGATTAATATATGTGGATATATATGCAGATGTGTGTTCACAATCAAGTTGGAAAACTGATAAGTAGTCAAGAACTCAAAGGAATACTGCGTTAGTCTGCATTACAAATTTCACACAGAGAAAATATATAGAACATGAACACACTACTACTCTTGCGTTTCCGAGGAAGAGAGAAAGCAAAGGTGCCATTTAGACACAGGGCTTTAAGGCACTCACAGGACAATGAGTGCCTTAAAGGATGCACTTCACAAGCATGAAGAAATGCAATTTCCTTGCACAAGGAGACTGGGTAACTGCTAGTATGAGCAGAATGCTGGCTTCTCTGGACAAAGGCAGAGTTTTGCACCTGCTATGAACAAATACGCAAACACTAGCATCTCACAATACTCCTGGTCCAGCATGAGGGAATGGCAGGTCCAGTCTCTCCAGCACCATCTGTCCACTCACCCTTCTTCACTGCCACAGTCAGGGTGGACGTGCTGCTCAGGCCTTGCTGGTCTTTCACTGTTAAACGGAAGTGGTGCGTACCCACCTGAAGACCAGTTACAGTGGCTACAGCTCTGTCGGCATCTTCCATCTCCACTGCACTTGGGCCTCTGCAAAATGTGAAAGTGGTTGACGGAGAGTTATTCACATGTGTGGTGGAAGGGAGTGTGCTGGGCTTGAACTCAGGGCCTTGGGCTCTAGTTCAGCTTTTTCACTCAAGGCTGACACTCTACCACTTGAGCCATGCCTCCAGTTCCTGCACTGGTTATTTCTGAGATGAGATCTTACTTCCGACCCTAGCATATGCTCGGACTTCAATCCTCCCTCTTTTGCTTCCTGCCATAGCTGGGGTAACAAGCACATACCACCATACACAGCTTCTTCTGTCGAGATGGAGTCTTATGGACGTTTCTGATCAGGCTAGCCCTAGCCCTAGAACTATGAATCTCCTGATCTCAGCACCCCACAGAGTTAAGATGACAGGCATGGGCCACCATACCCAGGTATTGGTTAAGAAGGGGGTTTCTAATGGATGCCAATACTGGCCTGAAGCCGTGATCCTCATATTCTCCACCTCCCAAGTGCTCTGATCACGGAGTCAGCACACCCAACTCATGCTTACTATATTCTTCTATCAATAGTGCCCATTTGTTTTTTATTTTTCTATTTTATTTTTTATTTTTTGGGTCTGGTCATGGGGCCTGAACTCTGGGCCTGGGCGCTGTCCCTCAGCTCTTCAGCTCAAGGCTAGTGCTCTTCCACTTGAGCCACAACGCCACTTCCGGCTTTTTTCTTTTTGCTTATATGGTGCTGAGGAATCGAACCCAGGGCCTCAGGCATGCAAGGCTAGCACTCTACCACTGAGCCACCTTCCCAGCCCTGTTTTTTATTTTTTTATCCCAATTCCTCAACAAGCTCAAGCTAAACTGGTAATATAGATCTTCCAGAAAAGACATATCACTCAGGCATGGTCCATGGTGGTAAAGATAGAAGCTGGATATCCTACCTGACATGCTCCCAGCGGTAGAGGACAATGCCATGGTCATCCCTGCTCCTGCTACCATCCAGGGTGGCACTTTCCACGGGGAAGACCAGCTCCTTATCTGGGCCAGCCACAGCGATTGGAGGCTTGTTGTTTTCTAGAATTACAGAAACAATGTGAAAAAAGTATCTTTTTTTATTAAATATGCAACCACTTGATTTCTTGGCATATTCAAATTACTCATGCTCAAGGTCCTAGGGCATGCAGTGTCCTTTGGGTATCAGAAGTGTGTGGTAAGCTTTATGGTAGAAGAGGTGCAAGGAAATGCACACTGCAGACACCTAGCTGACCCAGGAACTGAACAATGCAGCTTTGAGAATGGGGATCGGGGCAGGAAAAACCATGGCTCAAAGATAGACACATCTTTGACTTCTTTAGAAGACTTTCAAAAGTCATAGATCAAGAGAGAAGGAAAAGGAAGGGAAGTGGAAGGTGAAAGGGAAGGAACAAGGAAAGGGAAATGGGGAAAGGAAAGCAAAGCAAGCTGGGCACTTTAGTTCATGCATATAATCCTAGCTACTCCAAAGGGTAAGATCTGAGGAGTGTGGTTGGAAGTGAACCTGGGCAGGAAGCGAAAGGTCCATGAAACTCTCTGATTAACCATCAAAAAGCTAGAAGTGGAAGTGTGGCTCAAGTGTTAGAGTGACAACCTTAAACAGAAAAGCTAAAGGACAGTCTCCTGGCACTGAGTTCAAGCCCCAGTTACCAGTAGGGGGAAAAAAATCAAGAAGGGAAGAAATGAGGGAGGGAGTGGGGAAGAGAGTTAAGAAGCCTCAGAGAGGGCTGGGAAAGTGGCTCAGTGGTAGAGTGCTTGCCTTGTATGCATGAGGCCTTGGGTTCGATTTCTCAGCACCACGTAAGCAGAAAAAGCCGAAGTGGCACTGTGGTTCAAGTGGTAGAGCACTAGCCTTGAGCTGAAGAGCTGAGGGACAGTGCAGGCCCAGGGTCCAAGCCCCATGACCAACAACAACAACACAACAACAAAGGCTCAGAGACCCAGCCCTCTGGCAGTCCTCTGGGGTTCTCTGCAACAGGGTCCAACCCAGGCGGGAGTGACCATGTAGCAAATCAGAGATTACTCATTTAGTCCTTCATAGCAAGGTTTAGAGACAGTCAAGACAAGATTCAGAATTTTTTTTAAAGGGGGGGGTGTATGTAGTGTCACCTCCCACAGCTCCAATTTCCTGACAGCTCAGAGATTCAGAGATATTGCCAACAAATTGGACATAGCCAAAGCTCAAAAGCACACTATCATTTCCGCTCTCTCATCTCCGGGGTCAAGTCTCATTTCCATCTCACCTACCAGGTTGGACAATCACAGTGACCAGAGCCACGGACTGCTGTCCTGAAGAGTCTGTCACCATCAGCTGAAATGTATATTCTCCTTCCTGCATTGCAGACAAGTGGAGGTAGGGAGTCTGTGCTCCCTAATAACAGGAAATATAAAAATGAAAATGGAAAGGCAATATTAAAGAAGCACGAGATAGTATGATACAATACAGAGATACATATTAACCCAGAGATCTCAGATATCCTGCTTAAAATGAAACATGGAAACCAAAAACAGAAAACTGAGTGACAGCAGAAGACCCTGAAGAAGAGTGCTCCCCAAGGGCTCATAGCCCTTCTAAAGTTCTATAAATGCAGTCTATGATTTTTAATTCACCATCATTGCAAACTACGTTGCAGAAATACTAGAACGTAAAGCAGGTAAGCTCTCATGGACACCTGCTTTCACCTTCCATGAACATTCATCTAGGACTGGTGAGACAGAGCTTGAAGGAGAAAAGGGGACTGGCAATAAAAGAACCCTTTAAAAAAATTAAACTTTCAAATAATAAAACAATTTCAAAATTTCCAAGCTCATTGGCAACAATGTCAAATACCAAAGAAGAATGTGATAGCTGGATTTGGAATGTTCCCCATGAAGGCCTAAGTGTTAAAGGCTTAGTTTCCAACCCATGTACTACTGGAAGGTAATGGAACCCCGAAGGCCTAGAGGGAGGTCTGCAGGCCATTGTGGGGGAGGTGTGTGTCCTCAAAGAGGATTGTGGGATCCTTGTCTCTTCCTCCTCTTTGCTTCCTGACTACCATGAGGTGAGTAGCTTTTTGTTCTGCTACAAACTTCCCACCATGCTGTGCTGCCTTGTTACAGGACTCCTCCTCCCCCCCCCCCAAAAAAAAAAACCAGGGCAACTGATCTTGGATTGAAATCTCTAAAACTGTGGGTCATATATACACACACACACACATATACACAAACATATATACTCATATACACACGCTTAAAGGTTTCAAACTTGTTATGTCTTTAGAAGAATAAATGAGTTGAATAAGTCAAAACACAGATACAAAGAAGCTCTTAAATGAAGAAACCAGTGGAGGGCTGGGAATGTGGCTTAGTGGTAAAGTGCTTGCCTACCATGCATGAAGCCCTGGGTTCGATTCCTCAGTACCACGTAAGCAGAAAAAGCCTAAAGTGGAGCTCTGGCTCAAATGGTAGAGTGCTAGTCTTGAGCCAAAGAAGCTCAAGGATGGTGCTTAGGCCCTGAGTTCAAGCCCCAAGACTGGCAAAAAACAAAAAGGAAGAAACCACTGGATATAAACAAAATAGTGAGATTTCTACCAATAGGAGAAACTGAATAAAAAATTATTTTCTGATAATGAGGTTTGGCTTAGATTATTTCTTACATTTCTTTTAACACTAAAATATCTTTTTTTCTGTGACAAATATTGAGCCAGGCTTTTCCAAATTGACTTCAAATCTAAGTCAACACAAGACCTCTTGGTAGCAGCTCTATGCTTCTCTGAGTGAGTGAGGGGAAGGGATATAAACTTGAAAGATTTGTAAATGTAGATCCTGTCTAATAGTTTAACAACTATCAGACAGTTTTATGAAACATATTCTGCCTCCTGAAAATAATACTTGTTTGAGAGAAAGATGGATGGAAATAGATAGATAGACAGATAGAGATAATGCAGACATAGTTAAACATTGATAAATAATAGGTGGACAGACGGATGGAGGAATGGAACAGACAAACAGTTAAACATCACAGATAATAGATCAGACATAGATAAATAAACATAATGGATAGATAGATCGACAGACAGATAAGACAGCTAAGATGTTTAAACATCTGAAGACAGCAAAAAGAACTTGCCTGCATGGTCACCTCTTTGCTCTCACTGCTGGAGCTCAGGGACCACTCATAGAGGACAATCCGGTGGTCATCACTGCTCTGGTTTCCATTCAAAGTGATGGAGTTTTGGGGCAAAGCTATGGTCTGATTTGGTCCTGCATTGGCAACAGGTGGGTAGTCCACAGCACTGTGAACAATCAGGACTGCAGTTGTAAAGTTAGTGGCTCCATCTGAGTCTGTAATAGTCAGCCTACAAAGAAGACAGGAAGCTATTACAAATCAAGTCTTAAGATGATGGTCTGAAGCTGTCTGTGGCTGGAACCTGTAATCCTAGCTACTCAGGAGGCTGAAATCTGAGGACTGTGGTTCAAAGCCAGCCTGGGTAGGAGCGGCAGTGAGACTCTTATCTCCAATTAACCACCAGAAAACCAGAAAGTGGCACTGTGGTCCAAGTGGTAAATGTTCACCTTGAGCTGAAGAGTTGAGGGACAGTGCACAGGCTCAGAGTTTAAGCCCCATGACCAAAAAAGAAGAAGATGAACAAGAAGAAGAAGGAGGAGGAGGAAGGGAGGAGAAGGAGGAGGAGGAGGAGGAGGAGGAGGAGGAGAGGAAAGAAAGAAAAGAAAAGAAAGAAAGAGAGAAAACTACCGATAAATATATTTCAAAGACAAAGACATAAAGATCTATTCCAAAATATTTGCAAATGAATCTAATATTATAAAAAAAAAATCTCATGACCAAGTCAGTTTTAATCCAAAAATGCAAAATTGAGGGCTGAAGGCATGTCTCAGTGATAGGACAGCTGCCTAGGAAGCATAAAGGCCTGAGTTCAAATCCCAACATGACAGAAAAAAACGCAAGGTTGATTTAACTTTCAAAAATCCCATATAATATACAAAACTAACTCAATACATATGAGTGACTTAATTATATAAGCAGAATTTATATCCCTTCTAGAAAAAAAAAACAAATCTTTGCAGCATTGGGATAAGGAATGATACATAAACACAAAGTGTATAAAACAGAAAAGAAAAAAAAGGATGTTACATTTTTTCAAAATAAAAGCTTTTGCTGTTTGAAAATAACATGAAGAAAGGCAAGTCACTGGTAGGAATTTTCTAGTATGTATACATACATACACATATATTTATGCATATATGATACATACATAATATATACACTTGTAAAATATGAACTTGTATTCAGAATGTCTACTGAACTCTTATATTCAAATAAGATAAATAATGCAAAATTTTAAGTAAGCAAAAAGATCTGAATAGACACTTCCCCCAGTTATATCAATGGCTAATAAGCACTTGAAAAAATGCTCAATAATGCTCAAAATGCTCTTGGGGAAATTACCACCCAACAGATTGACTAAATTTTTTAAACTGACCATACTAAGTAGTGGTGAGAATCTGGAGAATGAGATTCTCATACACTCAAAGGGTATGAACATAGAAAAGTACAGGACTTTGGGAAAGTATTTGACATATTAAACATATACTCACCATCCACTCCTGGATAACTTCCTCCTCTTCCCATATTCACAAAATATAAATATATACAAAATGCAATACATAACAGCTTTATTTGTAATGTTTTACACTGTAAAATATCCATACATCCAATGAATCTGCTAGTGCACACCTGTAGTCCCAGATACTTAGAAAGATTGCTTGAGCAAAGGAGTTTGAGAAAAGTGTGGCCAACATAGTGAGACTTGGTTTAAATATGTATTTTTTTATTTATTTATTTTTTGCCGTTTGTGGGGTCTAAACTCTGGGCCTGGGCACTGTTGAAGGACAGTGAGCTCTTCAGCTCAAGGTTAGCATTCTACTGCTTGAGCCACAGTGCCACTTCCGGCCTTTTCTGCTTATGTGGTGCTGAGGAATAGAACCCAGGGCCTCATGCATACAAGACAAGCACTCTACCACTGAGCCACCTTCCCAGCCCCTAAAAATATTTTTTTAAGAACTCAAATTTTACCAGATACTGGTGACTCACAATACTAGCTACTAGAATTCTAGCTACTTGGGAGCCTGAGATCTGAGGATCAAGATTTAAGCCAGTTGGGCAGACAAATCTGAGAAAATCTATCTCCCATGAACTAGCAAAAAGCTGGAACTGGAGGTATGCCTCGAGGTGTAACTCAACAAAACAAAAAGATGTTGCTCTGGCATATTCTCGACAACCGAGTCCAAGTATTTCCAGAAAACAAATGTTTACACTTCACATAAATCACTATGAAGATCAGAGTATACAACAGTAGCCACTCAAAGCCATGAGAAAGCCAAATCTGCCTTGTCTCTTGATCAAAATGAAAAGCACAGAGCCAGGTGCCAGTGGCTCACACCTGTAATCCTAGCCACTCAGAAAGCGGAGATCTGAGGATCAATGTTCGAAACCAATCCAGACAGAAAAGGCTGTGAGACTTTTTCTTTTCTTTTTCTTTTGGTCTGTGGTGGGCCTTGAACTCTGGACCTGAATACTGTCCCTCAGCTCTTCAGCTCAAGGCTAGCACTCTACCACTTGAGCCACAGCACCACTTCCGGTTTTCTGGTAGTTTATTGGATATAAGAGTTTCACAGGCTCTCCTGCCCAGGCTGGCTTTGAACCGCAATATCAGATCTCAGCCTCCTGAGTAGCTAGTATTACAGACGTGAGCCACCGGCATCTGGGTGGCTGTGAGACTCTTTAACTCCAATTTAAAAAAAAAAAAAAAAAAAAAGCTAGAAAAAGCCAGAAGTGATGGTGTGGCTCAAGAATACAAAGAGACTCAGAGACAGTGCCCAGGCCCCAAGTTCAAGCCCCAGGATCAGCAGAGAGAGAGAAAGAGAGAGAGAGAGAGAAAGAGAGAGAGAAGCACTATGTTTTATGGGAATCAATATATGAAAAAAGAACCATATGTAATGAAAAGCACAAGAAGGTGAAAGCCACTTGCCTGAAAGTGTAGTTCCCAGGAAGAAGGTTAGACAAGTACAAGACAGGAGAGTCGAGCAAGAGCTTCTCTTCCAGGAAGGGCCCGTGAATTTCTTCCCAGTGGTAGCTCACAATCTCAGTATCATCTGTACTTTCTATAAGATTGAAAAAAACAAGTACAGCTAAGAAGCACAATAGTAAAAACTCATCTTATAGTTTCTATCATTGCATATTTCATTTATCTTATATGAAATCCTATACTTGCACAGATCTCAGTGGTATGTATTATTTATTAGAAGGCAAGCTGGGAACTGGTGGCTCACACCTATATTTACAACTACTCAAGAGACTGAGATCTGAAGATCAAGATTCAAAGCCATCCCAGGTAAAGAAGTTTGTGAAACCCTTATCTCCAATTAACCAGCAAAAAGCCAGAAGTGAAGCTGTGGCTCAAGTGGTAGCCAGTGACACCAGCCAGCCTTGAGGATAAAAAGGTAAGTGAGGGAATGAGCTGCTGAGTTCAAACCCCAGTACCTGCATCAAGAAAAAATTGTTTCATTTTCATGTTGTCAGGGAAATACGAACAGCTACATTAAATAGATGCAAAAGGTCGCATCAACGTGATCTCCACACATTTGCAGGCTGACAGAATAAAGCAGGATCTGGATCCAATGAACATCCTTCTATCAACCATGACAGTGGTTCTTATTCAACAGGATTTGGCACCAACTTTCTGATTAGATGCACATGAATACAATTATAAAACACACTGATATTATTGAGCCAATTCAAATATAGGAAAATTTTTGCTTCTATTCCGGTTTTCCTGGACACACCTGATCTACTCTACAAGATGGAATAAACTCTGAATTAAAGGGAACCCCATTCACAAGTATGTGTAGTGCCAATGATATATGCTCTATACATTGAAAGACCCCCTTGACAATTATTATACCCAATTAAATAGCTAGCCATAGATAACTAATTTTTAATACATTTTTCTTGTAAACATACTGTACAGAGCTGGGCGCCGGTGGCTCATGCCTGTAATCCTAGCTACTCAGGAGGCTGAGATCTGAGAATCATGTTTCAAAGCCAGCCCGGGCAGCAAAGTCTGTGAGACTCTTATCTCTGATAAACCACTAGAAAACCAGAAGTAGTGCTGTGGCTCAGGCAGTAGAGCACTTGCCTTGAGCTGAAGAGCACAGGGACAGCACCCAAGCCCAGAGTTCAAGCCCCACAACCAACCAAAAAAAAAAAAATACTGTACAGAGGGGTTACAGTTCCATGAGTAAGGCAATGTGTACATATCCTATCGAGCATTGTTGCCTCTTCCTTTGTTTTTCCCCTACCATCCCTTTCCTTCCCACCTATCCAAGTACCCCCCCCCCCGCCAAAGTTGTAAAGTTTATTTTCAACATACTATGAGAACTAATTTCTGTTTACTTTTTCTCTCCTTTTCTTTTCTTTTTGTTTGTGAAGCTAAGTTGCCTCAGGCTGGCCTTGAACTTGCAGTCTTCCTGCCTCAGCTTCCCAATGCTATTACAGGATTATCAGTGTGCCAGCAAAGCCTTCTGATAGGTAAATAAAACATCCCTGAAGGGTAGTTGAGCATAAGTCAGAGATGTTGTGATTTAAAGAAAAAGAAACCTCTAAGATAGTAAAACTAAAGAATGAGACCACCATGATTTATCAATGTCTTGGCTGTAGGTCCTCCCAGCCTCGATTCAGATCCCCCACTAAATCTCACTATTTGTGGGGAGAAAGAAACCAAAAGGCTGAAGTAGCACGGGATACACACGGCTGCCATCGATGAGGGCTGATGTCACAGGCAGAGAGAGCTCTTGAACCTGAGGAGAAACAACTGCTACAGGTGGCAGGTTGACTCTTGCAGCTGTGAGAGGAAAAAAGACAGCAACTGAGCTCACAAGGTGTCTGCGTAAGTCATCCCCAAACAAAGCCATCTGCTTCCTGAAAAAGGGATTCTAAGCATCCTGTCAGGAGGGTGATTAGCCCACAGGCCTGTGGTACAGAAAACACCTTTTCAAGATGTAGAGGCTTCCTATGAAATTTCAAGAGCTTGTCTGGAAGTTTCCATTTTCGTATGAAGCCCAGGATCAAAGGGTAAGTCACAAGATGTGGTCAGTGACGGGAAGAACAGAAGAAGAATAATTCAGCTCCTGTCACTAGCTAGATCTTAAATATTTCACTGAAGGCACCAGCTACCATCGCAATGCTTCAGCTCTAATAAGGAGGCAGAAGAGGCAATAGGTAAAGGCTGGGAGATGGTGTGGGCACACAGCACTAGTACAGGGTGAGCCCTTGGTGCCCTGAGAGGTAGTAGAGGCTGAAGGCCAGTTCATGTTCTACTGACGAAGCTAGGCTTGTACCCATTGGACAAATTTTGTTTAGTTTCCACTGTGACATTGGTCACACTTGCAAGGGTTTGGGGACACTAACATTAGTGAGACCACACTTGGGACACAGACACCAGGCATCGCAGATCCCCTGCTATACCTTACTCTATCTAATTGACCCAAAAGACACTGACCCTGAGAGCCTAGTTGTGGGCTTGAAAGCTCACAGGATATTTTTGTCCTTACCCCTTAGCAAATTAAGTCAAAGTATTTGAAATAAACACCCATGCTCCTAAGTTAAAGCAGAATCATGAGAAAAGGAGGCAGGAATAAGAGATGATGAAGTAAATGGCAGACAGAGACAGCCACGGGACAGCAAGAACAGTCAGTAATTGTCTTCTAGACTTGAGCAGCCATGTCAAGCAAGTACTAAAGGTTATGCTGAAAGTAGAAAGGAAACAAACAACCATAATTCTTGAATGTTTTCTATACAGTCGGGCCTAAGGTAAAAGTTTTATATATAAAACAATAATGCCATCCAAGTTCTGAAAACAGAGACAACACACAGAATAGACTTACCCGGCTTAACAGTGACATTGACAAATCCTTCCCCAAAGGCATTATCATTAGACACAGCCACCTTGAAGGCATAAAGTCCTACTGACAACTGCAGCATAAAGAAAAAGTACACAGGTAAGAGTGCAAAGGGCTCACATGAGGGGCTCACTGCCTACAAAAGGCCAAAATATCTAGAGGCCAGCTCCTGAGGTTGGCAAAGAGAAGGGCTCAGCAGAAAGTCTCATTTCCATCTGTCTATGACTGCCATGGGCTTGAAGCCTACATTGTGGAACACTAAAGGTCATCCTAATGGGCCTTTCACTTAGGAACAGATATCCACCTACCTTAGAGAGATTGACAGCCATCCTCAAATGTGCCTGGATGTACCATGTTTTATTCATTTTGTTTTGTTGGGAGTGCTGGGGATGAACCCAGAGCCCTATGCATGCAAGTGTAGTTCTACTTTTGAGCTACACTTCCAGCCCAAAAGCTACCCTGTAGCTCTGGAGAGTCTGCTTACACATCTAGTGCCACACCTGGAGAAACAGGTCTCAATGAAATGGGAGTGAGATGAGTTCAAGAGGCACCATGTGCTGTGCAGTCTCGGGGGATGAGATGTTACTGTCTGGTAGGTAACAGAGCTCTGGCAGCTAAGTCAGCTTATTTCACCCTCTGGGCCAAGAAGATAGCATGTTTATTCTTGTGAGATACTTCTCTCTTGGTGCAATAGTTGGCAGTCAGAGTAATTTTTGAACTGGAATGGATAATTTGCAACTCCTAAGAGATGAGCCACCAGACTAAGAATTGAAGTCACCAGAATGTATCTCACACTTCCAAGACAGCAAGAGTTTGGACACAGGCTTTTTAACCAGAATGTTATGCAATCAGCCAAGTCAAAGTGAAGCAAAGCTTTCTGAAAACCTCTTGACTTAACTATCTGCCTGTCCACCTCCTCGGTTGAAACTTTATCCTATTTTTGGTTTTCTTTTGTTCTTGAGATAGTCTTGTTATGTTGCTGGGGCTGGCCCCGAATGCTTGAGCTCAAGCAATCTTCCTGCCTCGGCCTTCCAAGTAGAAGAGACTAGAGGCTCACACCCCACTATTCCCATATTCTTCCTTTGATTTTAATGATAAAAAAAGAATTGTGGGCTTAACATCTAAGTGTGTTTACTGGTGTGCTGTCAAATGCAATTCATTTTCAATTACTTACTTTGGGGGGGAGAGGGCTTTTTTTTTTTTTTTGTCGGTTGTGGGGCTTGAACCCTGGGCCTGGGTGCTGTCCCTCAGCTCTTCAGCTCAAGGTGAGCGCTCTACCACTTGAGCTACAGCGCCACTTCCGGTTTTCTGGTGGTTTATTGGAGATTGGAGTCTCATGGTCTTTCTTGCCCGGGCTGGCTTTGAACCGCGATCCTCAGATCTCAGCCTCCTGAGTAGCTAGGATTACAGGCGTGAGCCACCAGCGCCCGGCAAGGGAGAGGGCTTTTTGAGGGGATTGAACCCAGGACCTCAAGCATGCTAAGTAAGAGCTCTACCACTTGAGCCATATCCCTGGTCCTCCAGTTACTTACTTGAGAGAGGTTAACAGTTTGTGTGTGTCCTAGTTTTATTTCACCTTGGTAGTCTCCAGGATGGCTTATTAAACTCCATTCATAGTTGTAAGCTGATTCTGAGAACAAATCAGAAAAAGGAGTAGTTATCACTTCAGAACCAGGGCAGAAGGGAAGGAAATAGCCTTAAACCTGCAATACAAATTACCTTGAATATATTACACTTTCACTTATTATCCAAGATAGGAATAGCAATTTTTCTACATCATTTTAAGTAAATTTTATTTTAATTATAAAAATACCCAATTTAGCTAGATACTGGTGGCTCACACCTATAATCCTAGCTATTCAGGATGCTGAGCTCTGAGGACTGCTGTTCAAGGATAGTAAATTTTTTTTGGGGGGGGGGGGTCCGGTCGTGGGGCCTGAACTCTGGGCCTGGGCGCTGTCCCTCAGCTCTTCAGCTCAAGGCTAGCACTCTACCACTTGAGCCACAGCGCCACTTCTGGCTTTTTTCTTATGTGGTGCTGAGGAATCCAAGCCAGGACCTTGAGCATGCAAGGCAAGTGCTCTACCACTGAGCCACCTTCCCAGCCCCAGGACTGCCGTTCAAAACCAGCCCGAGCAGAAAAGTTTGTGAGACTTTTATCTCCAATTAAACACCCAAAAAATGGAGGTGGGGTTGTGGTTCAAGTAGTAAGAGCACAAGCTTTGGGCACAAATGCTTAGGGACAGCACATAGGCTCTGAGTTCAAGCTCCAGGACCAGCACCAAAATAAGAAAATCATAACTAAAAGAAAACATAGTTTGGGGGCTGGGAATGTGGTAGACTGCTTGCCTAGCGCATGAAGCCCTGGGTTCCATTCCTCAGTACCACATACACAGAAAAAGCTGGAAGTGGTGCTGTAGCTCAAGTGGTAGAGTGCTAGCCTTGAGCAAAAGAAGCTCAGGGACAGTGCCCAGGCCCTCACTTCAAGCTCCAGGACTGGCAAAACAAACAAACAAAAAATAGTTTAAAAATCCTCCTCCACCAATCTGTTAACATTTGACTACTTTCTAGGGTGCTATCTATATAAGTTTAAGCCCCAAAAAATGATCTGTCCTTTTTTAAAAAAAATTAAAAGGCAAATAGATTTCAACTCATTTGAATTTTATAGGGATTTAAGAACAAAAATAAATCAAACATCTCTATGTTGAGCTGAAGCTGCCTCTCACCTTCAGTTATGAATAACAGATGATATTCTTTGTTGCAGACCCTGGGGAGCTAGGAGCTGGCAAGGTGTGAGCAAAGGCTCCACAGCCATTGACTCCAACCTCAGGGCTGCAAGCACTTGTCCTTCTTTGGTTTGAGGAAGTGTTCCTTTCACTTCTGGACCTGGGGGATTCTGTCCTTTAACTGAAGAGGTTTGGTGGACAAGGATTGATTGAAATAGAATGAGGAAGTGATGGGTGATGTCTGCACTTTTCCATACAGTGGGTCATAGAATAATATTATGCAAGCATTTGACAAATATAGAAAATGTATCCAGCTAAGGCTTTTGCAAAAGTGGACAGAGTTGTGCCATCAGCCATCTCTCTGTCTCCTTCTTCATCCACTTGCCCCTCAGAAACCTGCTTGTGCTGCGGCTGGACCACAGCAGTTCTTCAACTCATAGGATGACATCTTTGTGTATTAAAATGTTGACTTATGTATAATAGGAAAGGAATGAATAAAAGAATTGACTGACCTGTATAAGAAATAGTCAAACACCTAAGGAATGAGTTGACTTTAAAAATAAGAGCATTGGATAGAGCCATAGAGAAGGAACAAATGTTCACTGGATGTTAGAGACTAGATTAATAGAACAAAGAGTTTTTGGAACATTTTTTGAGCAACTGGTTTGAAGTGTTCTGAGAACCTACAGCCAGATATTCAACACAAAGCTTCAGGCCAAGGCCACCTCACCCTCCTCATAATGGAAGCTTCCAGGCTCTATGGGTTGTCACAGACCATGATGTGGTATATGCCAACCTCTTCTGCTCTAATATAACTTTCTATTCTACATCATTAAAACGTATCACCATCTGTCCTGATCAATTAAAGGATATGTACTATGTTTCATTTCTTACATTTGTACTTCATTTTAATCTGTTTCAATAAACTTTGGTAGTCCAGCATTCATAGTTGATGTTGCCCAATGAGGTGAAAATGATTCCATGCTGCAACCTGTAAAGACTTACTTTTGAGGAAAACTCTCACCTGCAGAGGGTGCTGGTACAACAAAAGCCTTCAGTTCAACTTCATTGTTGGGTAAGGTTATCATTAGGTTATCCCCAGCATACACGCTAAGTTCTTTCACTAAAAATCAATTAGAAATAGTACCATTATCCCATTGACTAGGAATACTGCCACTACAGAATATGAAAATGTTATAGTACTTCTCAACAGTCAATCAGTTTTTGTTGTTTTTTGTTTGTTTTTGTTGGTCTTGAGGCTTGAATTCTGGGCCTGGGCACTGTCCCTCAGCTCTTCAGCTCAAGGCTAGCACTCTACCACTTGAGCCACAGTACCACTTCTAGTTTTCTGGTAGTTTATCTGCCCAGGCTGGCTTTGAACCATGATCCTCAGATCTCAGCCTCCTGAATAGCTAGGATAAACAGGCACCCAGCAATAGATCAGTTTTTATCATCAATTAAATCATGTCACCAGGCACCAGTGGCTGATGCCAACAATGGTAACTACTCAGGAGGCTGAGATCTAAGGACCAGGATTCAAAGCCAGACCAAGCAGGAAAGTCTGTGAGGCGTATCTCCTATTAACAACCAAAATACCAAAGCCAAGCAAGAGAATGAGGCCCTGATTAGTACTCCCCTCTCCCATCATACATTTTTCTAATTGTCCTTCAGATAACTTTATCTATTTCTCTGGCTGGTAATATTATGCTGAGAGACAGACTTTATAAATTTAAAATCATCTCTAAGAGTAGGTGCCATGAACAAAATATTGGTTGAAATTGAACAAGGTATTAGCTAACAGGAAGTTCACAAATCAGGTGAAGTACTATGGATTGAGTTTTTTTCTCCTACAACAGGCTTTTCTCATCTCCCTGGTATGAGCTAGCTTTAATTACAAAAAAATTAAGTGTTTCTGCATCAATCATAGAACCATGTTTGGGTAGTACTCACATGAATGATTGCTGGTGGTTTGCTCTAGGAACCTTTCCCAGAGAAAATCCAGTCAAATTCAATGTGAAAAGACAATTTAACTCAAGCAGCAAGAACACTAACTCTCAGCCAAAGCATGTAACTTCCGCACTCACTGAATAATCGGGGTTAGACTGACATAGGATAGTTCTATAAGGTTGCCTTGAGTAAACAATAATTTCTCTTGTAAAACACACTGTCAAAATATTCCACAGAGAAAACACTGGGGAGAAAACAAAACATAGCAAAACTGAGTGCTCTCAGGAGTTCTCAGCTACTTGGAGATGTCAGAGGGATCTCTTGGTCAGGCTAGTCTCCTCCCTTCAGTCCACAAGCCTGGCTCTCATTGGCTCTTCCCTTCCATCACTCACTCTCAATCTGAAAGGAAGCACTCGGGAAGAGATTTGGGTCCAAATCTATCATTTTACTCACAGAGAATTTGAGCCCTACAAGGCCAAGAATGATGTCTGGGACTCTATGGATAATTAGCAATCGGTTCATAACTAATTAATTGAAATGTATTTATTTCAGCAAACCCTAACATACCAGATTGAACCATCAGGCACTGTTTCAAAGGCTTCAAAATGATTGATTGATTTAATCCTCCTAATTTTGTACTAGAGTGAAAGTGAAGTCCTTAGAGAAGCTGCACCTATATTAAACATTCTGCAGATGGATCTTAGCTGAGCTTCTAGAACATAGTGATTGTGGAGAAAGGAAAGATTGCAGGTCAAGAGCCAAAATTACCTTCGGCTATCCTAGGAAAAAAAAATTCACCTGCTTTTAATCTTTGGATCTGATCTAAATTAGGAAAAGCTCTCAGAGTGTGTTGTTAAGCTTTGCAAACCTCAGATCTGAAAGCTACAGACTAGGGCTAGGCACCAGTGGCTCAAGCCTGTAATCCTAGCTACTCAAGAGGCTGAGGGCTGAGAGTTGAAGTTCAAAGCCAGCCCAGGCAGGAAAAGTCCATGAGACTCATGTCCATGAGACTTAAAAAGTTGGAAGTGGGGATGTGGCTCCAGTGGTAGAACACCAACCTGGAGTGAAAAAACTAAGCAAGAGTTCAAGGCTCTGAGTTCAAACCCCAGGACTAGCACACAAAACCGGACCAAACCAAACCAATCTATGGACTTTGCTGTGTAGCCTGCCTACCTAATTAATACCCTCTTTCCCAGAGGAGCACATCAGTTAAATGTGTCCCTGGTATATAGTCATTCCTAACCAGCTCAGAATAAACTATCTGCTCATTTCCCTTATAGCAGAATCATTATTTTTTTTTGTCAACACTAGGTACTAACAGAACAAAAGGAATCTAATTTCATAGGCAGATTTTCCCTCCCATATACCAGAGCTTCCTGTCCACCCTTATCCTTTTCTCTGCTGAAGCTCAGAATCAAATTAAAAATATTTTTTAAAAGGCAGAAAGATCAAGAATAAAAGTATTTTAATTGAATTGCATTGATTGAAAACACTCAAAGTTGGGAGGGAGTACTCAGATCTCTAAGGAGCCACAGCTCCTGACCTTTCACCTAGATTGGAGCCACACTCATATTTAGATTTGACCTTTGACACACTAATCTCTGTGGATTTAACAATGAACTCCTCCCCCACCCACCCTCAATTCCAGAAAGTGAATCTGTACTCACTGTTTTTCTTGAAACATAGCCCAACTTTGGGCAATCATCAATTCCTACTCACAAATGATGAATTAATGATCTACCCCTCTTGGAAAAATGGGAGCACATTTGCAAGATTGCTTGGATTGCAATCCTGATTAAACCCACAAAAATGTAGTTTAATTTATTCTTGGTTCAGGTGATTTTGTTGTTGGTTAATAAGGAGTAATATCCAAAGTTCATTATCCACAAAAAAGCTCAGGACATGTGCACTTGCATACTTTAATATAACTTCTTTGCTAGAAAAATTGGATACCCTTTTCATTCCTCATTATTGCCTCAGCAATGCATGCATGATACTTTGGGCACATTTTCCTGGGTGGAGTTGTAGAGGACCATATGCTGCCCCAGATTATGGCTGCACAACAAATAAACCACAGCAAATAAGCCTTTTGGAATAAGGATTATTTTGAGCTGCTAATTTGTAGAAAAAGCAAACACAGGTAAGCTCCTTACATTTGAGTAAGGATAGTTACACGTATACAGGAAATCTCTATGGATAAATGTTAATACCTTTATCCAGCTAATCTATCACCACCCCCAAGGAGAGGCAAAGACTTAAATCTACATAACAACACATTTGCTAATAAGGACAAGAAGAAAAAGTGTCCGTTACAAATATACTCTGCACATTCCTTTACCCAAATATAACCAGTCATAGTTGCCCAAATCCATAGACACAGAGCTAGAAAACAGGGCTATGTATGAGATAATATGTATCATCTCAAACTTTTGTTTGTTACAGGCAGCAATTAGCCATGAGCAATAAGGAAATACAAGAAAATATATAACATCCAGTATGAGACCTGGCAGTAGCTGAAAGAAAACAATGTTATAGCTGGGCGCTGGTGGCTCACACCTGTAATCCTAGCTACTGAGGAGGCTGAGATCTGAGGATCGCAGTTCAAAACCAGCCCTGGGAGGAAAGTCTGTGAGACTCTTTTTTTTTTTTTTTTTTTTGAGTCCGGTCATGGGCCATGGGTCTGGGCCTGGGCGCTGTCCCTCAGCTCTTCAGCTCAAAGCTAGCGCTCTACCATTCGAGCCACAGCGCCACTTCCAGCTTTTTTCTTTTTGCTTATGTGGTGCTCAGGAATTAAACCCAGAGCCTCAGGCATGCAAGGCAAGTGCTTTACCACTGAGCCTCCTTCCCAGCCCCGTCTGTGAGACTCTTATCTCCAATAAACCACTAGAAAACCGGAAGAGTCGCTGTGGCTCAAGTGGTAGAGCTCTGGCCTTGAGCTGAAGAGCACAGGGACAGCGCCCAAGCCCAGAGTTCAAGCCCTACCACCACCCTCCCCCCACCCCCCCAAAAAAATGTCATTCCAACTAAGGTGGATCAGCCTCTGGGACCCACCAAGATCATGAAATGTTTCAAGCTGCTTTTCTTTGTGTTATTAGTACCTCACCCACCTAAGGATTAATGAAAGACTTCCTTCCAGCCTAAGATGGATCAATGAATCAATAGTTACTACAGCAAAACTAGATCTTTAACTTACTTACCCAGGTCAAATGGAATTCATTAAAACTCTCCTAACCATTGTACAGTAGCTGGGTCTCAAGAGCTGGTTCTGAGAGAAGATTTAATGCTCCAGGCCCGGAACATTTCAATAAAAACTTGTGCTGAAGTAGGGCGCCAGTGGCTCACACCTGAGATCTGAGGATCGTGGTTCAAAGCCAGCCCAGGCAAGAAAGTCTATGAATCACTTACCTCCAATAAACCACCAGAAAACAGGAAGTGGTGCTGTAGCTCAAGTGGTAGAGCTGAAGAGCTGAGGGACAGTGCTCAGGCCCAGAGTTCAAGCCCCATGACAAAAATAAATAAATAAATAATGTAGTATGGCTCCAAAATGGCCTCTCTGTCTCTCCTTGCTAATTTTTTCGCCTAGACTAACATTATTGAACCTTCAAAAAAAAGCCAGAACTTTCCTACAACAGAATGTACTGGGTCTGGTACCTGGCACTCTAAAAATGCTCGGTAAATGTAATATTACTACTGCAATTATGCATGATTCTCCCTTGATATGGGAAGCAGCTTGTTCACTCCACACCGGCATTAACTCCACTGAAGACCTTCTCTAGCCCCTCCCATAGTCAGGTAACCCTCCCTTTGCCCATAGCTTTCCCTCCCAGCATTTAGCATAATTTATCAGACCTACCCATTTACCTGAATGTCTCCTCCCCTAGAGGAAAAACTATGTCTTTGTCATCATTTATTCCCAATGCTAAGCACTGTTTCTAGCGTATGATATATGCTCAACATGGAGGCCAGTGGGAATGAAGAAACTTTACAAGTTGTCATTATTATGGTCTATAACATCTTAAGTACATTTCTTCCAGTTGTAATTTTAAAGATTACCTGTCCTGGAAGCAGTGGGAGGAGGTACGGATCCCTCAGGTGTGGAGGACCCAGAAGGGGCAGTGCTAGGGACGAGTGTTGGAATGCTGTGTTCTGTGTTCCCCAGAGTAACTGTGAGGCCTGGGCTTCCCTCCATGGCAGCTGGGCTGGACTGCAGGCTGGCGGGAGGAGGATTATGGGAAGGTATTAGAACCTATGAGATTAATTACAAGAATACATTGTTATGGAAAATAAATCTTTTGAGAAGCACAATGTCACAAACATTTTTGCATAAATTTTTCATAAATATTTGAAAAGCCTTGACTAATAATGCAAAAACTCTGGAACTCCAGGATGTTTCTTTCAAATACTCTCTCTGATATATCAGAAAGGTTTGGTGAGTTGCGCATGTGGCTCAATGGTAGATCACTTGTCCAGCTCACTCTAGCTTTGATCCCTCAGCACACCAAGAGAAATTTTTTTTTTGCCCATCCTAAAGCTTGAACTCTGGGCCTGGGCACTATCCCTGAGTTCCTACTGCTCAAGGCTGGCACTCAACCACTTGAGCCACAGCACCACTTCTAGTTTTTGAGTGGTTAGTTGAAGATTAGAATCTCACAGGGACTTTTCTGCCTGGGCTGGCTTCAAACAATGAGCCTCAGATCTCAGTCTCCTGAGTATAATGAAGTAAGGAGGTCAGGTCTGGCCAGGGCCATATTGGCCACATGGTGGATAGTAGGGTCTAGCATCTTGTCTTCACGCTGGCGGAAGGAAACGCCTCCACCCACTACCTACCTTCCAGGTGATGGGCTGCCTGGAACCCTGGAGGCAGGGATGGCACTTGGCTGATAGGTTACTGAATCTGTCAGTCCAGTGCCTGGGACTGGGAATTTCCTGTGGACCTGCCCCCTGCTTGGACCCAATTTACTACCAGACCAGCCCAACCACCAGTATGACATGCCATGTGTGTCTCCATGGTCATGTCCTGTGTCTTGTGTCCTGTCTCCTGGCTCATTTCTGGTCATCATAGTGTCCCAATTCACTTCTCCATTGGACCTGAATTGGTTTGTTGGTATTGTTTTTGTTCTTTCCTCTCTAGCCTGTTTCCTAACAGTGTTAAGTGTATATGGGGGTGGCAGGCCTTTGTAACAACTGGGTGCCAGCAGCCTGCTAACTGTATAATAAAGAATCCAATATTCCATCTTTCAAAATGTGGCTTCTAGAATAATGCACCTTACAACACTAAGATTACAGGCTTCAGCCAGCCATACCTAGTAAGGGGGAAAAAAATTTTAAGCAGTTGGTCTATAATCTTAGCTACTCAGGGGGATGAGAACTAGGAGTCTGCTGAAGTATACCTCAACTGGTAGAGTGCCCGCCTAGCAAGTGCAAAGCCTTCAGTTCTAACCCATCTGAGAAAAAACTAGAGCTGTGACTAAAACCACCCATACAAATAAATATTAAAGATAGAAAAAAAAACCTATAATAGCCCCAGAACTAATTAGTATAATAAGTAGAATGTGTGTGCCACTCCCTCAATTCACTTATTGAAGTCGTAACACCCTCCCCCCCCCCCCAATGTGAAGGTCATCGGGAAGGACGGAGCCCTCAAGAACAGGACCAGTTCCAGGGTAAGATATAGACAACTAGGTGTGGTGCTGTCAATCTGGAATCCCAGCTGAGGCTAGAGGATCACAAGCTTGAAGTCAGCTACTTAGTCAGCGAGACTCTGTCCCAAAAAATAAATAAATAAAGGTAACACAGAAAGAAGCAAAAGGGCTGGAGATGCCAGCTCAGTGGAACTGAACTTGGCTAGCATCCGAGAGGCACTGGGTTCTATCTCCAGCACTGCCAAAAAAAAAACAAAGAGAGAGAGAGTCCATAGGTCTACTTAGTTCTCTTCTTGTGAGGCTATAGCAAGATAATGATTATCTGAAAATCCAAGGGGGCCTTCACCAAGGCTCTGACTCTGCTAGAACCCTCACCACAGACCGCTAGCCTCTACAAATGTATGGTATCAGTGCTTGGGGTTTTTTTTTTGTTGTTGTTGGTTGGTTTTTTTTGTCTTGTTTTTTGTATTTATCCTGGGGCTCAGGTCCTGGGCACTGTCCCTGAGATTTTGTGCTCAAGGGGCTAGCCCTTGAGCCACAACTCCACATCCTGCCTTTTGATGGTTAATCAGAGATAAGAATCTTATAGACTTCCCTGCCCTGGCTGGCTTTGTACCACCATCCTAGATCCCAGCCTCCTGAGTAGCTAGGATTACAGGTAAGAGCCACCAGTACAACACCTTGCAGCACTTGTGATTTAAGCCTGGATTTTATGGAATTTTGTTAATGTCATTTACAATTGACTTAGTCAAAGTCACTTACAATAAAAATAATCCAACAATAAACAGATCCCTGGAGAGAATGATCTCTATTTGTATTCTCCATTGTATGTTAACCACAACTTGAACTGATAATTAAACACACTAAACTTTTAAAATTAAATATTATGCTACTGGAAAGCAAAGTGCTCCCTGGAGTTTCCACAGTCCCTATTTGGATGAGGCAGGGTAGGCAGAGTCTAAACACCCACTAGGTACCAGTAGCAACTGGTAAAATCTTCTATAATTAACTTCCAGAACCAGGACAAAAAAAAAAAACAACATTAAAAAATTAACTTTAAAACATACTTCAAACTAAGTTGACCAACATTTTAAAAATCCCCTGGTGAATCGATCATAATTTTCAGATACTCAGTTTCATTGGCTCAATCATAATTTTCAGATACATTAAACTTACAGATTTCTGGATTTTAAACATAAATGCAAATATACAGGGTCCAGCACCAGCCCTGTCTAGGAACAGGGCTTCGGTGCCAGAAAATTAGAGTAGCAATCTAACTACATAGAATGAACTGGTCTTCTCCTTTTGTTTTTATTTAAGTTCTGAAAAATTATTGTTAAGTTTAAATAAAGAATGGAAGGGCATTGGGCATAAAGTAACTCAGCCTTGGGTTCAAGCTCCAGCACTACTAAATAAGAATGAAGAGGCTAGTATTATGGCTCACAGAGAGGTAGAGCTCTTGCATAGCTTTCATGAGACTATGGGTATGGTTCCAAACAACACATTTACCATTGAATTATAGATACTGGATCTAAGTAATGCTATCTTGCCCTTACACTGTTTTGGCATCTTAACAGATGATAGGGAAATTTTCACCCAGTTCCAAGAACTCTTGGATTGATTGATATAGGACTTGATATAGGACTTTCTTTGATCTGCAGATGTGTTGTGAGTTGTTAAGTAATATGGAGGTGATATTCTTTAAATTGCAGGTGTCTCATGAGTATTGTTTAGCTCCAGGAAAGTTTTGCTCCAGAAAATACTTGGCTTTGGTTGTCCTTGATTGTTTCCTCTAGATAGCTTGCTTCAGTAAAACAACTTTTGCTAGTTCCCATACCATGTGACATCTTCATTGATATGGTTTTTTGCCATTATAAGCTCTGTAAAAACTGCATTCAGGACTGCAGGTCTTGGGGACAGGAGTCCACCTGCAGGCACTAGCTTTCCAATAAAGGCTCCTGATTCGACCTCTCAAAATGTGGCTTCTCTGTATCTTGCTGACTGAATCACTGTATAACACCATTACCACTACCACTACCACCATTACTACCACCACCTTCAATGAAGGTAGAAAGTCATTGGAAAAATTAAGACCACTGATCAGGATCACAAAGCCATCAGGAAACAGTTGCAGAGAAGACAACTCTACTCCAATTCCTGTACATCTACTTCCCACCTCACTGCCAGCCTCTGATTCTTTCCTTCCCTGCTCAGGTCATCCCCACAAAGCTCCTTGCCAACTCATTCTTAATGAAGCTCTCTTCCACATGCCCCAGCAAAAGAAAATGTATTATGTATCTGGAAGAAAGGAGAATATTGTCCATTTCAGCCCTGCAAGTAGAGTTGAGCCTAGACTCAAATGCCTCTTGTCTGTATGTAGTTTCTCTGCTGTTCCTTTGAAATACCCATTTTCAGTCTTGTCCACTTAGAAGCCAAATGGCAAAAACACATGTCCCTAGACAGCCTATTTAATGGTATCTTTTTTTTATATACTAGGGCTTGAAATCAAATGAAATCCAAATCTATTTTGCTGTCCCTTAGCTTTTTTGCTCAAGGCTAGCACTCTGCTACTTGAGCTACAGCCCCACTTCCTACTTTTTGGTGGTTCACTGGAGATAAGAGTCTCACATACTTTCTTGCTCAGGCTGGCTTCCAACCATGATCCTCAGATCTCAGTCTCTGAAGTAGCTAGGATTACAGGAATGAGCCACCATCACCTAGCCAAAATAATTACCTATAAACAAACAAAACTCTTTGCCAATCTCCCTAGAAAATCTATTTTGCTTTTATTTACAAATTCATTTCAATGTCTTTACACTGATCTGGGCTGGCATTCTATTTGAGTTATGCCTCCAGCCTTTTTTTATATTTCAGACAACCACTATGCCCAGTTTTCTCTCTGAAATAGGATATCTCTAATATTTTGCCTGGGCTGACTTCAAACTATGATCTTATCTTCCCCCTCCCAAGCTGGGATTACAGCGGTGAGTCATCATTTAAACTTTTTTTTTTTCCTTGTCAATCGTGGGCTTGAACTCTGGGCCTGAGCGCTGTCCCTCAGCTCTTCAGCTCAAGGCCAGCACTCTACCACTTGAGCCACAGCACCACTTCTGGTTTTCTTGTGGCTTATTGGAGAGAAGAGTCTCATGTATGTTCCTGCTCAGGCTAGCTTTGAACATGATCCTCAGATCTCAGCCTCCTGAGTAACTAGGATTATGGGTATGAGCCATCAGTGCCCAGCTAGAGCCAAAGGATTTTGAACAGAGCATCATTTGCCATAGTTCCATTCAGAGATGCTAGAAAGTAAATGACTTAGCAACATGAAAGAGGATAGATGATATAAACATGTGTTATACAAAGATAATACTTTTAGATATTTTCAGTTGAAAGGTTTCTTATTCATTTTAATTCAGTTATAAGAATGGAAAATATAACGTAGCAAAAAAGCACCTTTTTCTGATCAGTATTTTTTTTCTTTTTTTGGGGGGGTCTGGTCGTGGGGCCTGAACTCTGGGCCTAGGCGCTGTCCCTCAGCTCTTCAGCTCAAGGCTAGCACGCTACCACTTGAGCCACAGCACCACTTCCGGCTTTTTTTTTTTTCTGCTTATGTGGTGCTGAGGAATTGAACCCAGGGCCTCATGCATGCAAGGCAAGTGCTCTATCACTGAGCCACCTTCTCAGCCCCTGATCAGTATTTTTAAATGACTTCTACCCCTGTTTTATGGTTGAGATTCTTATAGTCAATGGAATCTAATGTTCTTTACTTATTCTAACCTAAATACCAAAGTTTAACTAGTATTTTCTTCTCCTTCTCCTTTTTGGTGCCAATCCTGGGACTTGAACTCAGGGCTAAGGTGCTGACCCTGAGCTTTTTTGCTTAAGGCTAGCACTCTACCACTTGAGCCTCAGCTCTGCTTCTGGCTTTGTGGGTAGTTAATTGGAGATAAGGGACTTGGAATTTCCTGTCGAAGCTGGCTTCAATTGTGACTTCCTCCTGGCCCATCCATGTTGAAGGGCTCTGGCCAAGCCCAGCCTTCCTGCTGCTGGCTCTCTCCCAGCTCTCCTCCACCCTCCATGACAGCACATCCTGTGCACACTCACCTCTTTCCCAGAGCTCTTGCTCCCTTGTTCTTGATGCTGAAAAGCCTCTTCTTCTTTCTTTGGAACCCCTCCTGAAGTTGAAAAGCTCACCAAGGGAAGCAAGGTGACAGCACTGCTGTCTGCAGAGTGCTTGGGGACAGGGGTCCAAGTTGTCTCTCTAAGTGCATGTGGATCCAGGTCACGGGACTCAGGGTCCTGGGGCTTCTCCGCTGAAGCTGTGAGGGAGTCTCCAGCAGATGTGTTCAAACCTCTCTGGGTGCCAGGCAGTAGGCTCCAGTCCGGGTACTCAGCACTCCCTCTGGGATCCTGCTGGCCCACAGGCTGGAGAAAGCCCGGCTCCAGCTGGCTATAGTCATCGGGGTACTCTGCCATCTCCTCTAGGCCCCCATCTTTGCCTAGAAAGGGCAAGTCCTTCATGATATCCTCCAGTGTGTCCCCCCAGACCCTCGAGGGGGGATCCTTGTTCAGCATCATCTCGCCGTAGTCCAGCAGCTGTGTGGGTCTCTGGACAGGTCTGAGCACAAAGGTGAGATAGGAATTGATGGGGCCTATCTTGGGTTCACAGTTCTCTCTGTGAGGGCAGCTCACCAGGTAGCAACTTCCCTTAAACCACCAGGCCAAGTCACAACTGGCCAAGCCACAGCAAGCGGCTGTGCAGTCACCCATGGAGAAGGTCTGTGACACCCGTGTGATTCTAATGGTTTCCAGGCTAGGTGAAATGATTGCATTGGAATAGGTCTTCCCCTCACTGCACTGATGACAGGCACCACCTGCAAACAAGGCAGACACTGAGGAAACAAAGCACATGACAGTGAAACAACCCCAGAGATCAGAGCCTTATCAACCTCTGGCAACTATGTCAAGCAAGCAAGCAGAATTATTCCTACAGACAGACCTCTGTCATCCATCAACCCACCCATCCTATATGCAATGTACCCTCCAACTCTCTACCCACTCAGCCATTTTTCACTCTTCATCCATATAATAACTACAATCCATCCATCCATCCATCCATCCATCCATCCATCCATCCATCTATCCATCCATCCATCCATCCATCCTTCTATCTTTCCTTCCATCCAACCAGCCATCTCCATCTCTCTATCCATCCCTCCATAGATTCTTTCACCTATCCATGCATGCTTCTAGCTTCAATCTCTTCTTAAAATTCCTTCCCATTTAGATAACAGAAATATCTATCAACCTGTGGATAGGACAGTCTCACAGAACTAACTCCAGTAGCTCAGACCTACAATCCTAGCTACTCAGGAGGCTGAGATCTGAGCACTGTAGTTTGATGCCAAGTCCATGAAACTCTCTTTTTTTCTTTTTCTTTTTCTTTTTTTATTGTGAAAATACTGTACAGAGGGGTTACAATTACATGGGCAAGATAATGAGTACATTTCTTGTCAAGCATTGTAGCCTCCTCCTTTGTTTCATGAAACTCTTATTTCCAATTAACTACCAAAAAGTCAGAAGTGCAGCTATCACTCAAATAGTAATGAGGTATCCTTGAATAAAAAAGTTAAGGGCCAGTGTTTAGGCCCTGAGTTCAAACCTCAATACCAGCATACACATAAACACACACACATACACATAAACACACACACACACACACACACACACACACACACACAGTTCCATAGACTTTCTTGCCCAAGCTGACTGATCCTCATATCTCAGCCTCCTGAGTAGCTAGGAGTACAGGTATACACTACCAGCATCTTGCTTCTGTAGTGATTTTTCATTCCTGAAATCCAAGAACAAAATCTCCTTTCCCTATACTTGTTTGTTCGGTATTTAATACAAGAATCATTTTGTGGCAACCTGATACCAAAACAAACCAATCCACAACTAATTTGAGAAGCACTATATTAAAGTTTGGCTGCAATCATGAGACTCCCCACAGCACTTGCCCATGCCTCAACCACTTGCACCAGGAGCACACCTTTAAGGAGAGGAAAACAAGGGACCCTATATCTAACAGGCTCTGAAAGAATCTGGTATAAGGGCCCTATCTTGTATAAGAAGTCCATTTTGCTACTTTTTGCTTTCAAATAAACCTGCTCTCTTTGCTTCAAACAATAACATTTAGCTGTAGAGCCAGAATGTCAAAGAAATTTCTTTGCTAGTTAGGGTATACCAATGAGAGAATATCAGAGATTGCTTCTAATGAAAATGGCTATATACCACATAAAATTGTTTATTTCTATACAATATCAAGTAATAGATAATTTTTAATAACACTGACTCTAGTGCAAGTTAGTAGGAATTAGACACCTTTTCCAAAGAATAAGAAGCAGCATTTTACCAGGGCTGAGGCCCTGATGTCATTTTCTTAAGTGTAAACTGTGTGTGTATATGTGTTTGTGTTTGTGTGTGTGTGTGTGTGTGTGTGTGTGTGTGTGCCAGTCCTAGGGCTTGGATTTGGGGCCTGGTTACTATCCCTGAGCTTTTTGCTCATGGCTAGCATTCTACCACTTGAGCTACAGCTCTACTTACAGCTTTTGGGTAGTTTATTGGAGATAAGAATATCATGGTCTTTCCTGCCCTGGCTGGCTTCAAATCACAATCCTCAGATCTCAGCTTCCTCAGTAGCTAGTATTTATTTTAGAAAGTAGCATTAGCTCAGATATGGAGGAAATAATAATATATTGTTTGTCAAGATCAAGAGATAATGGAATAGAATACAGATGAGTAATCTACAACTCCAAACTCTACTCTCAAAAACATTGTTGTGATCATAGATGCTGGTGGAGATGTAGCCAAAAGGAAATGCTACTACGCTGTTGGTGGGAATGTAAACTTGTTCAACTACTCTGGAAAGCAGTATGGAAGTTCCTCAAGAGATTAAACATAGAGCTCCCCTAAGATCCAACAATCCCACTCCTGGGCATTTACCCAAATGACCATAAACAAGGCCACACTAAAACTAACCAGCACAATTATGTTCATTGCAGCATTCTTTACCACAGCTAAAATATGGAATCAGCCCAGATGCCTCTGAGTAGATGAACATACCAAGAAAATGTATACATATATATGTGTGTGTGTGTGTGTGTGTGTGTGTGTGTGTGTGTGTATACACACACACATATATATGTATACACACACACACACAATGGAATTCTATGCTTCCATCAGAAATAATATTGCTCCATATGTAAGGAAATGGAAAATAAGAAAAAAAATAATACTAAGTGAAGTAAGCCAGACCCAAAGAAACATAGACTCCATGGTTTCCCTCATTTGTATAACTAGAATATGTCTAGGATAGTTCTATCAGAGGATCACAATAGCTCAATAGCTATGTACATATGACCATATAAAATGATGCTAACTGAAATGAACTCCACGATATGGAAACAAGAGGTTTTTTGTTTTGTTTTTGTTTTGTTTTGTTTAGTGTACTGTTTGCAGTTATTTTTTTTCTTTCATTTTCCCCCTATGGCTTATCCCCTGTTGTCACTGTTTTTTATTTTAGTACCCTTAGTCTTGTATACAAGTTTATCTGATTTGGAGAGGGGAAGGGGAATCACAGAAATGGTGAGGACAAAGGACAAAGGGTGAACCAATGCAACAGGGATACTTACAAGACACTATGTTGGAAATAAACTTTACAACTTGGGGGAAGGAGAGTCAGAGGAAAAGGAAAAGTGAGAAAAAGAATGAGGAAAGGGGTAACACGGTTTGACAAGAAATGTAATCTTTTCCTTACTTACGTAACTGTAACTTATTCATCACCTTAAAATTAATTAAAAATAAAAGTTGTTAGAGATACTGCTATATCTGGGTGACATTCACTCAAGCTAGAAATTTTTTCCAAACCTAAATGTCAAGATTTGCTTTAGTTCCCTGATGACACAGTTGGTTCATCTCCTTTTGGATAATGTGACTCAGAAAAAAATGAGGTTTCTGGCTGGGAAGGTGGCTCAGTGGTAGAGCGCTTGCCTTGCGTGCATGAGGCCCTGGGTTTGATTCCTCAGCACCACATAAGCAGAAAAAGCTAAAAGTCACACTATGGCTCAAGTGGTAGAGCACTAGCCTTGAGCTGAATTGCTGAGGGACAGCACCCAGGCCCAGAGTTCAGGCCCCAAGACCAACAAAAAAAAAAAAAGGAAAAAGAAAGATGATGTTTCATTTCTGATCTTTTTCTACCAGAAAGCTCAAGAGTTGCCTTTTAAAATAGTGTCACAAAAGTGAGACACTGGTGGCTCATACTTGTAATCCTAGCTACTCAGGATGCTGAGATCTGAAGATTGCGGTTCAAAGCCAGCCCAGGCAGGAAAGTCTGTGAGACTCTTATCTCCAATTAAACACCAGAAAATTGGAAGTGGCACTGTGATTCAAGCAGTAGAGTTCTTGCTTTGAGCTGAAGAGCTCAGGGACAGCGCCCAAGCCCAGAGTTTAAAACCCATGACCAAAAAAAAAAAAAGGTGTCACAAGGCATACTGCGTAGGGAAAAGACTGCTATCCAGAGCAGGTAACTATCACAATATGATAATGACATCTCTCTGTGAATGAGGCCTTTGACTGAAAGCTTAAGGTGGTTTACAGTCTAACTGGAGGAAGACTTTGGTATAACTCCAGGACAGACCACATCTGTTCTGCAAATATTGCCTAACAGTGAGTTGTTTAGATAAATATACTTTAAAGCAGGGTTCTTGAAGCTAAACAGAAATTTGAGAAGTGGAACTCCTAATAACTAAGTCATTCTTCCTTTGGGCCTAGTTGCCATAGTTACTTCAGAATCAGCTACACACTCCAGAAAACTCTTGAAGGACCATTCAACTCCTGGGAGCTAGGAGACCTATCAATGACGTTCACATTCTCTACAAATCCTAGCCAAATCAAGAACACAGAGGCCCAGAATGACTGTTTATATATCAATAATATCATTGTAAGTATTTAAAAGTAAGAAAGAAAAAGAAGACAAGCTAAATGTGAATAACATTAGTGGAACTCAGTAACTCTATTTAAAAATTTGAATCAGTAGAAAACACCTCACAAGAAAAGGGCACAGGAAGAAACAAAAAGGTAGGGATTTGATTAGAAAAAAATGAATGGCTAGACACTGATGATACAATATTAGATATGACAATATAAGTACTTATGACAGTTATCACAGTATAGAATATATTAAACATGAAAAAGGAATGTTTTTTTCCTTTCACACTAAGCAGTGTTGGATATTGGGTGGGATGTACTCTGTAGGGCATAGCAGTACTTTTCCAATGGCAGAACTTTCTGAAGTGGCCCTTGTGTCATTTAAAGTGACACTTCTCAAAATTTAGGTGTTTCTGAATCATCCTCAGCATCCTTATGGTTCTATATCATTTTGACAAACTCCACACATAAAAACAGTTTCTCTAGTTACATCTCTATTTTCAATTACTGCTACATACAAATAGGTTCAGATCTGAGGCTCACCAAACATTTCATGATGTAAGTGTATTCCTGATAAGCAAAACTGGGTATGGAAAAAATCATATATATGGAAAAATCATATATATAATACATATGTTTATATATAAAATATTAAATATATAAACTATACTATAAATTTATAAATTATATATTGTATCTACAAATATGTTTATATATATAAATATATGTATTTACACATATATATGGACATTTTGATCCTTGCAAAAAGACCTATTGTTAAGTTAGTGGCTTACACACGTAATCTGAGCTACTCAGGCAGCTGAGATCTGAGTTTTATGGTTCAAAGGCAGGAAAGCCCATGAGACTCATCTCCAACTACTCAAAAAAAGCCATATGTGGAGCTATGGCTCAGGTGTACAATGCTAGCCTTTTTTTTTTTTTTTTTGTCAGTAGTAGGCTTTGAACTCTGGGCCTGCGTGCTGTCCCTGAGCTATTCAGCTCAAGGCAAGTGCTCTACCACTTGAGCCACAGAACCACTTTTGGTTTTCTGGTAGTTAATTAGAAACAAGAGTCTCATGGACTTTCCTGCCTGGGCTGGCTTTGAACCGTGATCCTCAGATCTCAGCATCCTGAGTAGCTAGGATTACAGGTGTGAGTCACTAGCCCCTGGCATGAAATTTTTTTAAATATTCATATGTAGCCTCTTCCCCCTAGAATACATAAAATAAGGCTCATGCCTGTAATCCTAGCTACTCAGGAGGCTGAGATCTGAGGATTGCAGTTCAAAGCCAGCCCAGGCAGGAAAGTCCATGAGACACTTATCTCCAATTAACCACCAGAAAACCAGAAGTGTTTTCTTTTTTTTTTTTTTTTTTGGGTCCAGTCATGGGGCCTGAACTCTGGGCCTGGGCACTGTCCCTCAGCTCTTCAGCTCAAGGCTAGCACTCTACCACTTGAGCTACAGCGCCACTTCCGGCTTTTTTCTTATGTGGTTCTGAGGAATCGAACCCAGGGCCTCGAGCATGCAAGGCAAGTGCTCTACCACTGAGCCACCTTCCCAGCCCCAAACCAGAAGTGCTGATATGGCTCAAGTGGTAGAACACTCGCCTTAAGCTGAAGAGTTCAGGAACAGTGTAGAGGCCCAGAGTTCAAGCCCCACGACCAACCAAAAAATAATAATAATAATAACAAACACATTTAATTTTTTCCCAAAAAACCACTTGTGCATGCAATATATCTTTATATGAAAAAGAACTGTACTGTAAAGCAAACATACAGCCCCATCATTTCATACTGATCTGATTTGCTTAAGACAGATGAGAAGCTCCAGCCTACCCTTGGCATCAGCAGGGTAATGGTTGCCTACCTGCAATGGTCACTAGCAGCAGCACAAATGTGAGGTTGGCCATTCTGCCTCAGACAGGGTGATGGCAGGCTTCCAGGGCAAAGATTTGGCACAGGCTCCCTTTGGTGTTTTTAGGAGTCAGATTTGGCCTCTGGAACTTTAAAGGAAAAAGAGACAGAAAGAAAACAGTACGTAAATGTGGAAACACACAAAATCATTCCTGTCATTTATCCATGTCAATGAGAAGGCTGTCCCATTCACTTCTTACAACTATATCCCAGGAGAGATACCCATCCAGACAAGTATGTTCAAAATAGCTAGTACAGTTCCTAGGAAGAAGTAACAAAGACCAACCGAATAAGAAAAGCTTGGTATAGAAGAGGAATCAGTCGTCATCATTGGGTTTTGGCAGAGACCCAGAGGCAGGCAGAGAAGCAGGAAGGCTTTCTAATTGAAAAAAGGAAGGCTTCAGGTGTGCATTGAGTGGCAGCTGCTATACACAAGCTAACTAGAACTGGGCCATCCTGTGATTAGCTAGGGGAGTATATCTGGCTTTCTCTGGTTGGTCCCTAGGGAAGCTGACAGTTCGTAAGCAAAACTTGTAACTTGGGGCTAATCACTACAGAAGTTATTTGGCTTCTCAAATTAGAGAGAGCAATCTAGCTACCTGCATGTCTTCCTTAGAGCAGGCTGGTTATTGTAAATAAGGGATTGGTTTTCTGCACAGTTTGCTGTAGGTCATGGGGCAAAGTTCCATTTTTATATATGGTCTGGCTATTGTCCATTTGGTTGTTTGTTTGGTTGGCTTTTAATCTTCAAATATCTGCGCAAAGGAATTTTAATTTAATATGTTCAGTTGGCCATTGTTCATTTGCATGCTGAGTCTCTGAAAGCCCAAATCTATAAGATGATGGCATAGGCCATACTGTTCTATTTTAATCAGTTCTAATGTGTAAATATTTTCTCATTTACAATCTTAACATTAGGCTGTCTTGTAATTGTAACTGGTCACATGGCAGGGAGGAAAGAGATATCAAAAGTAGTGCATTGAACATCAATCATGCATAATTGGTGGCAAAGACCTTGAAGAATGTCCTCTCTACAAGAAGGGATTTGGGATATATCTCAGTGGTGTGCATGTACTTAGCATATACAAGTTCCTAGATTCAACCCCCTCTTCCGTTTTCCAAGGCTTAAAAAATTGCACCCTCCAAATTTTGTTAAGATGCACAAGCAATATTGTGGAAAGGCCACCCATATCAGTAGCTGAGCCATTTGGCAGAAGTGAAATTATTTGAGTTATTTGGCAGAAATGAGGAATGTAAGAAAATTTAGCAAGAAATAGAGGCATGGCTCCAGTGATAGAGCACCAGCCTTGAGCAAGAAAAGCCCAGAAAGAGCTCAATTTCCTGAGTTCAAGCCCCAGCAACAGCACACACACACACACACACACACACACACACACACACACACACACACACACACACACACACACACACGGTGAATTAATTTGGCTGGCATTCTACCACTTGAGCAACAGCTCCACTTCTGGCATTTTGCTAGTTAATTGGAAATAAGTGTCTCTCAAATTTGTACAACTAAAATCTTGCTAATGAGAAAAAAATCACAAAAAAATGAATCTTAAACCAGTTTAATTCTGCAACATTAGGGGCATTCTTTCTTTTTTTTTTTTTTTGGTCGGTCATGGGGCCTGAACTGTGGGCCTGGGCGCTGTCCCTCAGCTCTTCAGCTCAAGGCTAGTGCTCTACCACTTGTGCCGTAGTGCCACTTGTGGCTTTTTCTGCTTATGTGGTGCTGAGGAATCGAACCCAGGGCCTCATGCATGCAAAGCAAGCACTCTACCACTGAGCCACCTTCCCAGCCCCTAGGACATTCTTTTTGTGTGTGTGTGTGTGTGTGAAAATACTGTACAGAGGGGTCACAATTACATGGGCAAGGTAATGAGTGCATTTATCAAGCATTGTTGCCTCCTCCTTTGTTTCCCCTTACCATCCCTTCTCATCTTCCCCTCCCTCCCCTGCTCAGGACATTCTTATACCCTGTTTTATGTGGTAACTGTAGCTGTGAGAAGTGGCCTACATATGGCTAATTTGGACTGCCAACTATGCTGTCTCTCCCCAGAAAGCCTGCATGCATAACAGGGAGATAAAAAGCTGACACCACTTGTGACACTTTGCTCATAGGTGCAACACTTCAACCAATTTAGTTCAGTTGATTTTCTGAATCCCCACTGGCTTATAAGCAATATTTACTGGAACCAGGAACAATTTGTTTACAAGAGAAAGAACACAAAGAATTGTAACACTCAAGTGAGAGAAGGAACCCAGGCAAAAGAAAGGCTTTGAAAACAATCCATTTTTATAAAAAACAAAAGGGGGGGAGGAGGTAGATTTTTTAGTTTAATGTTCAAATTCAGTAATTTTTATTTCCATGAGATGAAATAACCATGCTGCTCAGAAACAAATTATTTTTCAGAGTCTGCTGACAGCTTTCATCTCAGCTGGGGCTGAGTATATTGGGGGAAAAAAAAAGTACTGTATGCTATAGCCAGGATTCAACATAACCAGAAGCTGTTATTTGCTTCCTAACTGACCTTAGGTTTTGGTAAGATTTGCCCATAGCTATCCTGTGGAGAATAGAAGGAATATTCTTCCTGTATTTCTGTCTCACTACAATTGAGTTTACTTTTGGTGCTAGAAAAAGTCACAGTAGACATGGTGAACTGAAACCCTTTTGTACAACTACCTAAGAGACAATAAAACAAAAATTATATTGAGTGGAAAAAAACAGTCACAGTAAAAATATACTTTCCTTGGCTTTCCGAACAACTTCCAAACTTGTAGCCCAGGGCTACAAGATCACAACTGGAACCTTGTATTAAAGTTAAAATAAACATTTGATTCCTTTTTGGGTTTTTTTTTTTAAGTTTTAGCAAGGATTTATTTAAGTAATGGAGTTAAAGTGGAGAGAAACAGAAAAGAGGGAGAAACTTGACAGTCTTACAGAGGGACAGAAAAAAAGATGGATCTGCTGCCAGGAGGCTTCAACATGCAAAGAGAGTGCCATTTTCGACTGGCAGCAGGAGTATAAATCACACAGTAGCAATTCCCTGGCTGCTTCAACCAGAGCAACACAAATATAGTTCTCACCTGACTGAAAAGTCCTCACGGCCTACCACCAAAATTACATGGATTCCAGTTGCTGTTAACCAGAATGCTGCCAGATTAACTGGCTTAACTGGTTCTCAATCCTGTTCTGTATTTCCTTGGCCAATAATAAAACACCAAGGAAAAGGTTAAAAACTGATTTTCAATATATTTTGCCAATTGTGATAGGAAGTGGGAGGGAGTCAAGATTCTGGAGATCACTATGCAAAAATATGCAGAATGACTTCACACGTCCAAAAACAATCATTTTGTCACTCAGATTGCCACAGTACAGAGCTTGGTTTTAGTCTTAGCTAGGAAGATCTCAAAGAGGAAGCCTCTTGAGGTATTTTTCCCCCCTAAAACAAATGCTGATCAACCATGATCATAGTTTTGCTTCTTTTCTATTTTCATCTTTTCCTAAAGACAATTGCACTATTCTGTGTCTGCCCTAACAAAATATCAGACTGGGTGGCTTAAACAGCAGAATCTATTTTCTCCAGAACAGCAGCTCTGGAGGTGGGAAGTCCAGCCTCCTCTGGATCAAGGTCCAGCAGAATTTGTTTCTGGTAAGGGCGGCTGCAGAGGAGAGGCTATCATCTCTTATTGTGTGAACATTAATGCTATCAGATCAGAGACTCACCTCATTGAATCATAATTATCTCCATAAAGGCCTCACCTCCAAATATAGTTACATTTTGGATTTAGACATCAACATATTGGGTGTGGGACAATAAGCATTCAGTACATATAGCACCTATCCCAGATACCTAGGCATACAACTAACATACATCTCTATCAGTGGCTGGACTGCAGGCTCTTCCGCAGTTCTTTTGGTCTCTGCAGCCCTCCACCATCCACAGTTTCAGTTCCCAGCCTTTCTTGAGAAGTTTTTAGCCCCTTTCTAGTTGCCACATATACTTGGAACTATTGTCATCTTCTGTTTGTGAAACCATTTAGCCCATTCTACCCATGAGAAAAGACTACAGCAGGCAATAAAAACACCCAAACAGCCGGGTGCTGGTGACTTACATCTGTAATTCCAGCTACTCTGGAGGAGGCTGAGATCTAAGGATAATGGTTTGAAGCCAGCCTGGATAGACAAATTTGAGAGACTTTTATCTCTAATTTATTAGAGTTATTACGGATCAAGTGGTACAATGAGTGAAAAAGCCTGAGTGAAAAATCTTGAGTGAAAACGCTAAAAAAGAGAACCCAGGCCCTGAGTACAAAAAAAAAAAAAATGAAACAAACAACATGCTTGAACAAGGCTTTAGTGGGACTTCTGCCACAATAGAAGGGAGCAATGGAGGTCTCCCAGACTGACCCAATGTGAAGGAAGGTCGCTTTATATAGCCCACCACACATGAGCAGTCTCATTATCTGCTAACTTTTTCTTAAATCATGTCAGTTTGCAAAGATGTTCTGGGTCTGCCTGTCCTAGCTGTTATGTTAGAAGTACTCTTTCCAAACAGAAGAGGAATTGATGTGAAATGGGTTGGGACAAGCTACTATTCCCCTGGGGGGATACTACTTGGAAATCTTGCCATTATTATCATCACCTTAGCATGAAACTACTGCAGCCTGGATCTAACTTTACCATGAGATTGAAAGATTTATAGGCTCCAAAAAATTAAAAGAAGTACAATTACTACTAAGGAGCCAACCAAGGTTAGAAAGTAAGTTAAGGGGCTGGGAAGGTGGCTCAGTGGTAGAGCGCTTGCCTTGTATGCCTGAGGCCTTGGGTTCGATTCCTCAGCACCACATAAGCAAAAAGAAAAAAGCCGGAAGTGGTGCTGTGGTTCAAGTGGTAGAGCGCTAGCCTTGAGCTGAAGAGCTGAGGAACGGCGCCCAGGCCTAGAGTTCAGGTCCCACGACCGGACCCCCACCCCCCCCCAAAAAAAAAAAAGAAAGTAAGTTAAGCTTGGGAGAGCTTCCTAAATCACTGTGGAGAGAGTAGACCTATTACTAACAAGGAAATGAATGCTTTGGTGTGTCTTGTTATGATTGAAGCCTTATCACTCACCAATTAGAACCTACTTGCAGTGCAAAGGGTAAGCTCAGTAGAAAGGCCTTTGGGATCATAAGTCAGATCCCCAAAACATCTGTGTGCATGTACATGTGTGTGCATGTACACACATGCACAGCACACACATACCCATAGTTTCTGACTAAATGTGATGAGTGGCACTGAAAAGAAGGTAATACAGAAAGTCCTGTAGAGGCACTCAGAGCTCCTCCTTTGTGGAGCTCACAGTCACAATGTTCTCAAAGAATGAAGGAGCGATAAGACCCAGAAAAAAAGCTAGACAACACACATAGCTAGATGCCAAGGCGCAGATGTAAAATTTGTCAAGTTTTTAGAAACTTTTCCACGGAAAGTTGATGGAGCAATGTAAATTCTGGCTAACCTGTGCCAACCAACACAGAGGATTACTGAGGATTTTACCAACCAACACAGAGGATTACTGAGGATTTTACTGGCAACAGAGATAATGCTTTACAATTGCATTATAAAATTACTCCCTATTAGGAAATCAAACAGAATTAAGGAAAACATGATCTGGTTTTGGGGTGTGTGTGTGTGTGTGTGTGTGTGTGTGTGTGTGTGTGTGTGTCCTGCAGCTTTGGGGTGTGTGTGTGTGTGTGTGTGTGTGTGTGTGTGTGTGTGTGTGTGTGTGTGTGTGTGTCCTGCAGCTTGAACTCTGTGCCTGGGCACTGTCTCTAAGCTTTTCTTGCTCGAGGCTACCACTTGAGAATAGCTCCACTTTCAACTTTTTTTTTTTTTTTAATTTTATTTTATTTTATTTGAGAACATACTGTACAGAGGGGTTACAATTACATGGGCAGGATAATGCATACATTTCTTACCAAGCATTGCAGCCTCCTCCTTTGTTTACCCTTCACCTCCCTTCCCAGCCTCCCCCCTCCCCCCCACCCAATCATACCCCCCTCCCCCCCCACCGACATTGTAAAGCTGGTTTTGACATGACATTTTGTACTTCTCATTGTTGCAACAGGTCCACCTGAATCCTTAAACGACTTGTTTGTCCCCGTCTCCTCCACATGTTATACTGACATCAAATATAGTGAAAGCGGGGGTTACACTGTGGGGGAGGGACATACATTTTTGAAGGTTTATTGGAGATATGAGTCTCACAGGAGCTGGGAATGTGGCTTAGTGGTAGAGTGCCTAACATGCATGAAGCCCTGGGTTCAATTCCTCAGTACCACATAAACAGAAAAAGCTGGAAGTGGCGCTGTGGATCAAGTGGTAGAGTGCTAGTCCTGAGCAAAAGAAACTCAGGGACAGTGCTTAAGCCCTGAGTTCAAGGACAGGACTGCCCCCCCCCCCCAAAAAAAAGTCCTACAGACTTTCCTGCCCAGTCTGACAGATCTTAGCCTCCTAAGTAGTTAGGATTGATTACAGCATAAGGCACCAGTGCCCAGCTTTGGCATTGGTTTTTAAACACAAGAAGGGCATTTGTGAAAAATAAGGAATAAACAGATTCTGTGAACTCCAAAAGGAGGGCTGGGGAGCCACTAGAAAAAGAAATCCAGGCAGAAACATCCAACTCTGCTTTTTCCAACTCTTTAAGCATTAGATTATTAGGAAGTGGAGGAGACAGTGACAGCACAGAGGTTTCCTTACCCCGAAACCATCAAATAAGAGAAGGGAAACATCAGCCCACTGTGACTTTGGTTTCTGCATCAACAATGGATGGAAAATATCTGGAAAAAATGAAAGAAATGGATTTATACTGAATACATATAGAATTTTAATCTTTATATCCTAAAAAATACAGTATAAGAACTATTTACATATTATTTACATGGTATTAGGTATTGTTAGTAACTTAGAGAAGGCTTAAGGCACATAGGAGGATACACATAGGTTCCATATAAATACTACTATTTATATAAGATTACAGCATTTGGATATTTTGTTATGGGTGGGTAAGGGATGGGGAGCAATCTAAGAACCAATCCTTCAGGAATATTGAGGGGAAATGGAGAGGATCATGTGGAAAAAAACCCAAGAACAGTCTAGAGGAACTGAGGGCAGCCCTCACTGACTTCTAGCCAGAAACAAATATGAATTCTATAAATTCAAGAAACTGAATTCTGTCTATAATCATAATGATGTAGACTCTAGACCATTCAAATGGCAACTTGATCTGACTCTAGTAAGATACTAATAAATGCTAAGTGGGTGTTGTTTCAAGCCACTAAAATTTGTAGCAAATTATTGCATAGCAACATCAAACTAATGCAGCTGGCAGGTAGGCAGGCTTGACTGACATTATAAAACATTATGAAAAGCTTCACAAATATTACAAAGGCCTAGAGGCGCTAATGAGACAGATTAATAAGAGCTAAGAGAAACCAGAGCCAAACCAATGCAAGACTGAAAACAAGTGGCAGAAGGATTGCTAAGATATGCATCATCATAGGGAGTTTCAACAAGTGCTCTTTCATACCTTCTTTTTTATGCCAAATGGGGCATAATTATATATAACAAAACCATGTATTTTCTTCACGTGGTACTGCTGAGCTTTGAACTGAGGACTACCTTTACATTCTTGCTCAGCTTGCTCTCTCATAGCTGACAGAGCAGCTAGCCCTATTTTTGCTGGTTTTTTTTTTTTGGAGGGGGGGTCCGGTCGTGGGGCCTGAACTCTGGGCCTGGGCACTGTCCCTCAACTCTTCAGCTCAAGGCTAGCGTTCTACCACTTGAGCCACAGCACCACTTCCGGCTTTTTTCTTTTTGCTTATGTGGTGCTGAGGAATCGAACCCAGGGCCTCAGGCATGCAAGGCAAGTGCTCTACCACTGAGCCACCTTTCTAGCCCCTTGGCTGGTTATTTTGGAGATGAAGTCTCATGGACTTTTCTGCCTGATATCAAATTGTGATTCCAGAACTCAGTCTTACAAAAACCTAGGATTATAAGAATATGCCACTGGCACTCAACCCAAAAGACATTTTTTAAAAAAATTGATACACAGTTAAGCTCAAAAGAAAGAAAATCTCTAAATACTGTAATATCAAAAAAGCAAAGGGAAAAGTCAGGAGTTGGTATTGTGGAGTCCCCACAAGAGTTTAGGTCCTGAATAGGGATCCTGGGAGACAGAACTGAGGTTTCTCAATGATTACTTGGAAGAGGACATATGATCTCCGGGACAAGAGAGCTGGAACTGAGCTCTGAGTTCAACAGATGAAGGTCTGATCCCCAAACATTTGTCTCAAGATTTCTGTCTGCCTATCAGCTTAAGGAAGAAGGAAGGATCTTTGCCATCTATGAAAATCCTTGGGTCAAATATAATTTACCCAGGGAAATTAGAGTATGTAGGTATCAAACCCAAATGTAGTTTACCTGTATAATGTAGATCAGTTTGAGAAACTAATGAAAGAACCAGTCAGATAGCTAGCCCGAAGCATGAGATCTGAAGAAGATGACACTTGCCCAACACAGAGCAAGAGAACAACAACAGAAAACGAATTCCTACTAAATACAAGTTTCTTAAAAGGTTGGAATACAGCCAGGGAGCAAACCAATACAAGAAAAAAGTGGCAGATGTTACAACACAGGAGAAAGAACTGGAAGAGCTACCAGAAAGATATGATAGGCTTCTTGCTTATGCCTAGCAGCCTGAAGCCTTAATAGCAGCCCTGCCTCTTTGAACACTACACAAATGCTTGGAGGAAGCTACATAGAAACCATAAATGTTTGCTGCCAAACCACAATTCTGGCTCCAGAAGTCACTAGTTCAGCCATGACTCTCTATTTGGTCAGTTGTGGGGCTTGAACTCTGGGCCTAGGCACTGTCCCTGAATGCTTCAGTTCACAGCCAGCACTCTACCATTTGAGCCACAGCACCACTTCCAGAAATAAGAGTCTCACAGACTTTTCTGCCTTGGCTAGCTTTGAACCATGATCCTCAGATCTCAGCCTCCTGAGTAGCTAGGTTACAGGCTTGAGCCAACCAGCTCTCGGCTAGCCATGACTCTTCCAAACAGCTTGCACAGCCTTCACAAGCTCCAGTTTACTGGAGATGACCCTACAGCCATTTTCTCTCAGGCCATGGGGGGGAGAACATCTCCTAGTGGCCCAGCAAGATTATGATTGGTACAAGTACAATCCCTCATTTCCATAAGTTAATATGAATAGTGAAAGCTTGATCTTCCATTTGCAGGATGAAAAGCAGTGTTATGCAAAAGGGTAGTGCAAACACCTTCCTTCTCCCTACATTATCAGGCTGTTTAGCTCAGTTTTGTTTTTTGTTTTTGCCAGTCCTGGGGCTTGAACTCAGGGCATGGGCCCTGTCCCTCAGCTTCTTTTGCTCAAGGCTAGCATTCTACCACTTGAGCCACAGTGCCGCTTCCAGCTTTTTCTGTTTATGTGATACTGAGGAATCGAACCCAAGCTTCATGCATGCTAGATAAGCACACCACCACTAAGCCACATTCCTAGCCCACTTAGCTTGCTTTTTTAACTAGGAGATCTTCTCTGCCCTGGTAGTATTACACCTTAAGATTTCTCTCAAGTGGTCTTTTCTTACCTACTTTTGATTTTTGTCATTAGTAGACTTGGATGAGCTTTGAAATATGAAGATGACAGTAGAGATGGTATCAGGACAATAGTGATGGTGAAGGTAGAAACTTACATCCTGTCAACAAGAATGCATCCGAAGAGTTCCAGAGCAGTGGGAACTGAAATGAAAAGAAGCAGAAGAGATAGATGACGCGATACTGTGGATCCTAATACCTGGGGTGCTGACAAACCTAAAGGACTAAGGATGCCTATAAAACCATAGGCCCAAAATGTATAGTATTAATATCTGTTATTGTATAAGGGTCCTAACAGCCTAGACTTCTGAGCAGGAACACTAGCCACAGTAGAAGTGGAGGGTGTCAACTTCTGAGTCCTATACAACAGCTGTAACATCAGCTGGTGATGCCTGATGATGGAAGTTGAGAATTACAACAGCTCTCAAGTGCCCTAGCTTCTTGTCTGCCAGTCCAGCTCCTATGCTTGAAGCACTCAAGGATCCAGAACTGTCAATGAATTGCTTCTCAGCTACTTCTGGGTAGGTAAAATAAAAGGACTACATCTAGCCAGTTGGTAAGATGAATAAGCTAGTAGGTTCTTAAATGCACAGCATCAAGACAATAGTTTTAAATACTATAGTATATACTCAAAATACATTGAGAATGTATCTTAAATGTTCTTTACACATATATCAAGTTGTATATAATAAATATAAATACATGTAATTTTTGTCAACCATACTTCAATAAAGCAGAGGGAAAAGAGATAGGAAAGATAATGGTCAAGAATATTTCAGAATCTATTTAAAAAATTCTCATGTCTAAAAAGGACAAGTTCTTAGCAGGTGCTATGGCTTAAACTTATGTCTCCTCAATATTCATACTGGATCTTAAACTCCAATGGTCACTGTGTTTAGAATTGGGGGATGTGAGTAGTGATTATTAAAGCAAAATCCTCTGCCAGGCGCCGGTAGCTCACACTTGTAATCCTAGCTACTCAGGAGGCTGAGATCTGAGGATCAGGGTTCAAAGCCAGCCTGAGCAGGAAAGTCTGTGAGACTCTTATCTCCAATAAACCACTAGAAAACCAGAAGTGATGCTGTAGCTCCAGTGGTAGAGCGCTGGCCTTGAGCTGAAGAGCGCAGGGGCAGCACCCAAGCCCCACCACCACCACCAACAACAAAAAAGTAAAGTCCTAATAATAATGAAGTCAGCAACCTTCAGAAGCACTGGGAAGAACTAGCTAGGCCCTTCCCCCCTTCAGTTCCTTTTGCTTGTAAAGACTCCAGCAGGAATGACTGCATTATGATTGGTGTGAGCACAATCCTTCATTTGCATGAAGGTGCAGAAACCAGATCTTTAGCAGATACCAGGCCTGCTAGTACCATCATCTTTAATCTTTAACCATCCAGCCCCCAGAACTAAGAGAGAAATAAATTCCTACTATTTATAAATTACTGGGCCTCAGTTTTTTGTTTTGTTTGGTTTTGGTTTTGTGTGTGTGTGTCCCTGAATGCTTGAACTCAGAGCCTGAATGCTGTGCCTGAGTTATTTTGCTCAAAGCTATCACCCTATTACTGAGCTAGCTTTTTGATGATTAATTGGAATGTGAGTCTCACAGACTTTCCTGCCCAGGCTGGCTTTGAACCTGGATGCTCAGATCGAAGCCTCCAGAGTAATTAGGATTACAGGTGAGAGTTAGACAGGATTTTTTGTTTTGTTTTGTTTTGTTTTGTTTTGTTTTTTGCAAGAGCAACACACCAGGCCTAAAACCAAAAGGGAAGAATAAAATTATTTCTAAATTTACTAACTTTAAACTGTACAGCACTAAAAACAAAGGGTAATTCTTACAAAGAGCCAGAGGTAAAAGAGAATATCACAGAAAAGAACAATCAGGCTTATCTCAAAAAACAAAACAATAATTAGGCAGAAAAAGAGATTTTTATCTGCAGCTATAGCTGTTAGAAGATAATGGAAATAAAATCTCCAAATTATAAGGGATAAAATAATACCAAATTAGAACTGGTCACTAGTGGCTCATACCTATAATCTTAGCAACTCAGGAGACATAACTGAGGATGATGGCTTGAAGCTAGCCTTGGCAGACAAATCTAAGAGATTACTCTCTCTAGTTAACCAGCAAAATTCTGGAAGTAGTATTGCTCAACTGTTAGAGTACCAGCCATCAGCAAAAAGCTAAGAGAGGAAAAGAGGAAACCCCTCAATTCAAGCTTCAGTAATGGCACACACACACACACACACACACACACACACACACACACACACTCACAAACACAAAATGTGCCAAATCAAATTGGTTGCTTACACCTATAATCCTAAAGGAGGCTAAAATATGATTATCATGGTGCAGAGCTAGCCTAGGCAGAGAAAACCTCTAGACTCTAATCTCCAATTAACCAGCAAAAAGCCAGAACTAGAACTGGAGCTGTGGTTCAAGGGATACATCAACAGCTGTGTTGGAGTGAGTCAAGTAAGAGGGCAAGGCCCTGAGTTCCTAAGTTTAAGCCCCAATACTGACAGAAAGGGGGATGAGGAGTGAAAGTAGTATTAAACCTAGTAAAAATCTCTATTTTACTTAATTATTTTATTGTTGTTTTGTGTACCTGGGTCTTAAACTCAGGGCCTCTCACTTCTGTTTAGTTTTTTTGAGCAGTGCAGTTGTAGCATAGCAGTAGACAGGAGAGCCCAATGAAGGTGAAGTGGGAGAGACTATTAACTGGAAGTAAATTACTCATAAACATGAGGGGGAAGTACTTTCCCATATTACGGTAGATGTGGACACCTGCAATTGCAGCTATTCCAGAGGTTGATGCAGGAAGATCACAAATTCAAGGTTAGCATGGGCAACTTATAGAGATCCTGTCTCAAAATAAAAATTAAAAAGGGGGCTGGGAAGGTGGGTCAGTGGTAGAGCGCTTGCCTTGCATGCATGAGGCCCTGGGTTCGATTCCTCAGCACCACATAAGCAAAAAGAAAAAAGCCAGAAGTGGCGCTGTGGCTCAAGTGGTAGAGTGCTAGCCTTGAGCTGAAGAGCTGAGGGACAGTGCCCAGGCCCAGAGTTCAGGCCCCATGACCGGACTCAAAAAAAAAAAAAAATTAAAAAGGGCTGGTGATGTATGTAGCTCAGTTATAGAGCATTTATCTAGCATATGTGAAGTATATGTGAAGCCTGGTGTCAATGCTTAGTATAGCAAAATTAAAAATACATACATATACAGTTTATTACTTATTTAAAAAACAAAAAGAACAATAATCCAATAACCTATCAATTATTCCAGGCCTATTAAACTAAAATTCCCTCCTTGGAATATTAAATATAATTGCCTGGATATTAAATTGACCTGCCTTTAGAATTATGGCTATTATATTTATTATTATCATAAAAATACTGCAAAGAAAATTTTATGCATTTTCTTTTTTCCTTTTTCTTTTTGAGACAGAGTCTGGCCTTGAACACGTAGTCCTAGAACAAGCTGTGGTCATAACACAACATTTCTATTTTTACTGCCAAATTATTTTGAAGATACAGAAAATATCTTCAGAAAAGAAAATATCTTGGTAGTACAGGCCTAGTAAGACTGCACAGCACTAGTAAGACTGAAGCAAGATGATTCCAAGTTCAAGGCCATCCCAGACAATTTAGTGAGACTGTCTCAAAATAAAACTTAAGGGGCTGGGAAAGTGGCTCAGTGGTAGAGTGCTTGCCTTGAGTGCATGAGACCCTGGGTTCTATTCCTCAGCACCACATAAGGAGAAAAAGCCAGAAGTGGAGCTGTGGCTCAAGTGGTATAATGCTAGCCTTTAGCTGAAGAGCTGAGGAACAGTGCCCAGGCCCAGAGTTCAGGCCCCACGACTGACAAAAATAAATAAAATTTAGACCAAGTACCCCTGTGGCTCCAACCTATAATCCTGGCTACGCAGGAAGTTGAGCTCTGAGGATAGAGGTTCAAAGCCAGCTTTGGCAGAAAAATCTGTGACATTCTTATCAACAATTAACTAGCAAAAAAGAAGCAATGACAGGTGCTGGTGGCTCATGCCTGTAAATCCTAGCTACTCAGGAAGCTGAGATCTGAGAATATTGGTTTGAAGTCAGCCTGGGCAGGAAAGTCTGTGAGACTTTTATGGCCAATTAACCACCTAAAAACTGGAAGCAGAGGTGTAGCTCAAGTAGCAGTGTGCTAGTCTTGAGCAAAAGAACACTGAGGGACAGTGTCCAGGCCATGAGTTCCATGACCAAAACAAAAAAAAAGGCAGAAGCAGAGCTTGGAGCTTGGTATTAGCTGTGAAATAGCTAAGACACAATATCTGGGCCCTAAGTTCAAGTCCCACTACCAGCACACATGCACGCATACATACATACACACACATACTCATATACACGTACACAAAGTTTAAAGAGTAGGGCTAAGTATGTAACTCAATGGTAGCTTATTAGCCTAGCATGCATATGGGCCTGGATTTGATCCCCACTACGAGGGGGGGGGAAGGGGTGGAAATGTCAAAAATAGTAACTTTGTTGGGGGGCTAGTGGCTCACACCAGTAATTCTAGCTACTCAGGAGGCTAAGTTCTGAGAATTGCAGTTCGAAGCCAACCCACAGGAAAGCCTGTGAGACTCTTATCTTCAATTCCAAAAAAAAAAAAAAAAAAGCTGGAAGTAGAAAAGTAGTTCAAAGTGGTAAAATGCTAGTCTTGAGCACAAAAGTCCAGTGACGGTGCCTAGGCTCTAAGTCCAAGCCCCAGGACCAGCACCAAATCAAATAATCTCATTGAAATATCACTTTTTTTGGTTCTTTTTGTTTTGAGATGTGGTCTCATTCTGTTTCCCAGGCTGGCTTCCAACTTCTGGCCTTAGGTGATCTGCCTGTCTCAGACTCTAAAGAAGAATACAGGTACAGCCTTTCAGTTATATTCTATGTTGTTGTTTTGTGATCCTGAGGCTTGAACTCAGGGCCTCTCACCTTTGTTTAGTTTCTTCACTAAACCTGGCACTCACATACAGCCTTTGTTTCTTATAATAGGTCTTATTTTATTTTGCAAAATGAAGAAACTGAGGC